TACAAATTTTAGAAGTTTATAAAATGCCACAAGGGGAAAGCTAAGTGAAAATTAGCAGATCAAAATGTAAATGTAGGCCTAAACATGTCTGGACTTCATTTTTTAGGTCAAAGGTCAAGGTCAAATGAAAGCAGTCTGGTGATGGCTGCATTGCCTGTTAGCAATGTATATTTTTTTTACCGAAAATTGAATTTTACTATGAACAATTGTATTATCATATTTCACTAGTTTATCGTGGAAAATACAATAAAACTGCACTGGTTGGCATCTCTGAGCAAGGGAAGATGTTAAGTTATGCCAAGTAGAAGTACAAGTACAGTCTGGTACTCAACTTTCCTATACTTGTTGTGGAATATATTTTCTGTGGGTACCAGACAACGGCTTTGGCAACACATTTAAAGGGAATGTACATCATTGGCTTTTGCTGTAATTTTCAGAAATGAACTATTTGAGGGGTTAGTATAATAGATCAAATATTGTTACACTGACATGTTTGAAGTTTTTTGTTCGAAAATGCTGGAAAAACCAAGAAAAACACAAATGTTCAAGTAGTCTGGTTCCTTGACTTCACTAAAGGTAAAATGGTTCAATCTATAGATGCTGGAAAATTGGAGGGTAAGGGAGCCAGACTTGCTGGCCTGCACCCGTTCATGAACATGTAACAAATAGCAAACAAAATTTGGACTGGAAAGAGTGTAAAGTTGGAGCAGTAGTTGAAAAATAGTTAGGTTTTTCCAACAGTGGTCAGCCGACCACCGTTGGAAATGTATACAAAAATATCATTTTCTTGAAAATTACTTCACACCAGGTGCCATAATTTTACAGGATGCTTTAGACTGTCATTTACCAACATCCTAGTAAGGTATTTTGTGAAAACTTGGTAGTTTTATTTTCTGATGTTTGCAAATGTTGTATACTCACTTTAAGCATCCAAACAACTATTAATTTTTTAAAATAGTAAAAAAGAAAAAGTAAAAGTAAAAAATATCAATGGAACACCTGATTATTTTTAATTGTATAATAGCAATTAAAGAGGGAAATGATATTTATAACAAGTAATTTAGTATTTAAAGTTATTGTCCAAGGTTACATGCAAATCCTATTTAAAATGTCATGTACATGTACATAATCTGGAGGAAGTGTGCATACTTTGTGCATGCGTAATTCCGTTACCGTAATTCCGTTACCGTTTCGTAATTCCGTTACCACTTGGAAAAATGCCAAGAAATTACTATTTTAAAGTTTTTATTTTTCATTTATGTTTATAGTAGGGTCTTTTCTCAACATAAATGATTTGAAGAAAAAAAACAAGAAAATGTGTGAAATAAGTAACTTTTGCCATTTTTTCGGTAACGGAATTACGTGCTAATTTTGACATTTTTAAATGAAGGCCTACACTATATATATATATATATATTCATATTTTAAATTTTTTTTTAAATGACCCTGAGTAATGTTAGTAACTTGTAACATCATAAAATAAATCAAATTTTTTCCCTGTAATTCAGAAAGTAATACATACACAAAATTTTATTTTTTTACCAAATCTGAACGTTTTTAATCATAAATTGCAAAAATCACTGTTTTTACCAGAAATATGTAATTTTTTTCAATTTCGTTTTTTGAACTGAATTCCCCATTTAATTGAGGTCTGGAAAAAGTACAAAAAAGGTTTAATATGTAAATATTTATTTTTGACATTTTTTGCTCTCCCATGGAGAATTGCCCACGTACATGTATCTACAAGGATGGGACTAATACGGGAGCAAAGACACTTCTTCTTCAGTGAAACAATAATTTATTCTTAAAAACTCCAAGAGTTCTCTGAACCAATTTGACGATCTGTATGCATAGGACTCAGCTATCATTGCTTGTTCATCTGTCATCCGCTACGAATACCGCAAAATCTGTGTTTGTATACACGTTATCCGACGCAAACTGGTTAACCTATTTTGTTTTAACCTTGTTCCACTCGAATTTGCAGGATAGCTAATAATGAATACAAGTAAATGTCTCAATCAGTATTGTGGCGAAACGAGCTATAGGCCTACACCCTTTGTGGCGGGAATAACTAGGTGACCCGACAGTCTGACCTGATTGAAGGATGGAATTGGACCTGGCCTTAACCCACAAAAATATTTATTAACCTCGCACAAGGATGAGCGGTTACCCTGACGCAAGGGGGGATATAGTTAAAGAACGGCGGACTAAGCCTAGGGGCTGTTCGTTTGGCGGTAATGTACCACCGATCTGCGATTAAGTACTTGACTTTATTGACAGAAGAGGGGACTAACTTACTCAGATCTATCCAACAGAGAGCGGGACTACATAAGCTTCACAGTAACCAGTTATTCCAAGACGTTAATCAGTTAGTTTATTCCTTTAGCACACTTCAATTATAATGTCAATGCGTCACCATTCAATAATTTATACAATGATAAACCTCACAGTTCTGATGAATCCAGGTCAACCTCGGACGGTGTTCGAATTAACACTGATAAACCTCATTCTTAAAACAATCACTAGTTAACCTTGCTGTGATAATGAACACTAGTAAACCTCGCTGTTAGATAAGCACTAGTAAACCTCGCTCTTAGCTGAGGGGTCAACTGCACCCCTTGTCATTAGCTTATACAATTATAACCTTCATACAGCTCTTGGGTCAACTGCACCCTTTAGCTTATACAATTATAAACATCTGGTTCAACAGGGGTCAACTGCACTCCCTTATGATTAACTTGCACAATTATAATTCACAGCTGAGCGGGGTTATTCACGTAAGGTAAACCTCACTTGGGTATACCTCACCTATACTTCTAGGGGTTCCTACATGTAATTTATAAAGTGGTCGTCTGCACCACTGACTTAAATAACGGGCTAGTGTTCTTTCACTTTGCACAAAATGACTCTAATGAGGTCTACAATAACAGAGTAGATGTATACACTACAACACAGTCCTTGCTACTTGCTTGACCAGCGAATTACACACACAGGGTAGTGTAGTAACGTTATAACCCACCCGATGATAATAATAGTCCCCTGACGTTAACCCAGTAAACCTTCGGGAAACTCAGGGTTCACAGACTTTACAGGGTCGCAATCAACCGTATCTATGCCAAAGTTGCACAGGACAACGCCATGCAATTCCCTCCACAAAGTCACATTAAGCGGGTTCCCCAGCAGGAAAAGCGAGCTCTCAGTTGTCCAAGTCTGCATCAACCGCAGCCACGCCAATGGGCATAGATCAACGGCAGACAGACCTTCCGAACAATCTTAGCTACACTATTTTCTCAATGGGAAAACAAGCCAACGGACTCACAGGGCAGCTATACCGCAGCTACGCCAAATGGCACAAACAACGGAAGACAATCCTTAAGTCTGAACTAAGCCTAACTGTTCCCCCAACCTTCAGATTTACTCCGAGTCCCACTACTATCTTAACTCAGGCCCTACATGTATATCTGAAATATCCCACTTCTTAACAACAATCCACCCCAAATCTTATCCGATAAGACCTTAAAATGCACAGGGGGATGTAAACAACGAAGTCCAGCTTTACTGACCGATCACACCAGGCGCGCTGGGGCTTTCTCCCGCTCCAGTCCAACCAGGGTAACTCAGTAAACGCTCACGAGATTGCTCGATAATTGCTTGTTTCACAACGCGGTCTCTCCCAGTAGTTTACTCATTGAAGTCTCTCACAGCAGTCCCGATCCCACGCCAGGCCACGAGGCAATCGCCCCAGACCATGCCGGACGCACGCTGCTGATTGGTCACCGTGCGCTATCATGCACTCAATCACGCAGTACACGCCTGCATAATTCATAGCCAGACATGCCCATCAGCCTAGTGTACATGCAGGACGCGCATGCTGATTGGTTGCCCCACAGTATCGCGCGCTTTAACGCGCGGGCTGACATGATGCTTCTGAGGCTAGACATGATATTAGTCACATACCCCTGTTTTGTTACAGTATCAAACATGTTTTCCCAAATTGACAATTTTTAAATTTCTTGACCAGGTGATGGCAGATCTACCAGCTCACTTCACATCAGAGAGCTCTCTTGAGAAGCACTATAGAAGCACTATAAGGCCCAGGAGAAGGACTGCTTCTCACGGCTAAAACAGACTCAGACCAGAGCTCCCTTGAGAAGCACTGTACGGCCCAGGAGAAGGACCGCACCAAGTTCATCACTACCTTGCTGATGCTTCACAGGGATGGTGCAGACTCAGACCAGAGCTCCCTTGAGAAGCACTATACGGCCCAGGAGAAGGACTGCATCAAGTACATCACTACCTTGCTGATGCTTCACAGGGATGGTGCAGACTCAGACCAGAGCTCCCTTGAGAAGCACTATACGGCCCAGGAGAAGGACTGCATCAAGTACATCACTACCTTGCTGGTGCTTCACAGGGATGGTACAGACTCAGACCAGAGCTCCCTTGAGAAGCACTATACGGCCCAGGAGAAGGACTGCATCAAGTACATCACTACCTTGCTGGTGCTTCACAGGGATGGTACAGACTCAGACCAGAGCTCCCTTGAGAAGCACTGTACGGCCCAGGAGAAGGACCGCACCAAGTACATCACTACCTTGCTGGTGCTTCACAGGGATGGAACAGACTCAGACCAGAGCTCCCTTGAGAAGCACTATTCAGCCCAGGAGAATGACTGCATCAAGTACATCGATCACTACCTTGCTGGTGCTTCACAGGGATGGAACAGACTCAGACCAGAGCTCCCTTGAGAAGCACTATACAGCCCAGGAGAAGGACTGCATCAAGTACATCAATCACTACCTTGCTGGTGCTTCACAGGGATGGAACAGACTCAGACCAGAGCTCCCTTGAGAAGCACTATACGGCCCAGGAGAAGGACTGCATCAAGTACATCGATCACTACCTTGCTGGTGCTACACAGGGATGGTACAGACTCAGACCAGAGCTCCCTTGAGAAGCACTATACGGCCCAGGAGAAGGACTGCATCAAGTACATGTACATCGATCACTACCTTGCTGGTGCTTCACAGGGATGGAACAGACTCAAAGTCCTTCAATGTAAGACTTTTTCATATTTGAAGAGAAAATGCTCTAACTGTACTTTAAAACGGTTGAGGGAGTAACAGCAAAAGATCTTTCTTGCCCGATTTTTATGCTCAGCACAATAAAACTAAGACAAAAAAAAGTGGAAAATCTGTCAACAGCAGGATTCATCACACTGAATGTTTGGGGACTTTTTGATCGGGTACGACCCGATCACCTTTTTGAAATGGTAATAATTATTCTTTTTTTTTTTTTTTTGCTGGACAATAATTCTTTACGGGTTTTCTCCTACGTGAACTCGCTCGACCTTTACTTCCGGGTCTACTGGAAGGTCAAAGTTGGGTGAATTTAAATTACAGACAGCAGCCTCAAAATCAAAACGAACCACATCTTTTCCAAACAGTTCACGTGATGACGATAAAACCTAGATGGAATTTGAACCCTTGTCCGAAGATGTAAAAGAAATTGTGATGTCATCATGACATCACCTGGTATCAAATTACAAGCAGGTTAACATGAAAATTTGAGAGCTTACTTTTAATTACATGTAGGCTATAACTTTATAATGGAACAGTCTCATTTTTTTTTTGTTTCAGACATTGCTACTGGCAATATTTTGTTCCAGCATGTCCAGGGCGCATACCATTTGACCTTTACTTCCAGTGTAACCGGAAGTGCAATGATAATAAATTTAACTTGAAGATGGAAGCATTTTGCTACAGTTATATAAATTATGCAAATATTTAGTGAGGAATGTCCAACACAAACATTGGCATGATGACATAATTACACGAAAGGGCACGTACATGTACCAGTACATTCACGCAATGCGTCTCTCCAACTAGGGCTCTCAAAAGTTGTCAAAAAGGGACAATCTACGTAATCTTTATAATCAGCCTAGATATACATGCACCTAGGGCATGTACAGGTAGGGCCTAGTAGGGGAGACGGGGGTTAGTTGGAACGATTTTCACAAAAACCTATCCATAACACAAACAGGTTTTCTTCAAGAAACAACAACTATGCCAATTTATTCATACACATGTGTGTTGCAAATGTAGCATATAAACTTCTCAGAATTGTTGATGGTTATTTAAAAAATCCATCTTGATCACAACTATGACATGCGTTCCAACTAACCCCTCCTATGGGGTTAGTTGGAACATGGTATGGGGTAAGTTGGAACTTGGTATGCTGTTAATCTGAAAGTATACTACAATTACTTAAAAACTGCATTTATATTTGAGTTTCAAATAAAATAATTGTTCCAAGCACTGGTGATGCTCCTAACATTTTTTTTAATTAACAAACCGGCAAGAAATGGCACAAACAGCACCAAGACAAAAAAACACAGGAAAATTGCGAGGCAAGAGTCAGCTACAAGCCTGATCATAAAAAGAAAACATCAAAATGGGAAATTTAACTCCCAAAAATAACATGAAAAGCTTGCATAAAATTGAGGTAAGGTCAACGTGACCTGTCTATGTGCTTTCAAAATTGTTTGCTAAGTCAGAATATTTCCTCAATTATCATCATTATGTTCCAACTAGCCCCCATCAAAATGTTCCAACTAGCCCCAGTGGCCCATGTGACATTTGTTTGCTCACTCTACAAAACAGGGGCTCCAATAACATATCTTTTTAACCTTATTTTGTAGCTTAGTACTCGAGCATATAATACCCCCAAACTAGTCACTGTTATCTATAAACATCATTAACCCTAACCCCCTAGGCCCTTGTTGCTTACAACCATCCTCAATCCTCCAAAATCCTCCAAAATTTTTCAACTCCGCCTAAATTTTTCAAAATTGTCAGACAGTCTTGCCTCAAAATGCATTCATCCTCAATCCTCCAAAATCCTCCGCATCCCAAAACTTTGCACTCGTGTTTAAATGAAGGATAACCAACGCCAAATCCTTCAAAATCATCAGACAGTCCTGCCTCAAAATGCATTCATCCTCAATCCTCCAAAATCCTCTTGTGCTTCATTCACCATTCATCCTCAATCCTCCAAAATCCTCATGTGCTTCAATCACCATTCATCCTCAATCCTCCAGAATCCTCATTTGATTCAATCACCATTCATCCTCAATCCTCTAGAATCCTCCAAAACCGCCAGGAGGATTTTGGAGGAGTGAGGTGGGTTAGGGTTAAGAAAGTACACATTTTTTGAATGGTGAAAAAATTACTCAAAAGGTGAAAAAACAAACTTATCTTTCCCACTTGAGCACTATTGTTGCAGTGTGGCTGCAGGCAATATGGTGGATGGCTGTTGCTAAGGGACATCTCTTGAGGGCAACATTTTATAAAATTTAATTAAGATGATCAAGAAAAATTCATTGTTTCAACTAACCCCGTGTTCCAACTAACCCCCATCTCCCCTACTTTTCAATTATATTCTCAAAGGTGGCTTCAGTTCAAAACGTAAAATGCACTCAAATTTGATCAAATTGTCTACTCAGATTGTTTATTTATTTATTTATTTCAACCGGATCCAACAGCGGCCAAATCACCAATTACAGTAGCACCAAAAATAATTGCAAACCAATAGTGTCACCAGAGTTACTCTTTACATCTTGCATGTCTTGCGCTTAACTTTCCAGGTTGTTAACTTGTTGAATGCCTTGTACACGCTGTTCAACGCCATCATTTCCAACTATGACATCTAAAAGGTAAATATTTCATATGACTCAGCAGATTGTTGAGCAGACTATTTTGACATTGACCAGACCAAGACTTGGGATTGTTTTCATGAATCTGGATGCCAGACGGCTTCAGGCTGTCATCTACGGGTATCTCGCTGCAAGCGGGCCACTGACAGACATTTCGGGCCTCGCTTGTTGTGTGTTTATCCATCATCCATTCCGATTACCACAAAACCTTGCGTGTATTCACGTTGTCTGATGTGAACTGGGAAGCCAAACGTGCCATATCACAGGAAGTTAGTTTAAAGGGTACTGCAATAGATTATACTTAATACACTTATCCAAGTTCATTTATTATGGTTAATATGTAAACATGAAATGATCAACAATACATTGACAGAAAGCACTTAACCCGTAACCCCTTAATTGATTCTACCATCTTAGATCTGTTTTACTATCAGAGTACTTTACAAGCTATGCTTATACAAATGTAGTCTTGCATATTGACTGCTTTGAGTGGCATGATAAAACAGGTCTAGGAAGCTAGTTTGATTATGCCACTCAAAGTAGTCAGTATTAAAATGGAAGGTGTCATATAGTCCTTTTAGCCATGTACATGTAGACGGAAAATAGCAAATACTATGTGATGCACACTCTCGGCCACTGAAAAACACAGAATCTGTGGGTGCGGTGATATAATTACAAAGAGTCACTTGCATTATCATTGTCAACATTACTGGGCTGTTCGCAGGCGTAGTCATGACAATCACTCAGAGGTTAAGTTGATGCTACCATGGTTACTAGTTCAGGGAAAAACCACGCAAATATGTATGTTCTATTATAATGTCTGAATGCAAAATTAACCAATGTTAAATAATAACATCTTGCCAAGGTTGAAAGCATCGACGATGCCTACATGTTGGTCTCCTGCCTACTGATCCGTAATGGCAGCCGTCATGCTGGTATGATCGTCTCCGCTGCATGGCATCTCCTGGAGGGCGTTGATAGTTGATCATGCCACACAAACAAGATGAGAAACTCAAACTCCGCATCGGTATTCACTCAGGTAAGATCATTGTCTTTGCTTGTGGTCGAGATACTTAAGATTGATAAATCACAAATACATCACAAGTCCAGTCACAAGTACATCACAAGTCCCGTCACAAGTACATCACAAGTCCAGTCACAAGTACATCACAAGTCTAGTCACAAGTACATCACAAGTCCAGTCACAAGTCCAGTCACAAGTTCAGTCACAAGTACATCACAAGTCTAGTCACAAGTGCATCATCAGCCCAGTCACAAGTACATTACAAGTCTAGTCACAAGTCCAATCACAAGCACATTACAATTTCAGTCACAAGTACATTACAAGTCCAGTCACATGTCCAGTCACAAGTCCAGTCACAAGTACATCACAAGTCCCGTCACAAGTACATCACAAGTCCCGTCACAAGTACATCACAAGTACTGTACATCACAAGTACTGTACATCACAAGTCCAGGCACAAGTACATTACAAGTCCAGTCACAAGTCAAGTCACAAGTACATCATAAGTCAAGTCACAAATACATTACAAGTCCAGTCACAAGTAAATCACAAGTCCAGTCACAAGTATATCACAAGTCCAGTCACAAGTACATCACAAGTCTAGTCACAAGTACATCAGAAGTCCAGTCACAAGTACATCATAAGTCCAGTCACACATGCATTATAAGCCCAGTCACAAGTACATCACAAGTCTAGTCACAAGTACGTCACAAGTTTAGTCACAAGTACATCACAAGCCCAGCCCTAAGTACATTACAAGTCCAGTCACAAGAACATCACAAGTCCAGTCACAAGAACATCACAAGTCTAGGCACAAGTACGTCACAAGTTTAGTCACAGGTACATCACAAGTCCAGCCACAAGTACATTACAAGTGTATAGTCACAAGTACATCACAAGTCCAGTCACAAGTACATCACAAGTCCAGTCACAAGAACATCACAAGTCTAATCACAAGTGCATCATAAGCCCAGTCACAAGTACATCACTAGTCTGTTCACAAGTACATCGCAAGTCTGGTGGCAAGTCTATCACAAGTCGAGTCCAAGTACATCACAAGTCCAGTCACAAGTAAATCACAAGTCCAGTCACAAGTATATCACAAGTCCAGTCACAAGTACATCACAAGTCCAGTCACAAGTAAATCACAAGTCCAGTCACAAGTATATCACAAGTCCAGTCACAAGTATATCACAGTTCTAGTCACAAGTACATGTACAACACAAGTCCAGTCACAAGTGCATCACAAGTCTAGTCACAAGTACATCACAGGTCCAGTCGCAAGCATATATCACAAGTCTAGTCACAAGTACATCACAAGTATTGTACTTTAATATAGCTCTTTGAGAACATCAGAGTCCAGCTGCAACTTAGGATCGATACAAAAAGAGGAAAATTACTATAAAAATAGAAAAACAACCCTTGGTACAGCTAGTCAGACTGTGAAATTATTCTCTCTGGCATTACATGTTGTCATTGTGAAGAACACAATGAAAGAAGGCCATTTCTAAATAGTGTGTCAAATGACACATTTTTTGGAAGGTTTCGTTAGTAGTTGGTTTGTGATCGGACTAATCTGTGAATGGGTGTGCACAAGTGTTGACATGACTCATTCAGCGGTTTAGTGTGCAACATTGCAAAGCTTCAATCAGCTGAATGAGAACAAACGTGTCTCAGGAACTTTTGAATAGAAATTGAGATCGTAGAATATTGTTTCCTCTGAAAACACAGCATTCACATATCTTTAACTTCATTTGGGGTAGTTGTTAAGCACCCATCTTTAGATTTTGAGAACTTTTGTTGCTTCAAATGGGAAAAAAATCACTTGGGACAAATGATCTACCCTTCCTTCAATTTTCACTGCTGCAAATTCTCAAGTCCATCATATTTCAAAGGAAACATGAGATAACTGTTTCAACCAATCTCTTATATTTTTCCTTTCTTTTATTTCAGGGCAAAGGTGAAAGTCTGACGTACTGGCTCGAGGGACATGATCCATGCTACAAGATCGACCGAATCAAGCCACCCAAACAAAACTTGTAAACAACCAGAATATTATCCCAACATTATCTGCAACGCATTTGGATCAACAATTTTTTGTAAAGAGGTAAAAAGCATAATCAGCTATTATACCACAGCGTTTGTAGGTCTATTTGAAAAACCTAACAACAAATTCAAATTAACACACAATTGTGTGTTCACCAACAGATTTGTTGTTCGCGATTACAGCTTTCGTTTAGCAACTTTAAGAAAAAGATTCAGAAAAAAAAAGGTTTAGGTCTCATCACACTTGTACAATAACTAACTTTGATCAAGTCAGTTTTTTTTTTTTTTTTAACAAAGACTGAAGTATTTTGTAGTCGCCTTTTAATCTACTACCATGTGGAAGTTGTAACAAAAATTCCGTCATCAAACAAACAGACTGTGAGTTCATAACTATACTGTTGAGAGTCACTAATTTGGTATTAAATTGTATTCAAACTAGTGATGCGTATAAAAAAATATTCTTTGTCTGTACCATCCAAGCTTGGGAAAAAATAGCAAAGTGGTACTGCTTTGTTTGTTTGAGTTCTCATATGGTGTTACATCATTTGACTTGGTGCCCTATCATTTGCGTTGGTGCCCTTGTGCTTAGTGCTAAATATTTGAGGTGGTGCAGCACTAAAGGGCACTGTTGTAGCTACAGAAAACTTTAAAGAAAAAAGGAAATTGACTCAACAGATCAAAATTGACGTACAACGATTTTTTTATGGCTGAATGGACAATAATGCAAGTGGGGGATTTTTGTTTTCTTTTTATTTTCAGATTGAGTGATATTAATAACCTTTGATAGTCACTACTTTTGTTTTAAGGAAATTGTATAAAAAATATGGAGTAAGGTCTAAGGCATGTTTAAAGTAAAACCAATGGACTTGTTTCATTGTTTTTGTCATGTAATGCGGCCGGGGAGGTGGAGTAGAGGGCGCTATTCAGGACTTTTTCCTGTCACCTTGCAAGATGTAATGATGCTAAGTCACTATAAATTTATATTTCCCGGATTCGTTTGTATCAAAGATATATAACTAGGCATCCTATCCTATCTACAAGGATGGGACTAATAAGGGAGCAAAGACACTTCTTCTTCAGTGAAACAATAATTTATTCTTAAAAACTCCAAGATTTTTTTGAACCAATTTGACATCTGTATTGATAGGACTCAGCTATCATTGCTTGTTCATCTGTCATCCGCTACGAATACTGCAAAATCTTTGTTTGTTTACACGTTATCCGACGCAAACTGGTTAACCTATTTTTTTTTAACCTTGTTCCACTCGAATTTGCAGGATAGCTAATAATGAATACAAGTAAATGTCTCAATCAGTATCAAACATGTTTTCCCAAATTGACAATATTCAAATTTCTTGACCAGGTGATGGCAGATCTACCAGCTCACTTCACATCAGAGAGCTCTCTTGAGAAGCACTATAGAAGCACTATAAGGCCCAGGAGAAGGACTGCTTCTCACGGCTAGAACAGACTCAGACCAGAGCTCTCTTGAGAAGCACTATACGGCCCAGGAGAAGGACAGCACCAAGTACACATCACTACCTTGCTGATGCTTCACAGGGATGGAACAGACTCAGACCAGAGCTCCCTTGTACATCGATCACTACCTTGCTGGTGCATCACAGGAATTGAAGAGACTCAGAACAGAGCTCCCTTGAGAAGCACTATACGGCCCAGGAGAAGGACTGCATCAAGTACATCGATCACTACCTTGCTGGTGCTTCACAGGGATGGAACAGACTCAGACCAGAGCTCCCTTGTACATCAATCACTACCTTGCTGGTGCTTCACAGGGATGGAACAGACTCGAAGTACTGCAAAGTAAGACTTTTTCATATTTGAAGAGAAAATGCTCTAACTGTACTTTAAAACGGTTGAGGGAGTAACAGCAAAAGATCTTTCTTGCCCGATTTTTATGCTCAGCACAATAAAACTAAGACAGAAAAAAATTGGAAAATCTGTCAAAAGCAGGATTCATCACACTGAATGTTTTTGGGAACTTTTTGATCGGGTACGACCCGATCACCTTTTTGAAATGGTAATATTTCCGGGTGGGCGGTTTCTAAAATAAAAGTTACACTGTTCCTCACTTTGATGGCCCTTTTTCAATGTGAAGAACCAGTCACTCGTTGGCATTACGGATACACCGTGCCACGAGTATCCTTGAGCAAAAAAAATAATTGCAAAGACATGAAGCAGAACGCGACAACGGGCCTGGAGTACAATTTCCATTGAAGAAAACCCTGTGTCACAATGGGCTTATGCGCTTGCGAGCAACGAACCCGTCGATTAGCTGACTTATTGATGTCCGTCCACCAACCTCCCGCCAAGAACCCATGGAAATACACCAAACGCGGGGAGAATAGCTGAACCACGTGCCTATTATTATTAATGTCCTTACAACTTATTGAGCAGCAACACCCAACAGTGAACTCCGTAGCCAGGAAAAACAACATACAGAACACCAACAAAAGAAATGTTTTCACTCCACGTCTCATACACATGTCGTTTCCCGAAATTTGATCTTTTTTTTGCGACATAAGTTAAAAACATATGTATCTCCCGAAAGTCAGCACATGCTCAGAAAAGCCACAGAAATCTCAATTGATATTATACCCAATTTAACGGATAAAAATCTGTATACAGATATTTCACAAATTAGGACTTGCGCGCTAAGGCCAAAAAAAAAAGTCTTCGGTTTCTGGTATGCGCGCGCGTCGCCGTAGCCATGCCTGCGGAAAAATGAAAAAGGTTTTTTTTTTCAATGAAAGATGATGTCTCAAAACCACCAAACTCACTGGTTTGACTGGAATCCTGCTGCTGCACAATTTTAACGTATTTTTAGATGGGGTTATGATCGAGAATAAGCTTTACAATGTATGTGGCCTCTCTGGTCTCCCATAATATTTGCACTAAGTTTAGTCGGGCACCATTTGCAGTCATCAGCCGACATTTGAAGCAAAAAAAAAAAACAGGTAAAGAAAAACAAAAACGAGTTGTCGCACCACTTTTTGGGCAAGCTCCATACCAGAAACCGGAGACTTTTTTGGGGGCCTTAACTTATTAATTTTTTTTTACACAGCGAATTTCCTCCCATGTATTTCAAGATATGATGCAAATATTACACATTTCCCGGCGCATTATACCTTGCGGCACAGGCTACACCATTATAGAATACAGTTCTCAATAATTCATGGTTATACCTCTGCCCGATTGGGACCTCTGACTCACATTATCAGAGGGAACTGAGGAAATATCAACCTCACGATACTCATTCATCAGTTTGGGTGTTTATTTACAACACCGGTCGTTTCTTTTAGTTCCTTGTCAGGTGGGAAATTTCGGGGAATTCTTTTTAAAGGGGCCTTCGGTCTCCGGTAGCGTTTGATTTTACAACATCAACGACTGACTGAGAGGGTTCAGACCAAATATTGCCCCAAAAAAGGAAAGGGATAACTTGACTGTTCGAAAATATACAGTTCGGCGAAGTTTTCGGGGAACAAACTTAAAACATTATCATATTTCAGAAAAATGGGATAATGTTACTTGACGTGACAGAATCTTTCTGTCAAAGAAAACTCGTAAAAATTGTATCTTATCTTACCTCAAAAGTACTTTTGACATCCATGTGAGAGCAATTGTTAATGGCGGCGTTTTACAGCTACTAGCAACCTTGTAGATATCCAACTATTATGTTGTGTATGCAGACTGCAGTGATCTATTTATAGTGCAACCAGTGTATGACGTCATTTGTTAATCGTCTGTACATTCTAGTACGTGTGTACTCTAGTGTGTTATGGCATGACATGGAACGTGAATACAATACGAAGCAACCAGAAAAGTATCCCTAATCTCAGTCTCTCCTTAATCGGGTATTATTGACGTACGAACACAACAGTGGCGACGAGGATGAACCTTGAACACACGGGTTACGCACAGGATTATCTACGGACTATACATTGTGTGAAACGACCCTGAGTTTTCACAAACTTTTTGCAAAGTTTTCTCGACACGTACGGTGATAACTTTTGCACACACGATGCGCGGTACAGTACAACGTACATGTACATCGCCATTGGTCCATGCATGGTTGACGACGCATAGTAACGATACGTTTTACGATAAACGATAATGGCGACTTTTCAGAGAACTGTGTTCGAGGAATTTAACCCAGTGGACGGTGATATTGATACATATTTGGAGAGACTTGATCAGTATTTCATTGCTGTGGACATTGCGGAGACAGAGGCAAACGCTGTCAAACGCAAGGCTATTTTGTTGAGCAGCATTGGTTTTACGGCATATAAGACACTTAAAGACTTGTGTTTTTCGCAACAACCCAAGGAAAAGTCATTCGAGGATTTGTGTAAACTGTTACGGGGACACTACAGACCCAAGAGACTGGCAGTCGCAGAGAGATTTCGATTTCATAATGCTAGACAAATGCCAGGACAATCAATCTGTGAATACGTTGCTCATTTGAAGAAAATGGCTGTACCGGTATATTGTGACTTTGCGGGGGATCAACTGCAGGAGAGTTTACGTGTGGGCTGCAGTCTGAGAGCATCCAAAAGAAGCTGCTCACTCGCAACTACAATTTCCAACAAACTCTGGATCTCGCTCTCGCAGAGGAGGCTGCTGCAAAGAATGTGAGAGACATGGGCACCGTGGAGACTAAACCAGTGAATAGGGTGCCTTCTCACTACAAGCGTAATCAAAAATGGCAAAAGCCAAGGTCATCGCAACCAAGGAAGCATTGTGACTGCTTTGGACTGAACAATCACAATCGCGATGATTGCCGATACAAGAGTGCCACATGCTACAAGTGCAAGAAAGTGGAACTTTCGCAGTCAGAGTGCAAGTCTGATAGTAAATCAGGCCCTGCACCACCAACCACGAAATACACGCCCCAACAGCGAACCAAGCCCAAAGGACGCGTTCGCTATGTGGGAGACGACGAAAACCCCCGCGAACTTTACGATCCCACTGATGACGCATATCGCGATGACAGTACATTCGTCGACTCGGTTTTTTACGGTTACGACTTTCGATAATTCAAAAGCGGATACGTCAGGAGACACGACAGCCGATACGTACAGCCGTACTTCAACTATCAAGGTTCCTGTCAAGATCGCGAACATTCCCATACAAATGGAACTTGACACAGGTGCCGCTGCATCAATCATGAGCCAGTCAGACTATTCACATTCCAATGCAACCGGTGAATCGTGTCCTACACGCTTACGCGGGTGCCCAATTGCGAATTTTGGGCCAACTGGTTGTCGAGGTTCAGTACGGCGACCAGAAAGCAACGTTACCGCTAATCATCGTCCATGCAGACAAGTACGCACCACCCTTGTTGGGCAGGGAGTGGTTGACAGTTCTCAAGCTGGACTGGCCTAATCTGTTTTCTCAGGGTCAATACGGTGTGAATTCTGACCCAATCGCCGAGTTGAAAAGTGAATATAAGGACATTTTTCAGCCAGAGTTAGGCACAGTACGTGGAGTTAAGGCAACACTGCACGTCAAGGAAGACGCTATTCCAGTTTTCCACAAGGCTCGCACAGTGCCATTGGCTCTTCGCCCCGCAGTCGAAAAGGAACTCGCCAGAATGGAGCAAGAGACAATCATTTACCCAGTTGATTTCAGCGAGTGGGCGACACCCCTGGTGTGTGTACCCAAAACAGATGGTACGGTACGCCTGTGTGGGGATTACAAAAACACTGTAAACAAATCAATCCACACCGATCAGTACCCCATACCTACTTCGGAGGAAGTATTCAGCAAGCTAGCCGGTGGGGAGAAATTCTCCAAAATCGACTTGAAATGCGCATATCAGCAAATGTTGCTCGACGACAAATCCCAAGAATACGTCACGATTAACACGCACAAGGGACTGTATCGGTATACATGCTTACCATTCAGTATCTCATCGAGTCCTGCAATCTGGCAGAGATTCATCGAACAAGTACTAGCAGGTCTGGACAGCACATAAGCAATCATGGATGATGTGCTTGTTACAGGCAAGACGGATGAGGAACATCTCCGCAACGTAAAGAACGTTTTCCAGCGATTCCGGAAATACGGTCTCAGGTTGAAGACCGAAAAGTGTCGGTTCATGCAGGAGAGCGTAATCTACATGGGACGTCGCATTTCTGCAAAAGGGATTCAGCCAACCGACGACAAGGTTGACGCGATACGCAACGCTCCAGTTCCACAGAATGTCACAGAGCTTCGCTCATGGTTGGGGATGGTCAACTTCCAAGCGCAGTTCCTTCCCAACCTGTCGACCATGGCCCATCCGTTAAACGAACTGCTCGGGGATTGTCCTTGGCAGTGGACGGATGAATGTACCAGGGCATTTGAGGCAGTGAAGGACGCCATCAGTTCAGACAAACTTCTCGCTCACTACGACCCAGCACTCCCTCTCGAGCTCGCAACGGACGCATCACCATATGGACTTGGAGCAGTCATGCTGCATGTGTACGCTGACGGCTCCAGACATCCTATAGCATATGCTTCACGCTCACTCAATAAACATGAGAAGGGCTACGCGTAACTGGACAAGGAGGCCCTGGCAATCATGTTCGGTCTCAAACGCTTCCGCACATATCTCTACGGAAGGAAATTTACCATACGGACTGATCAAAAGCCATTGGAGCGCATCCTTGGTCCCAAGACGTCGATTCCAACCCTTGCAGCACAATGTCTTCAGCAATGGGCTGTAATGTTGTCCGCATTTGACTACAACTTGCAGTTCATTCCATCTTCGCAGAATGTGCTCGCGGATGCGCTCTTACATCTCCCATTACCCACAATGGAGGAGGACGATGAAGACGCTATCTACAACATCGAAGACAAACGCCTCGATAGCCTACCAGTAACCAGTAAGGAGATCTCACAGGCTACAAGAACTGATCCTGTGCTTTCGCGCGTGTTAGAGTTCACTAAAAGTGGATGGCCAGCAGAGGTAAGGGACGAACGCCTCAAACCTTTCTTCAATCGCAGACACGAACTATCCACGGAACAGGACTGTTTGTTGTGGGGATTAAGAGTTGTGATACACTACAAGTACGAGAAGTTCATTCTGGGTGAGTTACATGATGCGCATCCAGGAATTGTCAGGATGAAAGAAATTGCACGAAGCTACGTTTGGTGGCCTAACATCGATCGCGACATCGAACAGACTGTTCGTCTCTGTGCTAGCTGTCAACAGACTAGACACCTTCCAGCTGTGGCACCCCTAATGCCATGGGTGTGGCATAGCTCTTCGTGGCACAGAATTCACATCGATTTCGCGCAGAAAAATGGTCACGATTTCCTGATCGTCATTGACGCATACGCAAAATGGCCAGAGATCTTCCACATGAGTAGCACCACCGCGAATGCAACCATCACGGTGCTGCAAGACTTATTCAGCAGGTATGGCATCCCCTACCAACTTGTCAGTGACAATGGACTGCAATTCACAAGTGAGGAGTTCCAATGGTTCCTCAACGTGAATGGCGTAAAACACGTAAGAGTTGCACCGTACCACGCCGCAAGTAATGGTGCAGCAGAACGAATGGTTCAATCCTTCAAACGCGCTCTCAGCTCAAGCAAATCGAGTGTTCGGAGTTTGCAACAACGTATCGACAGTTTCCTGTTGACATATCGCACTACGACACATGCAACAACCGGTCATACTCCTGCGAGTTTGTTCCTAGGACGCGAACTGCGTACTCGTTTGTCCTTGCTACGCCCGGACGTTGAACGCAAGGTGGTCAACATGCAGAGCAACCAAAAGTTGCACCACGACAAACAGACCCAACTCCGCGAGTTCTATGCGGGGGAGGATGTGTTGGTTAAGGATTTCCGCTGCAAAGAGACTTGGTGGCTGGCCACAGTCGCAGAGCGCACAGCCCCAAAGTCTTATGTGGTAATTTTGCAGGATGGTCGAGTGTGGAAAAGACACGTGGATCAGATGAGAAGAGCAGAACGGTCTACATCCAGTCATTCTCAGAACTCAAGGAATGGGATGCACACCTCAGCTGACCAAGATACTGATATGTCTGACCTAGCATCCATTCCGGTGTTTATCCCTACCGCTGAGACAGCTCCAGTCGTTGGCTCGCAAATTCCTCAGACAGAACGTACACACGCGCCACCCTCAAACATCACAAGTGGTGAGCAGACTTCACAATCGGCGACACCGACCGTAACCGCAGATTCCAGTGCTTCACCCAAACCCCTACGTCGTTCGTCAAGGGTCAGCAAACCCCCAGACAGACTCATTGAGACTATGGAATAACCTAACTGTTGTTCGCAGAGGCCGGCATGAGAGTTAAAATGTGCATGTACTGCACTTTGAGTTGTTACAGTTGTGTTAATGTTTATCTTGTTACTCAAGTTGTTTAAACAAGTTTTTAGAGTTGCAGTTTTGAAACAAACAAAAAAGGTTGCAGTTGAAATTGTACGGTATTGGAATGTCATGGGTGTAAAAAAACCCAAAAAACTAACAAACAAGCAAGCAAACAAGAAGGAAATCCTAAGGGAAGTTCCGTTTATTCAAATTAAGGGCAGGAAGAGAAAAAAGCCATTGCTACAATGTACCTTGTCTAGGGACTTGGATTTAATTATGGAAAAAAGGATTTTCTTTGTTTTGAACTTTGGTTTTCTTGCAACAAGTGTTTGTAGGATTAGCATTTTTTGTGTAAGGTGTGACATTGTTTTTATAGACAGAATTTTCAGTCGAGGACATTTTCATAGGGTTGAAAATGATATTTGTGTGTGTGTGTGTGTACAGCTTCCATATTAAGGGGGAGAGGATGTAGTGTACATGCAGACTGCAGTGATCTATTTATAGTGCAACCAGTGTATGACGTCATTTGTTAATCGTCTGTACATTCTAGTACGTGTGTGCTGGAATTTACTACCTTAAGGAGACATGCACACAATAGGGAACAAAAGATTGTATACGTCTCCGCAAGAACATTTCTATAGATGAATACGTCTCCACAAGAATTTCACGAAATAGATATATGGATTTTACTCAAAAACTAGTAATTTCCAAGGTGGGTTGATGTGTCGCAAATGGAAGAGTTTTAGAAAAGGGATATTTAGTCCAAATTTCAGCCCAGGAAATTAATTCTGGTTAAAATTAGAGCATTTTGAAACTTCAATTTCAAACTCGAAACTTTACTACACGAGAACAAAGAAATGTCTCCACAAGGATACAAATTCCAGAATGTGTGTACTCTAGTGTGTTATGGCATGACATGGAACGTGAATACAATACGAAGCAACCAGAAAAGTATCCCTAATCTCAGTCTCTCCTTAATCGGGTGTTATTGACGTACGAACACAACAATTATCATTCGTAACTACCAGCATCAACTAAAACCTCGTTGATTGTGGGCGGGCGTAAGATGGGTGGCGAAAACAAAGAACAGCGATTAGTGTGCAGTGTTTAATTAACAACGGACTTATCTCTCAGTTAGTTCAATTCACCGCCAGTTCAAGTGACCGCTACCCGAGATATCGTAGTGCGGTCCTTTAGATGTTGAAAACAGTCTTGATTCTCTGAAATGATGGTGTTGGATTGGGGAGAAATCTTGGCACACTTAGGCACACCACACAGAGATGAAGAGGAGTCATTGCTTGCTTCGCATAAAGTGTCACATGTCAGTTGAAGGACATTAATGTTGCTTCTTTTTAAGCGTTTCCGCGAATTCCTTGACCGTCTCGCGCAGTCGCTACACACATGGGCGAATAAACGCGTTGTGGCCCGCAGGAGAGTAATAAGTGTGCAACGGCCAATTTTTTATTGTGACTTGTTTATCGCGGTATGGATGTTGCGAAGTCAATCCTTTGTCCATCACTTCAGGCTTAAGGTATACTGTACCAATAATCGATACCGCGCCATTATTCGAAGGTTTTCATGTATTGATTCAACCACAAACCTTGTAACGGGCTTGGCTGAAAGGAATCAATTTACTTATTAATAATTCATTATTGCATGAAGTTAGAAAATATCTCAGTTCCATGTGCCTGTGTGTACTTTATGGAGACTTCAATTATTTTATAATGATGACGTCATGCACGCAAAGTTAGAAACTATGACAAAACGCGTAGGGTTCTCATCTTAAGGTTCGTGGTTCGAGTTCTCTCCTGGTCCTCATTTTTTCCTTTTTTTTTGCACACTCTTCGATTGTTCCCCCTTATTATAACTGTGAGGCGGCCCTATTGTTTAATTGAGATTCGAATTTCACAGCAGAAAAGCTTTTTTCTTTTCTGAATCGAGGTTTGTGGTTCGATTCCTGTCCTGGTCTTCATTTTCCCCCTTTTTTCAACAGTTTTCGACTTTTCCCTTTAATTGTTATTATTAAAGTCGGATTTGAATTTGATAGCAGAAAAAAATCCAGAAATACAAGCGTGCAGTCACATGCACGGCTTCTGCTCTTCTGTTCTACAAACTTTCAAGTTCATGGCCCACAATAATTGCTCTAATAGCAAAGTATATTTGAGGGTACACAAATTGTGATTTGGCTCGCGTAGGCAATGATGGGCCACTTTAATTACAGGTCTGCACCCCTCGTAGTCTCGCACCACATAAATAGTGGTCTCGATCTCCACCACCAAACTCATTTTGGGGGACAACAACTCAAGAAAAACATGATGTATTAGCAGTATTACATTGAATTTTCATACACTTATTTGTCATAATGTTCAACATTACGAGATTTAATTTCATAAGAAACCGTCGAACAATGGAGCTATTATGAGCGCTACAAATACGATCCGAATGGTAGTCAACGTCGATTTTTCGCGTTTAAAACACTACATTGTTGCGATCATATTATATTTGTTGTTTCATGTTTTCACATGATATTCAATCTCCTTATGTAACACATCGTGGAAACTCAGTGCGCGAAATTTCAATGTAATACATAGTTGTATTTATTGAGTAGTTGATCGAAAACGAGTTTGTCATGATGCGCGTTGTACGTGGAGACTACTATTTATGTGGCGCGCTTTCTATTGAACGAAACCTAGACAGACACACGTGTGCAGCGGCTGCGAGTTTACTTTGCGCTCCCTTATTCTCGAAAGAACTGTCGGTTGTTGTTTGACGGTTTCTCACGAAAAGGAATTCTCCTTATGTTACACATCAAGACCGATCACTGGCCGAACTTACAGCAAAGACTGGCGTCTTTGCTGTAAGTTCTTTTGGAAAACCGTCGTAATTCGTCAGTCCTCTGAAGGTACGGAATTCAACGGTTTTTGCTATTCCTATGGAAACATGCATTGTCAGCCTGGTTATTCATATTGGTCAAGACCCCCATTGGTTTGTACACAGTATGCCAGGAGGTGAGATACAAACATTTTGACCATTGGTGACCTCTTAAATAGTACGAGGGTTAAGCAAGCGATCACACTTCTGTAGCTCAGATAAGTGGGGTGATTTTTAAATGACAAAATAATTTTGTTCTGAATTGATTTTCGGCTTCCCTACAATTTGTAGCAATGGGACCATCCATTCCACCCCCAGGCCACATGTCATGCATGTAGTGCAGAGTTAGTCCAGTATTTCAGCTGCATTTATGGGGCTAACAATCTGACAAAAAGCACTTTTTTTCGGCACCATCCGTGATAGCCAGCCCCACAAATGTGGCCAATTTGCTGTACTACCTCCGTAAATATAGGCCACACTTGGAACATGTACCCGAACATAGAACTTTGTCAAGTTTTGATTTTCATATTTAGACTTTGTAGTTTATTTATGCTTTAGAACCCTCTTATACTAGCTATAGAAAAGAAGTTAGGCATTTTTCAGACGTCATTTCGATAATGCAAATGTGTGCAAAGTGCAAACAAACTAGAATTACACAATCAGTGACAATCAAAATGAGCATACATGTAACAATTATGACAATTAGCCGCCGATGTTGCCTGTTGCCATCATGAATATTATCAACCTTAAGCGTCATCATTCTTGGTATTTCCTAACCTTTATACTTTAGGTCAATTTTATAGACAATATCTTGCTCTTTCCAGCAATACCAAACACAACACTTGTAAATTATGTCGAAGAAAAAGTTTATACGAAGAAATAAAACTCTCCAAATTCAAGGTAGTTTGTTTGATTTTTTGCTTTAAAAATACAGAATTTTAATATGCAACCTTCATTAGCACCTTCTGGCACCATGCACTGGAAAATTTGGGGTTTTCTGATCCGACATACATGGTTCATATTTTTAGTGGCAAAACTGGTGTCGCAGTGTATCACAAAGGGGGTGATACATGTACGTGGGTGTACATGTAGCAATGTGGGCCGGCAGAAGTCAAAGGGCGTGGCCGGCCAGCGCTGCGCCAGTGCGGACCACATAATCTTAACACAATGATTCACTTAACTTTGTCAAACTGTTACGTATTGAACACACATATCGCACACCTATGTTTCCTTTGTCAATTCTCTGTCAATTGAGTACCAAATATGTTTCATTCTCTGCCTGCTAGAATAGTTAATTGACTTGAATCACACCCCCTTACATGCCTATTATTAGGGTTGTCTGATTTAAATCGCGTTGATTTAATTCACCGATTTAAATCCCAATTTTTAATTCTTGTCGCAACATTGTTGTGTTATATTGTGACATATGTACCGGTATACTCACATGGTGATTTTATCAATTATTCCTTCTGTTTGTACTCACTCTAAAATGGATCTCCTTATTTGTATTTTTATTCAATTTAAAGCAAAGCACTCAGAGTGTGCAAACCTACATGTACCAACATGACCAAGGATAAACAATTCCCCGCCTTATTGTCAGTTCACCCGAAAGAAATACTCGCATTTATGGTGAAAAATCCTTTAAAAAAATCCTACATGCAGACCCAAAACAAATCCTTTAACTCAAACATTTTGTGTACATGTATGTATGCCTGTGTCGGTCTACCTTTCCACTCCCCCATTGTATAAAATGGTCTAGTCCATTGACCTGTGTGGTTAGATTAGGTGGGTGATAAGGGATACAGGGTCACCGGGTCAGTGCCACGCACAAGAAGAGGGTCACGCAGGGTGATCTGTTGAAAGTTTTCCATCTGATGGGTGAAAAAAATCTGTAAAAAAAATCCTGCATCCAGATGAACATGTAGACTATCTGGATCACTTCCAAAATCCAATCGATTTGTACTTTACCAAAGACCACTCCCGCAAAAACTTTCATGAAAATCCGTCCATAACCAACAAACCAACCAAATCACAAACCAATTAACCCTTACCCTACTAGACCCTCCAACGCATGCCAATATGTGCCTCAAGAAAATCTCCTATGTTTTTTGCATGGCCCTCCAATATCTGCCATGTCATTTCAAGGGTAACTGGACAGGCACTCCAATACATGCCACAGAGAACAATGAGAGTCCTCTGATAACAAAGTGAGTGCCCCCAGCTGGTCAGTATCAGGCACCCTCCAGGGCCTCCAACTCCTGCCAATTGGAGCCTTCACTGTTAAGACAAACTATCTGCCAATAAACTGCAGCTGGAGGGCATTGGCATAACCAACTGACTTGCAGTAAACTACCCTCAGAGAGTAAGGGTTAACGCCGGTGCAAACATAGCCTCCTTGGCGGAGCTACGTAATAAGTTTTTGGATAAACGTTATGAATTGAAAATGTTGCTCAAGAAAATGAAATTGACACTTTATTAATTGAATAGATGTTAATTTTTCTTTTTAGGTTTCAAAGCCTGTTCCCTGGCCGCAGCCTGGGCCTGCATGAGGAGTTCAGCCTGGTGGAGGTGCTGAAGGCCGTCATGATGCAGTGTGGACTTGGGCCGTAAGATGAGCGAGTTGGAGAAAAAGCTGAAGTGCCTGCAGATGCAGCGCAAACTTGTACAAGTAGAGCAAGGTGGCAAAAACGAAGATGAAAATCCACAAACTGAGCACCATCAAACCATCGGTAAGCCTGTTATACCCAAAATATGGCAGTGGTCCCAACTGTAGCCCAAAATATGGCAGAGGTTCCAACTATAGCCCAAAATATGGCAGTGGTCCCAACTGTAGCCCAAAATATGGCAGTGGTCCCAACTATAGCCCAAAATATGGCAGTGGTCCCAACTATACATGTAGCCCAAATAATGGCAGTGGTCCCAACTATAGCCCAAAATATGACAGTGGTCCCAACTATAGCCCAAATTATGGCAGTGGTCCCAACAATAGCCCAAAATATGGCAGTGGTCCCAACTATAGCCCAAAATATGGCAGTGGTCCCAATTGTAGCCCAAAATATGGCAGTGGTCCCAACTGTAGCCCAGATTATGGTAGTGGTCCCAACTGTAGCCCAAATTATGGCAGTGGTCCCAACTATAGCCCAAAATATGGCAGTGGTCCCAACTGTAGCCCAAAATATGGCAGTGGTTCCAACAGTAGCCCAGATTATAGCAGTGGTCCCAACTGTAGCCCAAATTATGGCAGTGGTCCCAACTACAAATTATGGCAGTGGTCCCAACTATAGCCCAAAATATGGCAGTGGTCCAAAGTATAGCCCAAAATATGGCAGTCGTCCCAACTATAGCCCAAAATATGGCAGTGGTCCCAACAATACAATGTAGTTGGGGTGATGTCATACTTGGGGCATTTCACCTCTAAACCCTTCAATAAGAACATATTTCATGTTGCTGTGAAGCACACAACTTTGCTGAACAATGAATCAGAGTTGTAATGACTCAAGTCAATGATTTACAATGTAATTGACTCGACTCAGGTCCCAATGGGTAATTGACTCGACTGGACTCGAGTCTCTCATCAGTAGACTCGACTTTACTTGAGTCGAAGGTTAATAAAACTTGAGTCCTAACACTGTGCGAACATTACAAAGTTTTATATTCACATTACCGTCGAGTTGTTGCCGTTTATCGCGTACAAATACATGTATACGCCTCAGGCCAAAAAAAAAAAAGTTCTGCTTTCAACCGGAAGCAGAATTTTTTTTTTGTAGGGAAACCCCCTATCTACCCTATTCTGACAGCCCCTACCCTAATCTTGTTATGGGAAAAATGACAAAAAAACACCAAAAACCATCAATCTCTGCCTTTAACCCATGACTACACGCAGACTCCTCCATATGATCGTACCAAAAAATATTGGCAAAAAAAAGTCCCTACCCACATGTACCTACCCTATTTTCGAATGACATGTAATTGGAAGCAGAATTACTTTTTTTCTTTTGGCCTTATCACGGACTCCCAACTCGTGTACTATAATGTAGCGTACAAATTACTATCCCGAAACCAGAGTTTTCCCAATTCTTGGTTTCATCTTCGGCTTCGGGCGATTTCCTAAGCCCTTGATGAAACTCCAACTAAATTTATGTTTTCAAATTTTGTTTGATATTTTCTATATAATCAGAAACAGTTTCAAATGTTGCAATTTGTCAGCGTAAAAAATATTTCAGACCTGAATCCAAACCAGAGATGAAACCGGAGTTCACTTCATGTTAATTGGTACGCAGATCTTTGGTAGAAACGTCTAGCAGAAACTGTCTATTGGGTACCATGCAGCGTTTTTTAAGTCTTTGGATTTTCATTACAAACTTGTGCCTTGTGTTCTTTCTTCCATTCTGTAATTTATTAGATGTTGTTCAAATATCACTGACTTAAGCCGGCCTCAGGTCGACCTGCGATTTGCTTGCGCCATGACGGAACCGTCGGCATCAAGCAGAAAAATAATACTCAGATCACAAAACTGAGAAATCGTGTGATTCTCTTGAACAAGCGGCATCCCGATTAAATAATCGCAATTATATAACTGACATATATCCTAGTCATTTGATTGGTGGAACTCACATTACGTGACATTCGTTATTGCTCCCATTCACGCCGCGGCTCAAAAAGTACTATCCGCCCATGGGGAGTGGGAAATACTATTCAACAGTTAGGATCATGAGGCGGTATTTGTGTGCAAATGCATGCTGGTGTGCGCGTTCAGCGTTGCGCGTAGCGCGTATTGTTCCAAAGAGCCAGCGCTACAGCGTTGGGTTCAATCATTTTCGTGAAGGGGTATTTGGAAGAGAGAAATACATTTTCCCTCAGTTTTCTATTGCAAAAAAAGTTCAAATATATCAAATGACAAGGATCTATATGTCAGTTATATAAAACAAATATTGAGTGGCTTTAAATTGTGAAATGGGAGGAATATTATCGCTCAGTATCATCTGGACTTTTCCAGTTCACTCGGCTTCGCCTCGTGAAATGGAAAAGTCCAGATTTTACCTTGCGATAATATTCCTCCCATTCCACGCTGAGCCACTCAATATTTGTATACCATGCTCAAAATTGCTCATGTCACCTTGACGCGACGATCCACCACGATTCCACAGCATAGACAGTCATAGACAGACTTTACCAATAAGGGAGTAAATGTGTTTGGCTGGCTCGGCTCGAGCCATTACCAGCGCGCATTCCCCTGATACGGTCTTAAATGTACTTGTGGTATTCCCATTCACAAATAGCTTTGAGTCAAAAAATCGGCACAAGTCAAACAATTATACATTTCCGATGATTTTGTTGAACAGTTTTATTTAATTTTTTTCTAAACACCCCTCTAGCTATGGTATGGAATATCCTCTCGTGAGTAGGTAAACAATCGCCTTATATGGTGATTGACGCACGTGTGCTGCGTACTACGTGATGTTGCGCAGAACGTGCGGAGTGCCAGAGTAGTGTGCTAATTGGCTAATTGGAAAGGATGATCTTGATGCGCACACGATCGCAACGTCATCATAGAAGTTGAAATTTTTCTTCTCTTGCTACTGTTGATTTTTTTTTAGACCCGACTAATTCCTATCGTGTTAATATCGTCGCAGTTACACTCAGGTCGCAAAAAATTGGTGACTGAAATCTTCCCGCCGGTGGTAGCTCAGGCACAGCTTGATCCTGAAAAGTCGGTCGTCAACTGATCTTTGTCAGTCGCAGGGTCGACCTGAGGCCGGCTTTAAATTGACTAGAGCACAGATTCTACTTGACTCGATTCGACCACACACTGTTACTCCACTCGACTGGATTTGACTCAAGTCACTTCCTTAAAATGACTCGACTCGACTCAAGTCACAACATTCAGTGTCTCGTTACAACGCTGCAAAGAATAGAATTTGTTCATTGTTTAGCAGATGCCGGTTACCAGCTTCATTCCCATGTGATTTATCTTGCTTGGAACTAGTTCTCTTGCACAATTGTTGTCTTGGTAATTTTTCCCATAGATGATGATTTTTCTGCCAATGTTCACAGGAATTGTGAGGATCTGACCAGCCCCGAGGTGGACCGTGTCATCGTCCAGCGACTGAGGGTTGATGAAGTCATTGACCTCCTTTACGGCAAGCTGATGACCTGTTGATCATCAAGGGAATGCGAGACAGTAAGTGATTCCATTTGTGTAGCAGTTCAAGAACGCATAACCAACAAATTTAACAAGCTGTATCTCTGTTAAATTTACAAACTTCAAATGGGCATAATATCACCTACATTGTAGGAAAGTCCGTTTAGAAAATAAAAAGGTCATTGTAAAAAAAGGGAAGATCTTTATTTTAAAAGGCATATAGGATCATTTGATATTCATGACTTTTGTTCGTTTTCAAATAATAAGACCATTCAAAATCAAAAGAAGAATGTTGAATGCCTAACCTATTGAAGTTTCAGCTCAGTGATACCATTTCCCCCCTAGAAAACAGTAAAAAAAAAATAAAAAAAGTGCTCAACCTTTTGATCATGAAACATAATTTGTGTGTTTGTAACTCTTTCTTCAAAAATGAGTCGATTGACTGATCGTTGGAAATCCCCTACATTACTCGGTTTTCTAAATGACAGCAAGACAGACGGAATTATTTTGTGGGGTGTAAAAGTTAATACCGCGGTATGCAACATTTGCAAACATCAAAAAACAAAATTACTAAATTATTATGAAATTTCAGTGAATAATAGTCTCAAGTGTCCTATGAAATCATGGCACCTAGTGTGCTGTCATTTTCCAGAAAAGTGGAATTTTTGTATCAATTTCCAATGATTGTTGGCCGACCATCATTGGAAAAACCTGACTGTTTTCAATACTGCCCCCAATTTGCCAATTATAGTTAGTACACATTTTGTTTGCAATCGGTTACACATCTGTGAGTGCGAGCAATTAAGCCAGCTAGTCTGGTTCCCTGACCCTATCGGTACAATTCCCTGACGCCTATAAATTGCTCTGTTTTGTCTGAAGTAGGGTGAGGAAACCATACTACAAGACAAGAACAGCATTTTTTTCTTGGTTTTCCCAGCATCTATGAACACAAAACTTTAAATAGGTCAGTGTTAAAATACTTGCTTTTAAATACTTACTCCCCAAATCCTTCTATATATGAAAATTACAGCAAAAGAAAATTTTGTACGGTATACATGTTTGTACCGGTATGTACACGTTTAAAAAACAGTCTGATCTGATTAAATGCAAATGATCCTATACGCCTTTAACATTATTTTTAAAAACCTGTTAAAATAGCTTTTCAGAAGAGTCGTATTTGATTCAGTAAAAGACGATTTGATTGTACTCAATTTCATTATAGGTTATTGGCTTGTTGTGCCCATGTTTAGGTAATGTTTTGCTCCAGATCGATTCACTTGAAATCATTTATGTCTTTATGAATGGGTTAAACTGCTTTATTAGAAATCCAAATGCAGAGTTCCAAGCCACCTGACACTGAGTGTTCCTTCTTGGTTCTCCCCAGCTTTTCTCTCATGAGTCCGTCGCAAGCCTCTCCCCAGCAGGGCGCACTAAATCCTCCAACGTCTCCTGAGTCGTTTCGTCCAAGACACCCAACTAGACACCAAAACGGCCCCGCTGATGGCGATCCATGATGTCCAATGCATCAATGATGACTCCAGTGCTTACTTACGCTTCTTCGGCGGCTACTCTTTGTTCTAGGCATGGGAGAGCTCGGGAAGGGGGCGGAGTTTGAGGCTCTGGAAGGGAGGGAGATCTTGAACAGTCTGCTGTGTATCGACGTCAAGCTTGATGGGCTGGAGTCTAGCAACATGGAACCATTGCTGTGCCAGTTGCTGGAAAGGGCAAACATGCCCAGAGAACTCAACAAGTAAGTTTACTCACATCTTGTGTTTATTTGGCAATTTATATCCACATAGTTCCGACTGGCGAACAAGAGTCAAGCCATCCCAAAAATCAGTAAGCCCAACTAGATTTTCATTTCACTAAGGTGAAATTACCATTGAACAGATAATTACCAATCACTGACCATGTTTGTCCAAACAAATTTTACACTAAAAGTATAGGTGGCGGCTCAAAACTGAGTTTTTATCCAACAGTCGTGATTTTATCCTCATGTCTCAGACAGGCAAACCTGCTGTAGATTTGCAGCAGTTTGCATTAGGTTCAGCTCATGAGTAGTCTGAGTATCACCCGTTCTAGCCCTAACTCCATTCAAACGTCTAGGAATGCAAATGTGTGCAGTGCCATGAGCTAGTCAATCAGAGTCAACGTTAAATCAGGACGTAATTTCATTCCGAAATCTTGACAACATGTACAAGTGTGATTGGTTGATTCCGATGCAGTGTTTTATACTAAAACAACGGCCGGGCCTAGATCTATAGAATCTAGACAAGCTTGGGGTGTATCGCGTAACATAACACAGAGTGCCTGACCACAGCCTTTGTGTGCTCAATTCACAGCGTATCCCATGTTGTGTCTGGAGGGGTTTTTTTAATCATGTATATGATGCGACAATTGGTGAATGACCGAAGGCCTGATATAGAAAGTGCCCTCTGATTGGTCCAAATCTAGAGGTGTTGCATAATTAATCAGCGAATCTGCTCAAATATTATATACTAGCTCATGAGTGGATTTACGTCTAAAATCAAGATGTGCCATGGTCCTTTCAAATGCCACTTAGAAGTTGAGTCGCTGTTCCAAATTGTTTTAAAAGTGTAGCCAGGTTTTTGTACCATGCCAAAACAAAACGAGCACAAATGGCCATTTGATTTATGTTTTAAAGTATTGAAGGTCAATGTCAAAAGAAGAGCAAATCATTCTAACTTGAAATTTCGGACGGGACACATGGTTGAGTCAAAGTCAAAATCGCCTGGTGCAGAAATAACTTCTGTAATTAGGCCACAGTTGGGAACACATTGGGAACACACAGTGCTCCAAAAAGAAGCTTATGGAATTGGAACATTTCAACTTTTAAGATGTGCCCTAACTTGAACCAAAGATAACTATTCAATACTACAGGAGCAGAAAAATAAAGAACTAAGCTTTCAGTGCCAAGCATTTGAAGTATCACATGGAAACAAATTTGTGGCAAGTTTTGTAAAATCACAGTTACCAGAGATACAGAGAAAATGTTGTTTTAAATGAAACTTTTGTTACTTTTTTTCCATTCAGATTGATGAGAATGAGGTTGATCACATTGTCAACAAGGAGTGTGAAAAACTGGACAAGAGACTTGGAGAGGGGGCCAAGGTGAGCTTGCCGACACCCAAGATTTGCAGAGGGCAGAACTGGACTTGGCTGTTTTGGGCAGAGATGTAACCAGATCAGTCACGTTGAATAGATTTGAGACTGAATGACTCTTAGTTAACTTGTGATGACTTGTGACTGATTTTGTAAACAGTTTGGCTTAAGGCTCGACTAGGTAGTCTTGTATTTTCCAGTTAAACATTTATTTGTGGTAATTTTTCTTGGTCATATGCGAGACCTGTCGATGCAAACTTGCAATTTACACATTCATTTTGAAACAATACACCCAAGAAGTCTGACATCATGCAAGTCGTCTAAGTGGTAAGTCTAAACAATGTCTTGTTCGCCACTTTTACCTTCGGATTTGCACAGGCATAAGTTGAACGTGTTTTGATAAAAAGTAAATGGTAAGCCCTTATCGTATTGAATTTGTGATAAAAACTTAACTTTCCCCATTTTTATAAAAATGCAAGGCTAACCCTTACCGTATTGAAATTTTGATGAAAATTTACGTTCGTGCTATTTTTTGATAAAAAGCTACCATAAAAACTAAGTTTGTTTTTGCCCCTTTTTGATAAAAATGCGAGGCTAATCCTTAACAGTTTTGAATATCTGATGAAAAGTTAACTTTTGACCAGTTTATGATAAAAATTCAAGGCTAACCACGAACCGGTTCGAATATGTGATAAATAATTCTTTTTGTCCCTTTTTGATAAAAATGAAAGGCTAATCCACTACCGCTTTGAATTTGTGATAAAAAAATTTTGCCCTGTTTTGAAAAAAAAATGCAAGGCTAACCCCTTACCGTTTTGATTTTGTGATAAAAACGTAACTTTCCCCCATTTTGATAAAAATGCAAGGCTAACCCCTTGCCGTTTTGAATTTGTGATAAAAACTTAACTTTCTCCCATTTTGATAAAAATGCAAGGCTAACCCCTTACCGTTTTTAATTTGTGATAAAAACTTAACTTTCCCCCATTTTGATAAAAATGCAAGGCTAACCCCTTCATTAGCCCTTACCGTTATGAATTTGTGATAAAAAGTTAACTTTCCCCCATTTTGATAAAAATGCAAGGCTAACCCCTTACCGTTTTGAATTTGTGATAAAACTTAATTTTCCCCCATTTTGATAAAAATGCAAGGCTAACCCCTTCATAAGCCCTTACCGTTTTGAATTTGTGATAAAAAGTTAACTTTCCCCCAGTTTGATAAAATGCAAGGCTAACCCCTTCATTAGCCCTTACCGTTTTGAATATGTGATAAAAACTTAGCTTTCCCCCATTTTGATAAAAATGCAAGGATAAAAAGGTTTTTTTGCCCCGTTTTTGATAAAAATGCAAGGCTAACTTGCACTAACTAACCCATTTCCGTTTTGATTTTGTGATCAAAAGTTAACGCTTACCCCGTTTTGAAAAAAAATGCAATGCTAACCCCTTACCGTTATAATTTGTGTTAAAAAGTACATTTCCCTCCATTTTTATAAAAATGCAAAGCTAACACCTAGCCTTTTTGATTTTGTGATTAAAATTTGCTTTTGACCAGTTTTTATAAAAATGCATGGCTAACCCCTTACTGTTTTGAATTTGTGATAAAAAGTTAACTTTTGACCCGTTTTGATAAAAAAATTTAGACCACACACAAAAGCACACATTGAAGCGATGATTTGACTTTTGGCATAGTGTTTTGAGCTACTTCTTCATTTCTATATGTAACCTTTTGTTTAAATTTTGGATCAAAATTAGGGTTTTTTTTCCATCCCTTATTGATAGAAATGAAAGGCTAATCTGTTAACGCTTTGATTTTCTAATAAAAGTTATCTTGTGTCACGTTTTGATAAAACATTCTTAGCCCACACACAAAAGCACACATTGAAGCGATGATTTGGCTTTTGGCATAGTGTTTTGAGCCACTACTTTACAATGTATTTCTCTTTCTTTGATGTTCTGTTGATGGAGTTCGGTTTAACAAAGAAAAAACAAGGTCTTACCATTTCAATTTTTTTATAATGAACTAAATTTTTGTCCAGTTTTAATCAGAATGCAAGACTATTAACGCATTACCATTTTGAATTTGTGATAAAAATTAACTTTTCTCCCATTTTGATAAAATGCAAGGCTAACCCCTTACCGATTTGAATTTGTGATAAAAATGTAACTTCCCCCATTTCGATAAAAATGCAAGGCACCTTACTGTTTTGAATTTGTGATAAAAGTTTACTCTTGCCCGTTTTGAATTTGGATAAAAAAGTTGGTTTTCATCCTTTTCTTGATACAAATGCAAGGCTAACCCCTTACCATTACAACTTTGTGATAAAATCTTAACTTCCCCCATTTGATCAAAATGCAAAGCTTTACCCTTATTCCTGTTTTTGATAGAAATGTAAGGCTATCCCCTTACCGTTGTAAATTATGGATACGAATGTGTTTTTGCCTCTTTCTGATAAAAATACAAGGCTAACCCCTTACCGTTTTAAATTTTTGGATAAAAATGTGTTTTTGCCTCTTTTTGATAAAAATACATGTACATGTACAAGGCTAACCCCTTACCGTTTTAAATTTTTGATAATGTGTTTTTGCCCCTTTTTGATAAAAATACAAATTTTGGATAAAAATGTGTTTTTGCCCCTTTTTGATAAAAATGCCAGGCTAACCCCTTACCGTTTTAAATTTTGGATAAAAAATGTGTTTGTGCCCCTTTTTGATAAAAATACAAGGCTAACCCCTTACCTTTTTAAATTTTGGATAAAAAATGTGTTTTTGTCCCTTTTTGATAAAAATGCAAGGCTAACCCCTTACCGTTGTAAATTTTGGATAAAAATGTGTTTTTGCCTCTTTTTTCATAAAAATGCAGTTAACCCCTGACCGTTTTAAATTTTGGATAAAAATGTGTTTTTGCCTCTTTTTGATAAAAATGCAAGGCTAACCCCTTACCGTTTTAAATTTTCGATAAAAATGTGTTTTTTCCCCCTTTTTGATAAAAATGCAAGGCTAACCCCTTACCGTTTTAAATTTTGGATAAAATGTGTTTTTGCCCCTTTTTCATAAAAATGCCAGGTTAACCCCATACCGTTTTAAATTTTGGATAAAAAGTGTTTTTGCCTCTTGTTGATTAAAATGCAAGGTTAACCCCTTACCGTTTTAAATTTTGGATAAAAATGTGTGTTTGCCCCTTTGGATAAAAATGCAAGGCTAACCCCTTACCGTTGTAAATTTTGGATAAAAATGTGTTTTTCCCCATTTTGATAAAAATGCCAGGCTAACCCCTTACCGTTTTAAATTTTGGATAATAACGTGTTTTTGCCCCTTTTTCATAAAAATGCAAGGGTGACCCCTTACCGTTTTAAATTTTGGATAAAAATGTGTTTTTGCCTCTATTTGGTAAAAATGCAAGGCTAACCCCTTACTGTTGTAAATTATGGATAAAAATGTGTTTTTGCCTCTTTCTGATAAAAATACAAGGCTTACCCCTTACCGTTTTAAATTTTTGGATAAAAATGTGTTTTTGCCTCTTTCTGATAAAAATACAAGGCCAACTAACCCCTTACCGTTTAAAATTTTGGATAAAAATGTGTTTTTGCCCCTTTTTGATAAAAATGCAAAGCTTACCCCTTACCGTTGTAAATTTTGGATAAAAATGTGTTTTTGCTTCTTTTTGATAAATATACAAGGCTAACCCCTTACTGTTGTAAATTTTGGATAAATAAAGGTGTTTTTGCCCCTTTTAGATAAAAATGCAAGGCTAACCCCTTACTGTTTTAAGATTTGGATAAAAATGTGTTTTTGCCCTTTTTTGATAAAAATGCAAGGCTAACCCCTTACCGTTGTAAATTATGGATAAAAATGTGTTTTTGCCCCTTTTTGATAAAAATTCAAGGCTAACCCCTTACTGTTGTAAATTATGGATAAAAATGTGTTTTTGTCCCTTTTTGATAAAAATGCAAGGCTAACCCCTTACTGTTGTAAATTTTGGATAAAAATGTGTTTTTGCCTCTTTTGGATAAAAATGCAAGGCTAACCCCTCACCGTTTTAAATTTTGGATAAAAATGTGTTTTGCCCCTTTTTGATAAAAATGCAAGGCTAACCCCTTACCGTTTTAAAATTTGGATAACAATGTGTTTTTGCCCCTTTTTGATAAAAATGCAAGGCTAACCCCTTACCATGCTCACCGTTGTAAATTTTGGATAAAAATGTGTTTTTGCCCCTTTTTGATAAAAATGCAAGGCTAACCCCTTACCGTTTTAAATTTTGGATAATAACGTGTTTTTGCCCCTTTTTAATAAAAATGCAAGGTTAACCCCTTATCGTTTTAAATTTTGGATAAAAATGTGTTTTTGCCTCTTTTTGATTAAAATACAAGGCTTACCCCTGACCGTTTTAAATTTTGGATAATAACATGTTTTTGCCCCTTTTTCATAAAAATGCAAGGGTAACCCCTTACCGTTTTAAATTTTGGATAAAAATGTGTTTTTGCCTCTATTTGGTAAAAATGCAAGGCTAACCCCTTACTGTTTTAAATTTTTGGATAAAAATGTGTTTTTGCCTCTTTTTGATAAAAATACAAGGCTAACTAACCCCTTACCGTTTTAAATTTTGGATAAAAATGTGTTTTTGCCCCTTTTTGATAAAAATGCAAGGCTTACCCCTTACCGTTTTAAATTTTGGATAAAAACGTGTTTTTGCCCCTTTTTGATAAAAATGAAAGGCTAACCCCTTACCGTTTTAAATTCTGGATAATAACGTGTTTTTGCCCCTTTTTAATAAAAATGCAAGGTTAACCCCTTATCGTTTTAAATTTTGGATAAAAGCGTGTTTTTGCCCCTTTTTGATAAAAATTCAAGGCTAACCCCTTACTGTTGTAAATTATGGATAAAAATGTGTTTTTGCCTCTTTTGGATAAAAATTCAAGGCTAACCCCTTACTGTTGTAAATTTTGGATAAAAATGTTTTTGCCTCTTGTTGATCAAAATGCAAGGTTAAAGGGAATATACAACATTTGCAAACATCGAAAAATACAACTACCAAGTTTTTGCAAAATACCTTAACAGGATGTTGGTAAATGACAGTCTAAAGCATCCTGTAAAATTATGGCACCTGGTATACTGTCATTTTCAAGAAAAGTGGTATTTTTGTATCAATTTCCAACGCTGATCGGCCGATCAGCGTTGGAAACAACTGGCTTTTTTTCAAATACTGGCCCCAATTGACCATTGCATTTGTTTGCAATCGATTACAAACCTATAAACGGGTACGAGCCAGCTAGACTGGTTCCCTGACCTTACAATTCCCCCAATGTATGTAAACTGCTCTGTTTCTTCTTATATGGAGTCAGGGAACCAGACTACAGGAAAATGATCGTTTTTCTTGGTTTTTATAGCATTTTCGAACCCAAAACCTCCAAAAAGTTAGTGTCAATATATCTGCTTTATATTTCCAACCCCCAATTCCATCCATTTCTGAAACTTACAGCAAAAGCAAATGATGTATATTCCCTTTAACCCCTTACCGTTTTAAAATTTGGATAACAATGTTTTTTTGCCCCTTTGGATAAAAATGCAAGGCTAACCCCTTATCGTTGTAAATTTTGGATAAAAATGTGTTTTTGCTCCTTTTTGATAAAAATGCAAGGCTAACCCCTTACCGTTTAAAATTTTGGATAATAACGTGTTTTTGCCCCTTTTTAATAAAAATGCAAGGTTAACCCCTTATCGTTTTAAATTTTGGATAAAAACGTGTTAGTTTGCCTTTTTTGGATAAAAATGCAAGGCTAACCCCTTACCGTTGTAAATTTTGGATAAAAATGTGTTTTTACCTTGTGCTTTGGTGCTTAAAATTCAAGAACTTGTCAGAGTAATGATGTGATTATTGAAGAAATAAAGAGAAACAAAATGGAAATAAAAGCTTTTATACCTTGTGTGTTCACTTTATTTAGCATTTGTCCAATAGCAATTGTTTAATAGCTTAAAATAAGGAAAAAGAATGATTTAATGAATATTCATCAGGAAATCAATGAATATTCATAAGGCGAAATATATAATGAGTATGAACAAATGATGGTATAGCTGAAAAGTGGTTTCACCACTGAATATTCATAAGGCGAAATATATAATGAGTATGAACAAATGATGGTATAGCTGAAAAGTGGTTTCACCACTGAATATTCATAAGGCGAAATATATAATGAGTATGAACAAATGATGGTATAGCTGAATATTCATAAGGCGAAATATATAATGAGTATGAACAAATGATGGTATAGCTGAAAAGTGGTTTCACCACTGAATATTCATAAGGCGAAATATATAATGAGTATGAACAAATGATGGTATAGCTGAATATTCATAAGGCGAAATATATAATGAGTATGAACAAATGATGGTATAGCTGAAAAGTGGTTTCACCACTGAATATTCATAAGGCGAAATATATAATGAGTATGAACAAATGATGGTATAGCTGAATATTCATAAGGCGAAATATATAATGAGTATGAACAAATGATGGTATAGCTGAAAAGTGGTTTCACCACTGAATATTCATAAGGCGAAATATATAATGAGTATGAACAAATGATGGTATAGCTGAATATTCATAAGGCGAAATATATAATGAGTATGAACAAATGATGGTATAGCTGAAAAGTGGTTTCACCACTGAATATTCATAAGGCGAAATATATAATGAGTATGAACAAATGATGGTATAGCTGAAAAGTGGTTTCAGCACTGAATATTCATCAGGAAATCAATGAATATTCATAAGGCGAAATATATAATGAGTATGAAAAAAATGATGATATAGTTGAAAAGTGGTTTCGGACCCAAAATTCGGACCCAAAATTCGGACCTAAAATTCGGACCCAAAATTCGGACCCAAAATTCGGACCCAAAATTCGGACCCAAAATTCGGACCCAAAATTCGGACCCAAAATTCGGACCCAAAATTCGGACCCAAAATTCGGACCCAAAATTCGGACCCAAAATTCGGACCCAAAATTCGGACCCAAAATTCGGACCCAAAATTCCAGTGCACTACTTGGGTCCCCCAAAATTCGGACCAGCTTGAAAAAATTCAAATTCGGACCCAAAATTCGGACCCAAAATTCGGACCCAAAATTCGGACCCAAAATTCGATGCATGCAGGACCTGAACCCACAACGCCTGGGTTTCCAGTCACAACTACTAACCAGTGCACTACTTGGGTCCCCCCAGTACATTTCCCTATTTTATAAACTTAGCTCTTAGGTTCCCTAAATAAATTTCAATAACAGTGCTTCCACACTTAGCCACACACAACTCTGAAACTCTCTTACAAATTCTAATATTTCAACTTCCTGTCTATTTATTTTTTTGAAAAAAAAAAAATTTACCATCCAGATTGCTCTTTCTTTTTTTTTGACAAACAAAAAAAGGCAAACAATTGTGTTTTTTTGGAGCTACAAATCAAATTGTTTGATCCAATCATAATTATTCTAATAGTGCATTGGAACTTAACAGATCATGTTTTTCAGCTGGCTACAGTTCAATTCCACACATCTCGAGAGAAGACGCATTAACAAAAACATTGTAATTACTGATGACTGATTTGATTTATTGAAATAATTATGACCGACAGAACAATTCATACACAAGAGAAAAGTAAATAATAACAGGAATAATTTGTACAGAAAACCACTGCCTTGCGATGCCATGGATAGTTAGAAAGGCAGTTTCAATAATGTTACATAGTACAGACTTCATACATTGTTAATATGTACTCTGAAATTATTCTACAGTACTATTTACAGCTTTTATACAAATGTGCATAAACACAGCATTGGTAGTTAATTTTAACGGATAATTTCAATAAAATCATTTGAAATACTTCCATGTGTAGCTATGGTTGGTCATTTTTTGGTCCATAAAATATTAATCCTTCAAAAAAGTGTAAGATTTAAACTGAAAACTGTCCCATTCATTATTGCTAATTTCCTGTTAACGTTTAAAGGCACATTTTGCTTGTTTCGCTGAACAAAAACAATATAATGTACATTATTGTTGATTCCTCTGACAAATGCACTTAGTTTCTAACATTAGGTGTTTTTCAACTAACCTCAAAACTTAAACGTCATTTTTTCATAAAAAAATCAAACATAATTTCAGTGTTATCCCAATTATAGTTTTCTTCTCTACACATTTCCCTTCGCATCTGGGAAATAAATTTACCTCTTTTTTTCCGTTCAAACCATGAAACCACAGATACTTTATAGTTACTTATAAAACTAGAGACTTATGAAATAAATAATTTTGGAATCTGTTGAAGTCTGTGGTGTTACATAACCATCAGAATGCACATCTATCAGCCTCATTTCAACAATATGGATGACTGTATGTTACACAATGAGTGCGTTTGATTATTTTCCCCAGCTTACTCGCGCTTGGCTCGCGTGATGACAGACATGCGCAGTGGAGCTAAATAAACGAACGGTTCCAGGTTAAGTTTTGTGCAAGGAGCTGGAAAGTTGAACTTTGACATGACACTGAGGCTGCATCCGAATCAAGTGTCTAGCTCTGCGCCCACTGAAAATAGTGGCGGGGACGCACTGACAATAGACGTAGCCGTGGCTCTGGAAGCCTGTTTCGGACACGGCCTGAGGCGCCCGCCGAACGTCACGTTGGCAGCCGTGTTCATTGTATGGCCTTATGGGATACTTACCCAAGTAACTGGCTCGGTGAGTCGGTTACTTGGGCCAAGCTTGAGTAAGCACGAGAAGTCACGTGAGAGGTCAATCGAATGCTGTTGTGCTTGCACGAGTAAGCGTGGGGGAAGTAATCGAACGCACTAAAATTAAGCAAAGCTTACCTGAATAACCCTTAAGCAATGAAGAAAGATCTTTTGCTGTTAATCCCTCAACCGTTTTAAAGTACAGTATGATTTTCTCTTCAAATATGAAAAGTCTTACTTTGCAGTACTTCAAGTCTATTCCATCCCTGTGAAGCACCAGCAAGGTAGTGATGTGTACTTGGTGCAGTCCTTCTCCTGGGCCGTATAGTGCTTCTCAAGGGAGCTCTGGTCTGAGTCTCTTCCATCCCTGTGATGAAGCACCAGCAAGGTAGTGATGTATATGTACTTGATGCGGTCCTCCTCCTGAGCCGTACAGTGCTTCTCAAGAGAGCTCTGGTCTGAGTCTGTTCTAGCTGTGAGAAGCAGTCCTTCTCCTGGGCCGTATAGTGCTTCTCAAGGGAGCTCTGGTCTGAGTCTGTACCATCCCTGTGAAGCATCAGCAAGGTAGTGATCGATGTACTTGATGCAGTCCTTCTCCTGGGCCGTATAGTGCTTCTCAAGGGAGCTCTGGTCTGAGTCTGTTCCATCCCTGTGAAGCATCAGCAAGGTAGTGATCGATGTACTTGATGCAGTCCTTCTCCTGGGCCGTATAGTGCTTCTCAAGGGAGCTCTGGTCTGAGTCCGTACCATCCCTGTGAAGTATCAGCAAGGTATACATGCAGTGATGTACTTGGTGCGGTCCTTCTCCTGGGCCGTATAGTGCTTCTCAAGAGAGCTCTGGTCTGAGTCTGTTCCATCCCTGTGAAGCATCAGCAAGGTAGTGATGTACTTGGTGCGGTCCTTCTCCTGGGCCGTACAGTGCTTCTCAAGGGAGCTCTGGTCTGAGTCTGTTCCATCCCTGTGAAGCACCAGCAAGGTAGTGATCGATGTACTTGGTGCGGTCATTCTCCTGGGCTGTATAGTGCTTCTCAAGGGAGCTCTGGTCTGAGTCTGTTCCATCCCTGTGAAGCATCAGCAAGGTAGTGATGTACTTGGTGCGGTCCTTCTCCTGGGCCGTACAGTGCTTCTCAAGGGAGCTCTGGTCTGAGTCTCTTCCATCCCTGTGAAGCATCAGCAAGGTAGTGATGTACTTGGTGCGGTCCTTCTCCTGGGCCGTACAGTGCTTCTCAAGGGAGCTCTGGTCTGAGTCTGTTCCATCCCTGTGAAGCATCAGCAAGGTAGTGATGTACTTGGTGCGGTCCTTCTCCTGGGCCGTACAGTGCTTCTCAAGAGAGCTCTGGTCTGAGTCTGTTCTAGCCGTGAGAAGCAGTCCTTCTCCTGGGCCTTATAGTGCTTCTATAGTGCTTCTCAAGAGAGCTCTCTGATGTGAAGTGAGCTGGTAGATCTGCCATCACCTGGTCAAGAAATTTGAATATTGTCAATTTGGGAAAAAATGTTTGATACTGATTGAGAGATTTACTTGTATTCATTATTAGCTATCCTGCAAATTCGAGTGGAACAAGGTTAAAAAAAAAATAGGTTAACCAGTTTGCATCGGATAACGTGTATACAAACAAAGATTTTGCGGTATTCGTAGCGGATGCCAGATGAACAAGAATGATAGCTGAGTCCTATAAATACAGATGTCAAATTGGTTCAGAGAACTCTTAGAGTTTTTAAGAATAAATTATTGTTTCACTGAAGAAGAAGTGTCTTTGCTCCCTTATTAGTCCCATCCTTGTAGATAGGATAGGATGCCTGGTTATATATCTTTGATACAAACGAATCCGGGAAATATAAATTTATAGTGACTTGGCATCATTACATCTTGCAAGGTGACAAAAGAAAGTCCTGAATAGCGCCCTCTACGCCACCTCACCCGGCCGCATTACATGACAAAAACAATGAAAAAAGCCCATTGGTTTTACTTTAAACATGCCTTAGACCTTACTCCATATTTTTTATACAATTTCCTTAAAAAAAGTTAAAACATAAGTAGTAACTATCAAAGGTTATTAATATCACTCAATCTGAAAATAAAAAGAAAACAAAAATCCCCCACTTACATTATTGTCCATTCAGCCATAAAAAATCGTTGCGCGTCAATTTTGATCTGTTAAGTCAATTTCCTTTTTTTCTTTAAAATTTTCTGTAGCTACAACAGTGCCCTTTAGTGCTGCACCGCCTCAAATATTTAGCACTAAGGAGCACAAGGGCACCAAGGCAAATGATAGGGCACCAAGTCAAATGATGTAACCCATATGAGAACTCAAACAAACAAAGCAGTACCACTTTGCTATTTTTTCCCAAGCTTGGATGGTACAGACAAAGAATATTTTTTTAAACGCATCACTAGTTTGAATACAATTTAATACCAAATTAGTGACTCTCAACAGTATAGTTATGAACTCACAGTCTGTTTGTTTGATGACGGAATTTTTGTTACAACTTCCACATGGTAGTAGATTAAAAGGCGACTACAAAATACTTCAGTCTGTGTAAAAAAAAAAAATAGGCGACTTGATCAAAGTTACTTATTGTACAAGTGCGATTAGGCCTAAACCTTTTTTTTCCTGAATCTTTTTCTTAAAGTTGCTAAATGAAAGCTGTAATCGCGAACAACAAATCTGTTGGTAAACACACAATTGGGTGTTAATTTGAATTTGTTGTTAGGTTTTTCAAATAGACAAACAAACGCTGTGATATAATAGCTGATTATGCTTTTTACCTCTTTACAAAAAATTGCTGATCCAAATGCGTTGCAGATAATGTTGGGATAATATTCTGGTTGTTTACAAGTTTTGTTTGGGTGGCTTGATTCGGTCGATCTTGTAGCTTGGATCATGTCCCTCGAGCCAGTACGTCAGGCTTTCACCTTTGCCCTGAAATAAAAGAAAGGAAAAAGATAAGAGATTGATTGAAACAGTTATCTCATGTTTCCTTTGAAATATGATGGACTTGAGAATTTGCAGCAGTGAAAATTGAAGGAAGGGTAGATCATTTGTCATTTGTGATTTTTTTCCCATTTGAAGCAACAAACGTGCTCAAAATCTAAAGATAAGTGCTTAACAACTACCCCAAATGATAAAAGATATGTGAATGCTGTGTTTTCAGAGGAAACAATATTCTAGGATCTCAATTTCTATTCAAAAGTTGCTAAGACACGTTTGTTCTCATTCAGCTGATTGAAGCTTTGCAATGTTGCACACTAAACCGCTGAATGAGTCATGTCAACGCGTGTGCACACCCATTCACAGATTAGTCCGATCACAAACCAACTAAACAAAAACTTCCAAAAAATGTGTCATTTGACACACTATTTAGAAATGGCCTTCTTTTATTGTGTTCTTCACAATGACAACATGTAATGCCAGAGAGAATAATTTCACAGGCTAAGGGTTGTTTTTCTATTTTTATAGTAATTTTCCTACTTGGGTCTCGATCCTTTGCGGCTGGACTCTGATGTTCTCATAGAGCTATATTAAAGTACAATACTTGTGATGTACTTGTGACTAGACTTGTGATGTACTTGTGACTGGACTTGTGATTTACTTATGACTGGACTTGTGATGTACTTGTGACTGGACTTGTGATGTACTTGCCACCAGACTTGAGATGAACTTGTGACTGGACTTGTGATATACTTGTGACTGGACTTGTGATTCACTTGTGACTAAAATTGTGATATACTTGGACTCGACTTGTGATGTACTTGCCACCAGACTTGTGATGTACTTGTGAACAGACTAGTGATGTACTTGTGACTGGGCTTATGATGCACTTGTGACTAGACTTGTGATGTTCTTGTGACTAGACTTGTGATGTTCTTGTGACTGGACTTGTGATGTACCTGTGGCTGGACTTGTGATGTACCTGTGACTAAACTTGTGATGTTCTTGTGACTAGACTTGTGATGTACTTGTGACTGGACTTGTGATGTTCCTGTGACTGGACTTGTGATGTACTTGTGACTATAGACTTGTAATGTACTTGTGGCTGGACTTGTGATGTACTTGTGACTGGACTTGTGATGTACTTGTGACTAGACTTGTAATGTACTTGTGGCTGGACTTGTGATGTCCTTGTGACTGGACTTGTAATGTACTTGTGACTGGACTTGTGATGTACTTGTGACTAGACTTGTGATGTACTTGTGGCTGGACTTGTGATGTACTTGTGACTAGACTTGTAATGTACTTGTGGCTGGACTTGTAATGTACTTGTGGCTGGACTTGTAATGTACTTGTGGCTGGACTTGTGATGTACTTGTGACTAGACTTGTGATGTACTTGTGGCTGGACTTGTGATGTACTTGTGACTAGACTTGTAATGTACTTGTGGCTGGACTTGTAATGTACTTGTGGCTGGACTTGTAATGTACTTGTGGCTGGACTTGTGATGTACTTGTGACTAGACTTGTGATGTACTTGTGGCTGGACTTGTGATGTACTTGTGACTAGACTTGTGATGTACTTGTGGCTGGACTTGTGATGTACTTGTGACTAGACTTGTAATGTACTTGTGGCTGGACTTGTGATGTACTTGTGACTAGACTTGTAATGTTCTTGTGACTGGACTTGTGATGTCCTTGTGACTAGACTTGTGATGTACTTGTGACTGGACTTGTGATGTACTTGTGACTAGACTTGTAATGTACTTGTGGCTGGACTTGTGATGTCCTTGTGACTAGACTTGTGATGTACTTGTGACTGGACTTGTGATGTACTTGTGACTAGACTTGTAATGTACTTGTGGCTGGACTTGTGATGTACTTGTGACTAGACTTGTAATGTACTTGTGACTGGACTTGTGATGTCCTTGTGACTAGACTTGTGATGTACTTGTGACTGGACTTGTGATGTACTTGTGACTAGACTTGTAATGTACTTGTGGCTGGACTTGTGATGTACCTGTGACTAAACTTGTAATGTACTTGTGACTGGACTTGTGATGTACTTGTGACTAGACTTGTGATGTACCTGTGACTAAACTTGTAATGTACTTGTGACTGGACTTGTGAAGTACTTGTGACTAGACTTGTAATGTACTTGTGACTAGACTTGTAATGTACTTGTGGCTGGACTTGTAATGTACTTGTGACTGGACTTGTGATGTACTTGTGGCTGGACTTGTGATGTACTTGTGACTAGACTTGTGATGTACTTGTGACTAGACTTGTAATGTACTTGTGGCTGGACTTGTGATGTACTTGTGACTAGACTTGTAATGTACTTGTGGCTGGACTTGTGATGTACTTGTGACTAGACTTGTAATGTACTTGTGACTTAACTTGTGATGTTCCTGTGACTGGACTTGTAATGTACTTGTGACTGGACTTGTAATGTACTTGTGGCTGGACTTGTGATGTACTTGTGACTAGACTTGTAATGTACTTGTGGCTGGACTTGTGATGTACTTGTGACTAGACTTGTAATGTACTTGTGACTTAACTTGTGATGTTCCTGTGACTGGACTTGTAATGTACTTGTGACTGGACTTGTAATGTACTTGTGGCTGGACTTGTGATGTTCCTGTGACTAAACTTGTAATGTACTTGTGACTGGACTTGTGATGTACTTGTGACTGGACTTGTAATGTACTTGTGGCTGGACTTGTGATGTACCTGTGACTGGACTTGTGATGTACTTGTGACTGGACTTGTAATGTACTTGTGGCTGGACTTGTGATGTACTTGTGACTAGACTTGTGATGTACTTGTGGCTGGACTTGTGATGTACCTGTGACTGGACTTGTGATGTACTTGTGACTGGACTTGTAATGTACTTGTGGCTGGACTTGTGATGTACTTGTGACTAGACTTGTAATGTACTTGTGACTGGACTTGTGATGTCCTTGTGACTAGACTTGTAATGTACTTGTGGCTGGACTTGTGATGTTCCTGTGACTGGACTTGTAATGTACTTGTGGCTGGACTTGTGATGTCCTTGTGACTGGACTTGTAATGTACTTGTGGCTGGACTTGTAATGTACTTGTGGCTGGACTTGTGAAGTACTTGTGACTAGACTTGTAATGTACTTGTGGCTGGACTTGTGATGTACTTGTGACTAAACTTGTGATGTACCTGTGACTAAACTTGTAATGTACTTGTGACTGGACTTGTGATGTACTTGTGACTAGACTTGTGATGTACTTGTGACTGGACTTGTAATGTACTTGTGGCTGGACTTGTGATGTACTTGTGACTAGACTTGTAATGTACTTGTGGCTGGACTTGTGATGTTCCTGTGACTGGACTTGTAATGTACTTGTGGCTGGACTTGTGATGTCCTTGTGACTGGACTTGTGATGTACTTGTGGCTGGACTTGTGATGTTCCTGTGACTGGACTTGTAATGTACTTGTGGCTGGACTTGTGATGTCCTTGTGACTGGACTTGTAATGTACTTGTGGCTGGACTTGTGATGTTCCTGTGACTGGACTTGTAATGTACTTGTGGCTGGACTTGTGATGTCCTTGTGACTGGACTTGTAATGTACTTGTGACTGGACTTGTAATGTACTTGTGACTAGACTTGTAATGTACTTGTGGCTGGACTTGTGATGTACTTGTGACTAGACTTGTAATGTACTTGTGACTGGACTTGTGATGTCCTTGTGACTAGACTTGTGATGTACTTGTGACTGGACTTGTGATGTACTTGTGACTAGACTTGTAATGTACTTGTGGCTGGACTTGTGATGTACCTGTGACTAAACTTGTAATGTACTTGTGACTGGACTTGTGATGTACTTGTGACTAGACTTGTGATGTACCTGTGACTAAACTTGTGAAGTACTTGTGACTAGACTTGTAATGTACTTGTGGCTGGACTTGTGATGTACTTGTGACTAAACTTGTGATGTACCTGTGACTAAACTTGTAATGTACTTGTGACTGGACTTGTGATGTACTTGTGACTAGACTTGTGATGTACTTGTGACTAGACTTGTAATGTACTTGTGGCTGGACTTGTAATGTACTTGTGACTGGACTTGTAATGTACTTGTGGCTGGACTTGTGATGTACTTGTGACTAGACTTGTAATGTACTTGTGGCTGGACTTGTGATGTTCCTGTGACTGGACTTGTAATGTACTTGTGGCTGGACTTGTGATGTCCTTGTGACTGGACTTGTGATGTACTTGTGGCTGGACTTGTGATGTTCCTGTGACTGGACTTGTAATGTACTTGTGGCTGGACTTGTGATGTCCTTGTGACTGGACTTGTAATGTACTTGTGGCTGGACTTGTGATGTTCCTGTGACTGGACTTGTAATGTACTTGTGGCTGGACTTGTGATGTCCTTGTGACTGGACTTGTAATGTACTTGTGACTGGACTTGTAATGTACTTGTGACTAGACTTGTAATGTACTTGTGGCTGGACTTGTGATGTCCTTGTGACTGGACTTGTGATGTACTTGTGGCTGGACTTGTGATGTTCCTGTGACTGGACTTGTAATGTACTTGTGGCTGGACTTGTGATGTCCTTGTGACTGGACTTGTGATGTACTTGTGGCTGGACTTGTGATGTTCCTGTGACTGGACTTGTAATGTACTTGTGGCTGGACTTGTGATGTCCTTGTGACTGGACTTGTAATGTACTTGTGGCTGGACTTGTGATGTTCCTGTGACTGGACTTGTAATGTACTTGTGGCTGGACTTGTGATGTCCTTGTGACTGGACTTGTGATGTACTTGTGACTGGACTTGTGATGGACTTGTGACTGGACTTGTAATGTACTTGTGACTAGACTTGTAATGTACTTGTGGCTGGACTTGTGATGTTCCTGTGACTGGACTTGTAATGTACTTGTGGCTGGACTTGTAATGTACTTGTGGCTGGACTTGTGAAGTACTTGTGACTAGACTTGTGATGTACTTGTGGCTGGACTTGTAATGTACTTGTGGCTGGACTTGTGATGTTCCTGTGACTGGACTTGTAATGTACTTGTGGCTGGACTTGTGATGTCCTTGTGACTGGACTTGTGATGTACTTGTGGCTGGACTTGTGATGTCCTTGTGACTGGACTTGTAATGTACTTGTGACTAGACTTGTGATGTACTTGTGGCTGGACTTGTAATGTACTTGTGGCTGGACTTGTAATGTACTTGTGGCTGGACTTGTGAAGTACTTGTGACTAGACTTGTAATGTACTTGTGGCTGGACTTGTGATGTACTTGTGACTAAACTTGTGATGTACCTGTGACTAAACTTGTAATGTACTTGTGACTGGACTTGTGATGTACTTGTGACTAGACTTGTGATGTACTTGTGACTAGACTTGTAATGTACTTGTGGCTGGACTTGTAATGTACTTGTGACTGGACTTGTAATGTACTTGTGGCTGGACTTGTGATGTACTTGTGACTGGACTTGTAATGTACTTGTGACTGGACTTGTGATGTCCTTGTGACTAGACTTGTAATGTACTTGTGGCCGGACTTGTGATGTTCCTGTGACTGGACTTGTAATGTACTTGTGGCTGGACTTGTGAAGTACTTGTGACTAGACTTGTAATGTACTTGTGGCTGGACTTGTGATGTACTTGTGACTAAACTTGTGATGTACCTGTGACTAAACTTGTAATGTACTTGTGACTGGACTTGTGATGTACTTGTGACTAGACTTGTGATGTACTTGTGACTAGACTTGTAATGTACTTGTGGCTGGACTTGTAATGTACTTGTGACTGGACTTGTAATGTACTTGTGGCTGGACTTGTGATGTACTTGTGACTAGACTTGTGATGTACTTGTGGCTGGACTTGTAATGTACTTGTGGCTGGACTTGTAATGTACTTGTGGCTGGACTTGTGATGTACTTGTGACTGGACTTGTAATGTACTTGTGACTAGACTTGTAATGTACTTGTGGCTGGACTTGTGATGTACCTGTGACTGGACTTGTGATGTACTTGTGACTGGACTTGTAATGTACTTGTGGCTGGACTTGTGATGTACTTGTGACTAGACTTGTAATGTACTTGTGACTGGACTTGTGATGTCCTTGTGACTAGACTTGTAATGTACTTGTGGCTGGACTTGTGATGTTCCTGTGACTGGACTTGTAATGTACTTGTGGCTGGACTTGTGATGTCCTTGTGACTGGACTTGTGATGTACTTGTGGCTGGACTTGTGATGTTCCTGTGACTGGACTTGTAATGTACTTGTGGCTGGACTTGTAATGTCCTTGTGGCTGGACTTGTAATGTACTTGTGACTGGACTTGTAATGTACTTGTGACTGGACTTGTAATGTACTTGTGGCTGGACTTGTGAAGTACTTGTGACTAGACTTGTAATGTACTTGTGGCTGGACTTGTGATGTCCTTGTGGCTGGACTTGTGATGTACTTGTGACTAGACTTGTAATGTACTTGTGGCTGGACTTGTAATGTACTTGTGACTGGACTTGTAATGTACTTGTGGCTGGACTTGTGAAGTACTTGTGACTGGACTTGTAATGTACTTGTGGCTGGACTTGTGATGTCCTTGTGGCTGGACTTGTAATGTACTTGTGGCTGGACTTGTGAAGTACTTGTGGCTGGACTTGTGAAGTACTTGTGGCTGGACTTGTAATGTACTTGTGACTAGACTTGTAATGTACTTGTGGCTGGACTTGTGATGTACTTGTGACTAAACTTGTGACTAGACTTGTGATGTACTTGTGACTGGGCTTATGATGCATGTGTGACTAGACTTGTGATGTACTTGTAACTGGACTTATGATGTACTTGTTACTGGACTTATGATGTACTTGTGACTGGACTTGTGATGTACTTTTGCCTGGACTTGTTATGTACTTGTGATGTACTTGTGAATGAACTTGTGACTGGACTTGTGATGTACGTGTGACTAGACTTATAATGTACTTGTGACTGAAATTGTAATGTGCTTGTGACTAGACTAATGATGTACTTGTGACTAGACTTGTAATGTACTTGTGACTGGGCTTATGATGCACTTGTGACTAGACTTGTGATGTACTTGTGACTGAACTTGTGACTGGACTTGTAATGTACTTGTTACTGGAACTGTAATGTACTTGTGACTAGACTTATGATGCACTTGTGACTGGACTTGTGATGTACTTGTGACTGGACTTGTGATTTACTTGTGACTGGACTTGTGATGTACTTGTGACTAGATTTGTGATGTTCTTGTGACTGGACTTGTGATGTACTTGTGACTGGACTTATGATGTATTTGTGATTTATCAATCTTAAGTATCTCGACCACAAGCAAAGACAATGATCTTACCTGAGTGAATACCGATGAGGAGTTTGAGTTTCTCATCTTGTCAGTTTGTGTGGCATGATCAACTATCAACGCCCTCCAGGAGATGCCATGCAGCGGAGACGATCATACCAGCATGACGGCTGCCATTACGGATCAGTAGGCAAGAGACCAACATGTAGGCATCGTCGATGCTTTCAACCTTGGCAAGATGTTATTATTTAACACTGGTTAATTTTGCTTTCAGACATTATAATAGAACATACATATTTGCGTGGTTTTTGCCTGAACTAGTAACCATGGTAGCATCAACTTAACCTCTGAGTGATTGTCATGACTACGCCTGCGAACAGCCGAGTAATGTTGACAATGATAATGCAAGTGACTTTTTGTAATTATATCACCGCACCCACAGATTCTGTGTTTTTCAGTGGCCGAGAGTGTGCATCACATAGTATTTGCTATTTTCCGTCTACATGTACATGGCTAAAAGGACTATGGCACCTTCCATTTTAATACTGACTACTTTGAGTGGCATAATCAAACTACCGGTAGCCTCCTAGACCTGTTTTATAATGCCACTTGAAGCAGTCAATATGCAAGACTACAAATTATAAGCATAGCTTGTAAAGTACTCTGAAAGTAAAACAGATCTAAGATGGTAGAATCAAGCCAAGCAGTAACGGGTAAGGTGCTTTCTGTCAATGTATTGTTGATCATTTCATGTTTGCATATTAACCATAATAAATGAACCTGGATAAGTGTATTAAGTATAATCTATTGCAAGTACCCTTTAAAATAACTTCCTGTGATATGGCACGTTTGGCTTAACCAGTTCACATCAGACAACGTGAATACACGCAAGGTTTTGCGGTAATCGGAATGGATGATGGATAAACACGCAACAAGCGAGGCCTAAAATGTCTGTCAGTGGCCCGCTTGCAGCGAGCTACCCGTAGATGACAGCCTGAAGCCGTCTGGCATCCAGATTCATGAAAACAATCCCAAGTCTTGGTCTGGTCAATGTCAAAATAGTCCAGCGCGAACTGGTTAAAACAATCTGCTGGGTCATATGAAATATTTACCTTTTAGACATCATAGTTGGAAATGATGGCGTCGAACAGCGTGTTCAAGGCATTCAACAAGTTAACAACCTGGAAAGTTAAGAGCAAGGTGTAAAGGGTAATCCTGGTGACACTATTGGTTTGCAATAATCTGACATGTCTGAGTAGACAATTTGATCAAATTTGAGTGCATTTTTGATAATAGTATACGTTTTTAACTTAAACCGCCTTTGAGAATATAATTGAAAAGTATTAAGCCCTACCTGCATGTTTATCTAGGCTGATTATAAAGATTACGTGCACGAACAGTAGATTGTCCCGTTTTGACAACTTTTGAGAGCCCTACATTGTGTAGTTGGAGAGACACATTGCGTGTACTGTACTAGTGCCCGCGCATATGGCGGCGAAATACACAAGATTAATTTTATTCTGGATTTGCACAAATCCAGAGCTTCTTCGCGTGAGCATCAGGTACAATGCATTCAAATGTAAAAATAATATGGCGCGAAATACACAAGATTAATTTTATTCTGGATTTGCACAAATCCAGAGCTTCTTCGCGTGAGCATCAGGTACAATGCATTCAAATGTAAAAATAACTAGAGATTTGCGTTTGTTGAGTTACAAACGCAGGGTGATCGGGTGACATTTTCATAGAAACGTGCCCAGTGTACTTGTGAATATCGTAACAGAAAGAGGATCACAAAATTTCACCCTCTGAGAAGTATGATTTGTTTTATTTTTGGAGAAAAAAATCTTTTGGAGTCTGATAAATTTGAGTTTAGATATTGTAATATGTAGAAATACATGGAATTTCTGGTTTCATAAATTTTAAATTAAAATACGCAAACTGAATACTGATTTAGTTAAGAGAAAAAACATGTTCATCTATAAGTAAAAAGAATTTGTGAAAATAAAGGAATTGTAATGAATGTTGAAGTGTTTGTATTAGTAAACTATTTTTGTGACGTCACATTATTGTTAAAGTGTAATCTACACTTTACTCAGTACATTTTTTACAAATCGACATCAACAATTAATCCCATGAACCGTTTGGAAGAAATTTGGTTCGTTTTGATTTTGATCAGGGTCGATATAATTATGTGCAAAGTTAAAAGTTCATGAAGTACATAAAGTACAAACATAGTGGACACGGATTAAATGACGAATTTAAATTTAAAGAAAAGAAAACTGAGCGTTTTTTCACTTCTCTGTACAATAACTTCCAGTCGAATGTTGTCACGATTCTGAAACCTTCCAAATTTCTTCAAAGGTTGTAAACAGAATTAATATCTAGAGGCAATTTTGTAAAATTGTAACGAATGGTTTTTAAATTCAAACATTCCATCTATAGATCTTTTGACGTACCGCTAGAGGTCGCCCTTTCATGTAATTACGTCATCACGCCAATGTTTGTGTTGGACATTCCTCACTAAATATTTGCGTAATTTATATAACTGTAGCAAAATGATTCCGTCTTCAAGTTATATTTAATTATCATTGCACTTCCAGTTACACCGGAAGTAAAGGTCAAATGGTTTGCGCCTGGGAATAAAATTGCCAGTGGCAATGTCTGAAACAACAAAAAATGAGAACGCTACTCTGTTCCAATATAAAGTTATAAATCATTAAAAGTAAGCTCTCAAGTAACCCGCTTGTAATTTGATACCAGGTGATGTCATGATGACGCCACAATTTCTTTCACATCTTCGGACCAGGGTTCAAGTTCCATCTAGGTTTTATCGTCATCACGTGAACTGTTTGGAAAAGATGTGGTTCGTTTTGATTTTGAGGCTTCTGTCTGTAATTTAAATTCACCCAACTTTGACCTTCCAGTAGCCCGGAAGTAAAGGCCAAGCGAGTTTACGTACATTTAGGAGAAAACCCACAGAGAATTATTGTCCAGAAAAAAACCCCAAAGAATCATTCTTACCATTTTAAAAAGGTGATCGGGTCGTACCTGATCAAAAAGTCCCAAAAAAATTTCGTGTGATGAATTCCTGCTTTTGACAGATTTTCCACTTTTTTCTGTTTTAGTTTTATTGTGCTCAGCATAAAAATCGGGCAAGAAAGATCTTTTGCTGTTAATCCCTCGACCATTTTAAAGTACAGTTTGAGCATTTTCTCTTCAAATATGAAAAAGTCTTACTTTGCAGTACTTCGAGTCTGTTCCATCCCTGTGAAGCACCAGCAAGGTAGTGATGTACTTGGTGCAGTCCTTCTCCTGGGCCGCATAGTGCTTCTCAAGGGAGCTCTGTTCTGAGTCTCTTCCAACCCTGCGAAGCACCAGCAAGGTAGTGATGTACTTGGTGCAGTCCTTCTCCTGGGCCGCATAGTGCTTCTCAAGAGAGCTCTGTTCTGGGTCTGTTCCATCCCTGTGAAGCACCAGCAAGGTAGTGATGTACTTGGTGCAGTCCTTCTCCTGGGCCGCATAGTGCTTCTCAAGGGAGCTCTGTTCTGAGTCTCTTCCATCCCTGTGATGAAGCACCAGCAAGGTAGTGATGTGTACTTGGTGCGGTCCTACTCTTGGGCCGTATAGTGCTTCTCAAGAGAGCTCTGGTCTGAGTCTGTTCCATCCCTGTGATGAAGCACCAGCAAGGTAGTGATGTGTACTTGGTGCGGTCCTACTCTTGGGCCGTATAGTGCTTCTCAAGGGAGCTCTGGTCTGAGTCTGTTCTAGCCGTGAGAAGCAGTCCTTCTCCTGGGCCTTATAGTGCCTCTATAGTGCTTCTCAAGAGAGCTCTCTGATGTGAAGAGAGCTGGTAGAACTGCCATCACCTGGTCAAAGAAATTTCAATATTGTCAATTTGGGAAAAATGTTTGATACTGCTGTCTGGTGCCAGACGACGGCTGAGTTACATTAGAAATTCTGCATTGTCATTGGTCAATTCACAACGGGTAATGCATAATGCATGTCTACCAAATCGGTAGACAAAATGTAAGGAAAAACATAAGCATTCTCCACGAGATGGTAAAGGCCCTCGCGGCTTTGCCACTCGTGCTAGTCTTTTTACGTGTCAGCATCTGGGGTGCCTCACGTGTCCGGGTAGGCGCGTGGGACTTGACTAAAGGCTACACACTGCGTGACTGACAGCTAACGAGTCATCATGCTTGCCTGTTACCATTGCCATGGCATGTTGGAATTTAGTTACACTCAAACGTGTACAAACCAGCCTCCAAACTTTGCTCTGGAAATTGTATGAAAAGTGGACGTCTGAATAAGGGTTATTTTGCTATTTGCTTGTAACAAAGCGAGTGTGCTTCCAAAGCATTTAAACTAGCAACAAAGTCTGTATGTGAAAATAGAAAAAAAAATCCAAGAATTGTCTGTATAACTCAGCTCTGTGTATTATAATTGATCCATCAGTCTTTAGTGATCTGTCAATAATAAGTAAAGCCTCTGTGATCCACTCTCATTTTTTAACGATAATTTTAAATAGTTTTACACTCAGTTTTAATCAGCAATGTCTTATCTTAGCAATCTTTAGAAGTCTGTTAATGATAATGAATAATTTCTCCCGTTTGATTTGTACCTTTTAATTTACAATTTAAAGATGTATTGATTGTATTTTAATTAGTTTTTAACTTAAATACACATTGTAAATTTGAATGTTTTCAGCCTATGGCCTGCTTTTAATTCAAATAAATAAACCATAATAATAATACATGTAATAATAATAATAATAATAAAAACTCAATTAAGTCCAGTTAAGAAATGGGGGAGTTTATGTACAGCCTGGGCTGACAAGTACATTTGTATTTTCCAGTTTTCGAGCTGAATTTGATGATAGCTGAGTCCTATAAATACTGATTGGCAAATTGGCATGGTTCCGAGAACTCTTGGAGTTTTTAAGAATGACTTCTTGTTTCACTGAAGAAAAAGTGTCTAAAAAAATTGCTCCCTTATTAGTCGCATCCTTGTAGATAGGATAGGAGGCCTGGTTGTACATATCCGTGATACAAACGAATCCGGGAAATATAAATTTATAGTGACTTGGCATCATTACATCTTGCAAGGTGACAGAAGAAAGTCATGAATAACGCCCTCTACCCAACCTCACCCTGCCACAGCATTACATGACAAAAACAATGAAACAAGCCCATTGGTTTTACTTTAAACATGCCTTAGACCTTACTCCATATTTTTTATACTATTTCCTTTAAATATAATTAGTGACATATCAAAGGTTATTAATATCACTCAAGCTGAAAATAAAAAAGAAAACAAAAATCCCCCACTTGCATTATTCTCAATTAGGCCCTCAAAAAAATAGTCGTGCGTCAATTTTGATCTATTGCATCATTTCTTTAAAATTTTCCACAGTAGCTACAACAGCGCCTTTTATTGCCGCACCGCCTCAATTTTTTAGCACCAACACAAGGGCACCAAGGCAAATGATAGGGCACCAAGGCAAATGATTAAACACCATATGAGAACTCAAACAAGCAAAACAGGACCACTTTGTCTGTACAATCCAAGCTTGGGGAAAAAATTGCAAAGAATATTTTTTGAAACGCATCACTACATCAATTCCAGAACTTTGGTCTGACCAGATAGAGACCCACTATTTTGGGGGTTTTTTGGCTGTGCACAATTCTGTCTCATGTTGGATGAATGCCCCATACATGTATATTATATTGAGAGTCCCAAATTTGCGGACTAGGTATGAACCAAATACTCCTCAATTCCAACTAGGATAACTGAGATTACAACTTGAAATAAAAAGGAATCGAACTTAAAAAGAAACAAGCAGTAGGATCTGAACCAAAGACTTTTCAATTCATTCAAGGATAACTAAGGCTACACCTTGGAACAAAAGAGGAATTGAACCAAGGTCAAGCCCATACAGGACTCAAACTTGCTACTTACCTTATCATCAAAGGTGTCAATCTTAGTCAGCACAACTCCGTCAATCAGTGGAGGTTGATCCATGTCTCAATGGTGTGCTCGATTGATTGCCTGGTCCACTGCTTCCTTACCACCCAAATAACTCCCCAACCAAGAGAACTGGTTGGTTGATTTTTATCACCTGTTTGACCAAAATTAACAGTAATCATAAGAAAATGAGACATTTTCTGTCTTTATGCAGTTCTCTCTTGAAGGCGTTATGTTCAAAAATTACCAAATTCAAAAAGGTGTCATTACATTGAGAGAAGTCTGCTTAAGGTTGACAACATCATTTTTTGGAAATAAAAAAATTCTTGATTCTAATTTTGATCAAAACAAAACAGGGGCCCTACACTATACATGATCGCCAAAATGATGATACTGATAGACAACATAAATCTGGGACTGCATGCACTGAGAAACATTCCCAATTGTGTTAGGAAAAATAACTCAGCAATTTTTTTTGACTCTCATTCATGTCTATCAGTCTATAGACTTTATACACACACCCACCCACACACACACACCCAGACTTGTTTCACATACCTAGTGTAGACTTTCCTTTCTTTTCGTGTAGTTAAGGAACACCAGTGGAAAAACTCATTTTTCTCAAACTGTGAAAACTCTTACAACCCAATTTTTTTTCAATGATTCCCTTTAGTGTTTCTCTTCATTCTGCTACAGATAAACCTAACCCAAAAATGCCTCTAAACCTGTTTTCCAGAAATGGGGAAACACTGTGTGGACGTGGGCAAGTCCACACTTCGTCGCTGCTACCTACATTATGTGGACGTCTTTTGTTCGGAAGTCCACACTGCGTATGTAAGACAAGCTCACACACATACAGTCGTTTTTTGCTATGCTTCCGAGGATTGGCTTTGTGTTTTCCTTTGTCCCTGTAATATAACACTCTCCCATAGACTAAGCACACAAACCTGCGTTCGAGGACAATAGGCACCTTCCTTCGAGGATCAATGGCCCCTTTGTGCTCCTTTTGTTGTCTGTCCTCAGGCGTAATGCCATGCAGGAACACTATCGCAGAAGTGGCATCAGCCATCAGGTTGCAACATTTTTTTCCAGTGAGGCAAACACTGACAAGTGACATTGTTAAGGGAATTTTTCTATCTTGGGAAAGTTGGTTGACTTCCCCCTGCACCACCGTCATGACATTGGCTCAACCAACAACAGAAGATAATCAAGCCCACGTGAAGGTTTGCTGGCGGTCGTGAATTGTAGGCCCCCTGTTTTGTTTTGATCAAATTAGAGTCAAAAATGTTTTTATTGTGCAAAAATCACCTTTATAATAAACGCAGTGGCTATTGTTACGGCAGCCGAAACGCATTTCCCATTTTCTATCGTTACGGTAGTCTGCAACTTTTATAAAAACATGAGAAGAAAATATAAAATTAGAAGGAAAAAAGTGAATTTGAACGTTATGAAATTCGGACTTTATTTCCCTTTTTAAAAAAATCCTCCAAAGCCTTAAGTTAGAAAATGAAAAATAATTCGAGTGCAAAACTGAGATGCGAACCCGCAACTTCGCGGTGCAAAATCCTACCCTCTATCGACTGAGCTGTCGCACTGCTCGCTAAAACGTCGTAGGGAAACAAATAATTATATACCTGCGTGCGTATCAAAAAAGGATTGTAGAGGGTGCTAAACAACGGCTGCCGTAACGATAGCCACTTCGTAAAAACAAAAGCAGACGATCGCCGGTTTGCTAGACATGCCAGCAGTCGACCAAGTCATGCATGTCAACGCGAGTCATCTACCATGTCAACATCTAGGCCCTACGCAGAGCTCAGCAAAGTCCACTTGAAGTTGATGTTAACGCTGAATATATTCCAAAGGAACGGAGTGACGGAGGTTGTACACCATGTCTTCAGTCCTATGAATATTAACGAGAAATATGATAATGAAATATGAGAATGAAACTGGAGTGGAAGGATCTCGACCAAAGTACCCACGATAAACGCAGACAAGTAAACAAACTGCACACCAGCCACCTGCGTGTAACCGCGTTTGATGGCGCCCTCAATATTGAGGGCGCCAAACACGTTTCATTGACTGCGCAAACCACCCACAGACATTATAAACGCACAAACCAAGCTGTGTAGAAAACATCCCATACATGTATCTGTTTCCCCAAGGGCGGATTCAGAACACATTTTTTTTTGGGGGGGGGGGGGAAGGGGGCCAAAAAAATTGGTCCCCCAAAAAGTGGGTCAAAAAATTACGGCTTGGGGCTCGGTGCCCGCTTAAGGGCCCGAAAAACTTTTGGATTCTAGATGTGGTGTGATCTGAGGGAATTCCTGACCACTTTAACCAATGCTTTTTGAGGAAAAGATGGTGGCGTACTCATTGCCTGCCTTTACTGCGACGTCACATAAAAAAAAAAAAAAAATTGGGGTTTTTTTTTGGGGGGGGGGGGCATGGTCCCCTTTGCTCCCCCCTCCTGGATCCGCCCATTAAGTTGTAAGTTCAGCGAGTGATCTGTCTTGATGTCTTACATAAGGAGATTAAATTTCGTGAGAAACCGTCAAACAACTGAAAAATTTCTTTCGAGAAAGGGCGCGCTGCATAATTCTACCTCCATGATAAGGCCAAAAAAAAAATTATCAATCTCTGGTCAGCGCGCGTCGATTTTAATCATGCGCGTCAACTTTTTTTTCCAAATTAACACGGAAGCTACAACAGCGCCCTCTTTTGCTGCCCCTCCTCAAATTTGTGTACCAAGGAGCACCAAGGAATGGGGAAATTGCACCAAGGCAAATGATAAAGGGCACCAAGGCAAATTATGGAGGACACCAATGTATAATGAGGACACAAAAAGCAAAATAGTACCCACCTTGTCTGTACCGTAAGCTTTAAAAAAAAAAAAAAATTAAATAAAAAAAAAAAATAAAAACCCGCGTCGCCGCGTCAATTCCGGAACTTCGGTCTGAGACGACTAATTTTTTTTGGCCTAAAACTAGTGGTCTCGAACCGTATCCGGTCCGTTAGTGTGACGTCACCTCCAGCACTTTCTGCACGATTGGAACCGGAAGTTAACGCAGCTTGAGCGTTTGTAGCCAATGGGCGCTAGTAATCAGTGGTGCGCGTGCGTGTATGACGTTTTTACTAACGAACCGGTGTCACGGTCTCACTTCTCCGACGTGCTAGCTTCTCCGGGTTGATTCGGCCGATGATTGAGCACGTTACAGTGCACGTTACATGAGCACGATTCATGCTCATGTGTCCGCTGTGCTTACTTTTCCTCGGGCTGTTTTCTGAAGTCTGAAGCCCATTAATAACACAGTGAGGGACACCCAAGAATGTGTTATGTAACACTTCCTGTGGGTCAAGTCATTCCATGGTCTTGCAAGCATTCTGATTATTTTGTGTTTCCAGCGTCATGCATGTGTGTGTTCATGGAGGAATAATTAAGAACGAACTCCTTGGTCCGTGTTCCTTGCTCGTTCGTGGTCCATTTTGTCCTTATTTTTGCAACCACGGCTTAAAATAAATGTGCATTTCAAATTCAAGTCTTTAACATTGGAAGTTAAAAGTGCGCGCCACGAAAATTCTATGCATACAAATATCTTACGTACACAAGTACAGCCCCGAAAAACTCAGCACACTAATACAGTGACGAAAATGTACACTACTGCGCAATTTTGTGCATGCGTGTTGAAGCGAAATTTCCCTTTTGGAGAAGCTAGCACGCCGGAGAAGTGAGACCGTGACACCGGATATAAGTGAACCGCCAAGAAGTACATCCGCACGGGTGTTGAATATTTTAAGTTTCGTTCAATAGAGGGCGCGCTACATAAATAGTTTTCTCAACAACGCATCAACACGGATGCTGCACAATTGAACAAAAAGAACAACCTCGTTTCCGATGAACTTCTCAAGAAATACAAAATGGATTAAATTGAAATTTCGTGCTATTAGTTTTCACGATGTGTAGCATGAGTAGTTGGAATGGCTTGAGAAACCGTGGAGCTATAAATATAATATGATCGTAACAAGCTAGTGTTTTAAATGTTAAAAATCCATGTTGACTTCCATTAGGATTGTATTTGTCGCATTTAAAACCCTGTATTGTTACGGTTATAATAGCTTGATTATTTGACTTTTTTATGAAAATAAATCTTTTGATGTCAAACATCATGACAAATGAGTGTACGAAAATTCAGTTTAATGTAACGTGTATTTCTTGAGTTGTTGGCCCCAAATCGAGTTTGGTGGTGGAGATCGAGCACTATAATAGAGGGCGCGCTACATAAATAGTGGTCTCTACAATGCATCAACACGGATGCTGCATAATTGAACAAAAAGAACAACCTCGTTTCCGATGAACTACTCAAGAAATACAAAATGAATTAAATTGAAATTTCGTGCAATTAGTTTTCACGATGTGTAGCATAAGTAGTTTGAATGGCGTGAGAAACCGTGGAGCTATACATATAATATGATCGTAACAATCTAACGTGTATTTATGAGTTGTTGGCCCCAAATCGAGTTTGGTGGTGGAGATCGAGACCACTGTAATGATTATAGTGGCTTTATATTTGCAAAGGAGTGTAGGGATCATTTTTATCAAGATGACGATTGGCTTCGCCACCACTTTTAGACTGGGGTGGTCATCTTCGGCAGACAACGTGTCCCCAAAGTTATCAGATTACCCCCCCCCCCCCAAGGGCGGATCCAGGGGGGGCCAAAGGGGGCCATGCCCCCCCCCCCCCCCAAAAAAAAACGAAACAATTTTTTATATTTTTATGTAATATCGCAATAAAGGCAGGCAATGGGTACACCACCATCTTTTCCTCAAAAAAACATTGGTTAAAGTGGTCAGAATTTGCCTCAGATCGCACCACAGAGCATCTAGAATCCAAAAAAATTCGGGGCCCTTAAACGGGCCCGAACCCCACGCTGTAATTTTTTAACCCCACTTTTTTGGGGAACCAAATTTTTTTTGGCCCCCCCCCAAAAAAAGTGGTGTTCTGGATCCGCCCTTGCCCCCCCCCCCCCCCCCATAAAAAAGTGAACTACGCATTTCAACTTCGCCATCGCGGAGTTGCTAAACCAAACCTGTGAATTTGTGTATTATTATGCAGCATATTATTATAGGCCATGCCCCCCCCCCAAAAAAAAAAACCCCAATATTTTGGTTGCAGGTTGCCTTGCCGAAGTCAATAATCTGTTGATCACATTGAAATTACTTCTGTTAATTGCCTGTAATCAAAGACGTCTTATAAATAGTTAAAAAAACAGTGTACCAAGAAACTTTAAAAATATATATATATATATTTTCAAAGAATAGTGTCTTCAGCGCGAAATCACTTTTTATTGTTTGGTGATTCCCTTCATATTCAAGAAAAAGTTTTAATATAATTAACACCAATAATTGGATAAAATTCAATAGAACGGGTGTTCCTTGAGTTGTCGTCTCAGTGGAAACGAGTGTATTGTGTTTGTAGTACTAGGCAGGTTTTTACCAGTGACTTTTTTTTTACAGTGGTGACCGCTATTTTAGCGTGCCCTCTTCTGATTTTTCACGTACAAGATACTGATTGTTTTGGTTTTATTGTTTTGACGAATTCTCTCGACATTCAAGAGAAATGTGTAATAATGTAACGAACATTCACAAGACATTTCAATTCGACAAAATGGATATTGAGTTATCGAGTATACGGTAAGCAGGTCTTACGCGCAACCTTGGTGTGGTGGGACTTTGCCAAGTATCAACGTAGAAGTAGAAGTAGAAGAGTTTTCTCCGTGTAGACAAAAGTTCCAAATCTTTGGTATTTGAGCATGTTGTGAGCCATGAACCTGAGGGCTTGTAAAAAAGATAAGGATGGAAGCCGTGCACAGGACTGTGAGCTTGTAGATCTGTGCAATTTGGATGAAATTTGGGCCCTAAAAGCGCTCTATTTTGCAATGGAGTGCAGGCATCGTTTTTCAATATGGCGATTGGCTTCAGGACTATTTTAATGGGGTGATCATCTTCAGCTGGAAATTTATCCTAAAAGTCATCAGTTGAACCCCCAAAAATTGAAAAGAAAATGAAAGATGATGAAGTAAGCTTTAATTTGATGTGTGTTTCGAATGCCTTGGAGGGTTTTGAGTATTTTTCCTGACTTGTTTCTGAAGTGCGGGCAATTATCATTGGGGTCTATGGAAATTTATTTACTGGTCTGTAACCCCGTCAACATGGATCACGATCTGCCCATGGCAAACGAAGTCGGCATTAAGTGAACAAAAACACACTTTTTTGAAACTCGACGAGAACCGTGAAGGAATAAATTTAATATGATTTAATGAAATACGGTGTACTAATCGCGAGAAAAATCAATTCGAGTTCGAGTCACTTTTAATGGAACAAAAAATAAAGTACTCTTTGTGGAGACGATAACTCAAGAAGAACACAGTGCACTGAATTGAAATTTCGTTCAATAATTGTTCGAGATATAGAAAACACACGGTTTGAAAATCGACAGGATTCATTAAAGACTAACTTGAATATGATTTAAATACAGTGTACTAATCGCGAAAAATTCAATTGGAATTCGGGCCACTATTAATGGAACAACAATTAAGCACACTTTGTGGAGACAATAACTCCAGAAAAAACACATTGCACTGATTTGAAATTGCGTCCCATAATTGACTGTGATATACGACACAATACAGTTCAAATTCGACAGAAACCGTTCAAGAAAAAAATAATACAACAAAAACAAAAACGACAGTGTGAGTATGTAAGAGCGCGCACTCCCGTACATTTTACCAACATCAATTTCTTCCAAAAGAGGGCACGCTACAAAATACTGGTCACCACCACCAAAACTTCTGTGAGTGCAGGCCAGTATTTAAAAAAAATCGGTCCAAAATTGCCTACGCCGGCCAAATCACGATTTTGCATGCCCTCAAAATCTTTGATATTTGAGCACAGTGTGGGTCATGAACTTGAGGGCTTGTAAAAAAATAAGGGTAGAAGCCGTGTACAGGAAGTGAGCTTGTAGATCTGTGCAATTTGGATGAAATTGGCATGAGCGAATTCTTCAAGAGGGGGCAAAGCAAATTTTTCACCAAAAATATCCCTATACTTTCCAGCATTTTCCGGATTGATCATTTGTTCAAGGTGGGCAGTGACATTCCCCCCCCCCCCCCACCAGTGGCGTAGCCACGGGGGGCGTGGGGGCGACAGCCCCCCATGAAACCTTGTCGCCACCCCCCCCCCCCCGTCGCCCCCACCGAAATTTTGAGTTTCTAAAAAAATTATCATTGATCTACATGACGCCCCCATAAAATGTTCCAGCCCCCCCCCCCCCCGAAAAATTCCTGGCTACGCCACTGCCCCCACACCCCACCCATTAAATTTACAACAATATGATTTTGCGCCTCTTCTTCTTTCTTTCTTTATTCTCTCCATTTTTTTTTTTTTTTTTGGCTTGTCCGGGGGGGGGGGGCGCAAGCGCCCCCATAGTTCCTCCCCCCCCCCCCCCCCCTCGCGACGCCCATGGAAATTGGGGCCCTGCTAGTGCTCTATTTTGCAACGGAGTGCAAGTATCGTTTTTCAAAATGGCGATTGGCTTCAGGATTATTTTAAGGGGTGATCATCCTCGGCTGGACATTTCTCCTAAAAGTCATCAGTTTACCCCCGAAAATCGAACGCCTTGGAGAGTTTTGCGTATTATTCCTGAATATCTGGAGTATGGGCATTATTTTATCATTGGAGTTTATGGAAATTTATTTACTGGTCTGCAACCTTCACTATAATTTGTTTAGCGCGCCCTGTTTTGAAAGAAAATTGGCCATGGCATACACAGGCCAGAGTGTATGGCGCCCTCGATAGTGGATTGAGTCAAGCAGTGAAATGTGTTTGGCGCCCTCAATATTGAGGGCGCCAAACACGTTTCACTGCGACAGGCCAGTCAATTTGTAAACAAACGCGCGAATTATAAATTCGTTGTCAACTAATTTGTGCCATTTTTGGTATTAGTGTTAAAAATAAATTCTGCCAAAAGTACTGATGTTTAGCGATTTCATTTAATGACATGCCATGGAATCTTTCTGCATGTGGGAAGAATTGGTCAGATCAAGTGAGCTGTAACTAGTAGTAAAAGGATTGTCTGAAATCACTGGACGGGTTTGGATCATCATGATCAACTTGATCAGATCATGAAGTATGCACCTGTATCTGTTTATATTTTCTGGAGCCTTGCGCGTCATAACATGTATCCAATCCCCCCCCCCCCCCCCCCCCCGACATCCACAATGGTCAAAGTACAGCTGTTCCAAAAAAGTGAAAGTTTTAGTGGCTATCGTTACAGCAACTGTAACCCGATTTTCAACTGTCCTTGTACTTGGTAGAAACTAGAATACACCTCCAAAACATCCTCGTGGGAGTATAACCATGATAACTGGAGGCTTATTGTTACAGTATTGCAAAATCACAATTGTGAATGTATATCAGTCACATTTACAACCTGTCCAAATAGTCTGGATAACTTGGACCCCACAAATCGTAATGACGACCAATAACATGTGGAAATCACCCCAACCCGTAATACCTTCTGATCAGCATAAACCCACAGAGGATTACGTGGCAACTTAGAAACAAATGTTGCTCACTGTTGCATGACAGCTGCAGAGATCGATGTTTGCTGGTAATTCGTGTGCGGTCCCTGTGAAGATTTTGACGTTGAATACTATTAGGTCAGGGAACCAGATAGTAACATAATGAAAGCTGTTGATAATCGGGTTATGACTGCCGTGACAATAGCCACTGCGTTAAATGAGCCCCATCATGCCCATGTGGCTGGGATACTTCAAATGTCTCAAACTCACAGAAATGTCTTTGACTACAGATCTATCCATTCTAACCGGCACATAGGCTTTTACTTTTTAATAATGGATTCTGCAAAAGGTAAATAATAATACAATTTAAATCTATACTTACATTTGCACAGTGTATATATAGCTATACGAGGAAGGAGAAATGTTACATATTATGTTTTATCTCCAAATAGATTTATATTATGACAGTTAAGAGTATAAACTATGTACACAAACAGGCCTTGAAATAGTCAATGTCATACTTATACTAAACCAGCAATGCGCAGTATGTTTAATTCTACTGATGCTTATTTAAAAACCTTATTCAATTTTGCTAAGATTCTGTCACACCAAAAGGAATCATACATTTATTTGGAAAATGCAAACTACATGTATTCTGAAATACCATACACCATGTGTCAAAAAAAGATTCCTACTTTTGATTTTAAATATCCCTGTTCAACAATGGTATTAAACCAAATTTCAGATCTTGTAAAAGAAGGCAATACAAATTTTATGGAGCGACTTTCTTCAGCTTTGTGCAAGAGGGTGGGATTTAAACACCATACAAAAACATTACTCACTTTCAGAACATTGACACAGAACTGGAGACGATGGAGGAAGGAGCGTGCTGCCACCTCAAGCTTCTGAAGAAATGCAGAATCAATAACATCAGGGCTGACCCTGCATTCAAGGATCAATAACATCCGGGCTGATCCTGCATTCCAGGATCCATAACATCCGGGGTGATCCTGCATTCCAGGATCAATAACATCCGGGCTGATCCTGCATTCAAGGATCAATAACATCCGGGCTGACCCTGCATTCCAGGATCAATAACATCCGGGCTGATCCTGCATTCAAGGATCAATAACATCCGGGCTGATCCTGCATTCCAGGATCAATAACATCAGGGCTGATCCTGCATTCCAGGATCAATAACATCCGGGCTGACCCTGCATTCAAGGTTCAATAACATCCGGGCTGATCCTGCATTCAAGGATCAATAACATCAGGGCTGATCCTGCATTCAAGGACCAATAACATCCCGGCTGACCCTGCATTCCAGGATCAATAACATCCGGGCTGATCCTGCATTCCAGGATCAATAACATCAGGGCTGATCCTGCATTCCAGGATCAATAACATCCGGGCTGATCCTGCATTCCAGGATCAATAACATCCGGGCTGATCCTGCATTCCAGGATCAATAACATCCGGGCTGATCCTGCATTCCAGGATCAATAACATCCCGGCTGACCCTGCATTCCAGGATCAATAACATCCGGGCTGATCCTGCATTCAAGGATCAATAACATCCCGGCTGACCCTGCATTCCAGGATCAATAACATCCGGGCTGATCCTGCATTCCAGGATCAATAACATCAGGGCTGATCCTGCATTCAAGGATCAATAACATCCCGGCTGACCCTGCATTCCAGGATCAATAACATCCGGGCTGATCCTGCATTCCAGGATCAATAACATCAGGGCTGACCCTGCATTCCAGAATCAATAACATCTGGGCTGACCCTGCATTCCAGGATCAATAACATCCGGGCTGATCCTGCATTCCAGGATCAATAACATCCGGGCTGATCCTGCATTCCAGGATCAATAACATCCGGGCTGATCCTGCATTCCAGGATCAATAACATCCAGGCTGATCCTGCATTCCAGGATCAATAACATCCGGGCTGATCCTGCATTCAAGGATCAATAACATCAGGACTGATCCTGCATTCCAGGATCAATAACATCAGGGCTGATCCTGCATTCAAGGATCAATAACATCAGGGCTGATCCTGCATTCCTTCAGAAGCTCTCGGCCACAGCACCAGCCTTCCACCAGTGTCTCCAGTGCTGTATCGACATTGGAGGACACCAAGTCGAAGTTGTAGATTCTGAAACTGAAAGTGTCTGGCATTTAAATCTTGCACGAAGCTGATAAAACTCATTCCATAAAATTTGTCATGCTTCGTTTACATGATCCGAAATTTTGGTTTAATTCCATTACTAAACAACCAAATTATGCAGGATCAAAAGTAGGACACCTTTTTTTGGACACATTCATGTAGTAGGAAAGATGAGTAAGCCAGTTTGGCATCTTGATGCAATAGTCCAGGTCAAAGGTCATTTCGTATAAAATTGTTGATGTGATGTAATGTGATGTTACACAAATGCCCATCCTGCTCGTAATTAACAAAAGCATTGTGCATGGGTCTCCCTGCGCATTCATGCAGATGAGCGTTCGATTATCAATGAGCATTTGATTATCCGGAATATCCTGTGTCCCATTTCATTGTGTGTGTGCAGTTGAAATACCAAACTGGCTTATTCTACACCCCTACCCTTTACATGAAAGCAATCTATTTCACTCTTTCAAAAGATTAAATTCAACATTCTATGGTTATTGTGAGAAAGGCACTTCTTATTACATGTACAAGTATATTCTGCCTCAAGTTGTTGACTGACTTTGGTGAGCAAGTAGAACATGAGGCAAATGATGAAACTATCATGCTTTAAAATAAATAGGCCATCAGCCTCGGTCCAAAATTATGGCCACCGGTATCAAATGAGGGGAATAATCGTCTTAGTAATTTTTGGCAAGGTATACACCTCCAGAGTTGGAAAATATGTGATAGCATTGCAATGGTGGCAGCTTTTTGGTTATCACCCTTTTTTTCAAAATGTCCATCAAAATGCTTGTTACCATGCACCCTAAGGCCGGTATACCTTGTACATGCGCACAGCAATCTTTTGTGCCCTGATTTGATACTTACCAAACCCTCAGGCTGATAGCCCAAAATACTTTATTCATTGTTACAAGGCCTATACAATTGGAAGCTGATACAGTATAAAGACATTTCTAATTACAGTACTGTATATGTACACTGCATGCAATCACTGATATATTTTCAGTGATATATTATTTTCTACTACATTCTTATTTCAAAAGAAGTTGACGGTAGTTTATCTTTTAATTTGGTTGAAGTTTACCCATGATAAACACTGATTAAAGTTATATTGGGTGTTTTCCTTTTATGACTCAATTTACTTGTTAATGTTACCTGACAAAAGTCACAAAATTGAGATAAAGACGTTTACAAAAGATCATTTAAGATCAAGAAATTAAGATCAAGACTTTCCGTAAAATAATAAAACTGTCTGGCATAGTAAAATGCCTATAGAAGTAGCCAATATAGCTTTATACCTTTTACCATCATATAACAATAAACACCTTACATGAAGATATTAATCTCAATTGTAAACTTTTAAAATCTTTTTGGTTTTAAGAAAACAAAAAAAAGGAACCCTGTAGGAGGTTATTCAGATACATGTCAAGTTTACCATGGCCATTACAGACGATCTAGATGATATATTCTCTATAGCTGTCCAATTATTATTAAACTTAACAAGTTTTTTCTTTTTAAAAGTAATAGATAATCACAGCAACATCATGGATTTTTGAAAGAATTTGGTTCAATGACAATAAACAATAAGCATTTGGTGTGTGATGTTGAAGATTTGTTGTGTGATGTAAAACATCCAAATTAGAGTTTGCATTGGACTTACTATTGTAAAAAGTTTAGCCCCCCCCCCCCCCCCCAGAAAAAGTATCTGGTTTCTGGTCTCTGCACGCATCGCCATAGCAATGTGTGTCTGCAAAATTAAAAAGTTGCACTATTTTAACATGTTTTAGATGGGGTTAAGATCGAGTATAAGCTTTATGTGGCCTCTCTTGTCTCCCATATGGTTTTTGCACTTAAATTAGTCAGGCAACTTTTGCAGACGTTGTTGTAATTTTGTAATTGTGTGTCTGGAAGCCAGATGGTCGTGCATCTGGAACCTGTAAATGCTTTTTAATTAGCTCAATATGTAAGGGGGCAGACTAAAGTGATGTTTTTCTTGTTATCTAAATTTTTCAAAGAATATTCATGTCGGTCGAGATCGTAAGTGGGCGCAGAATTCTCAAGCCTTGTGGCCTTTACTGATGTCACCTCAAGCTACAACCTGAAGGATATTTTCAGAGTTTAAAGGGATCTAAGCGTCATCTGCAATATCAGCTGACAACTTTGTTCTGACTTCTGTGCACTGACGAAAAATAAAGTAGGGGAACAAAAAAAAGGGTCGCCGAAACACCTTTGGGGCAAGCTCCATATCAGAAAATAGAGCCTTTTTGGGGGGCCTCAGTGATTGTTAACATTCCACTGTGGTTATTCTACTGTGCGTCGGCACTTGGATTACTCGGGGCCCAAAGAAGGACCTTGGCCATGTAGTAAAACCATGTGATCAAAATGTATGTTTGACATTGCAGCGGCTGTCAACATGGGACTTTTCAGCAACTCAAAACTGATAATGTAACTTTTTGTTTTTGCATCATACAATTGTTATAACCGTACATCCGTAAAACTAGCGATAGGTGCATAGACGGGTTCATCACTGTCAATGTTAAAAAATCAATTTTCTTGAGACATGCTAGACTGGAGAATAGAATACAAACTCATCTTGAAAAAGAAAACTGTACATGAGGTGGGTTTGAATTATGTACAATTTAATACAATGTATGGAGTGTATGGACAGATTCTGTGTTGGGCATAATCAGTGGATCTGCGTATCTTTGCGCGATTACTCCATTGTGCAGAGATGCACTTGCGCGATCAGTCCATTTCCTGTAGAAAATCAGAAGTTGTTTCCCTTTTTCTAAACAATCCTCCAGAGCTGTGAAGTAGAAAGTAGAGGTTATCAACTGATGGCGGCGCTATCAACCAGTTGTACAGATCCACCCATCACGCCCAACATGTACAAGATGAAGATCAACAAGGATCCTTGACACTCCTTCATGCATCATACCCTGGACACCATACTACAAGCAAAACCTGCCTCTTCACTTTACAAACACCAACAACTCTCCATACCTTTGTACTCATCTGCCTACCGGGCTAGTCTACACATCCACCAATCACCGACTGACTTGATTTCTGCATATTGATCTTGGTGTGAATGTCGCTCCTACACAGTGGGCACAGCCGTAAACTTCCAGAGCATGTACCACAGCAACAGACATGGCCACAGTTCAGGAAGAGAACATCCGACTATCGGAAACAGAGACAAGAACATTCCAATTATGAAACTAGTTGCAATTACATTTACTCCCTTAACAATCCAATTATCAAACACCCAGAAGCCTAGAGTGGGTGGCTCTCAAGCCACTTAATCCACACCTTGACATATCGTACGATAATGTGTCTGAATAAAATATAGGAACTTTAATTGGTCAAGAAATTTACTACGTCAAATGACAAGGACTTACGTTATTCTCCATACAGATAACGCATTCAGCATTGACCCGAACAGTGACTTCCTTCACAAGGGCTGCACCTGCGACTGCGCTTGCACCAGCTTCATCAATAGAGGGCGCTGTTGGATCTCTTCTGGGAACATCAACATGAGACTCCATTTCCTTGGCTTTAAGTGACGCATTATCCCTCTCTTTGGTGAAGTTAGCAATGTTTGATAAAATAGAACGACGTAAGCCAACTTCATGAACACCAATCTGCAAGTAACAAGAGATGAGAGCTGGATGTCAATATGTTGTAGTCAGCACTATTTTCAGGTGCTGTTTGCTCAAGATACAGGGTGTTCAAAAAAATTTGAACCTTCCAAGCGCTCTCTTTTTTACAGCTTTCATAAAATATATCGCAAACACTAACATATATTTAGAGAGTCTAGTTCATTAGCTTTCCAACAACGAGAAAATATTTCCAATCCGGTAAATATTTATTGAGCATAATGCAGGGCTCAATTATGCATGGCTGAACATAATGGTGGGAACAGCCTACAAATTCTACACTACATTATATCCTTCAAACCTGACCAACACATTTTTGCCATTTAGTCTCAATCCTCCAAGCTCCTCCAAACTCGCCTGGAGGATTAAGGAGGCTTGAGAAGGATTCAGGAGCGTTAGGGTTAAAGTATAATAAGTGCATTACCTCTTTCAAGTCGTTGTCTGTCAATTGTAGCATGGTTTCTATGGTAACTCGATGTCGAGCAAACATGGGAATGTAATCATCAGCTCCTGACCTGTTCAAGATTTCCAAGACTGAAAACTCCAAGTTGTTTTCCTAAGAGGACAACAAATAATATTTTAAATATTCAAACTTCGACTCATCACTTGTTACCCTCCATCAATCTGTAGATGGAATGGTGGAAGCAGCTCTTCCAAAGTGGTAGCAAGCTGCTGGATCTGAAGGCTAATGTCTTTGGAGATAGCTCCAGGAAAGCTACACTATGTGTACTCCAGAAGGTGACCACAAGATACAATTGGTTGTTGCCTGTAGCGACTGACTAGCCAACTACAAGTATCTCTCCATGAAGTCACTTACAATTACACAATTCATCTTCTAGACCACAAAGCTTGCATTTTCAATCTACTGAGGAAACTACAAAGCCTAATTGAAATTTGATGGCATTTAAAAGTTGCTACACTCTAGAATTATATTACTGACCTAACTGAATTATGATTGATTTTACTCTGTTGTATATTTGCCTCTAAAATTAGCAAATTATTGATCTCACCTACCTGATCAATAAGTGATTGTGGCTTACGATCCATCAGTCTCTGGAATTGGATCAGCCAATAGTCCTGGACATCATCCTCACGTCTCTGTTCCATCTCCAGCTATGGACGCAAATTCAACTTTCATGTTATAAATGAACAATTACATTTCTTTAAACTACTGGAACTGTTCACCAAACACATCATGCATAGTAGACCCATTGTAGAAGGAATCGGACGTTTTTCGGTAGCTTTTCCCGGCTGCCGATCAACTTATCTTTGAATTTTGAATCATAAAGATTCCGATGTCACAACTTACTCAGAACCATAAAGAGAGCCTCTAACTGACTAACGGAGCTTGCAGCTGATTTAAGTGCCAACCATGAACTGTTCCTAAATCATTCATTTGTAACTGACCCCCGGTGTGCCCTATCAAACTGAGCCTGTGACTCACAAGTCTTTTTTTGAGTTCTTCTTCTCGATCTTCTCTCTCAATCATGAGCTGTTTCAGCAAGGCAGCCAGATCCTCTCTCTTCTGCTCCAGAGCAATGTTAGTTGACTCAGCCTTGACAGACTGTTTCTCTAGCTCAGCCATAGTCACCTCAGCAAGTTGCTGTTGCAGCATGTAGATCTACAAAGAAAGAAGTTAGGACAGCGAGTTTGATAAGATTTGATGCAATTGCATGATGAAGGTAGCAATATGATAAAGGTTTACAGTAGCACCATGTGACAAATCTCTTTTGTGAACTTGTGAGATTGTGAGGTTCTGGGGAAAGTCAACGTTTCAGACAGTATGCTCTGCCCTTGGTCAGGAGACTGAAGTCGGCAACATTAGTATTTGAAGCCAGCCTGTTCTAGATACCTACCTCCTCAGTCAGTCGCTTATGCTTAGCATCCTTGCTAAGCAGCAACATCTCAAATGCTTCTCGTTGGAATTCTTCAGCTTTCATCAGGTTGGCTACGATAGCATCGTTGTTTAGCTGCTTAGCGTGAAGCTGTGAGCTCAGCTGATTAAATGCAACATTTTCACTGGTCAAATAAATGAAAGATTGAGAACGTTATCACATTGTCTTTTTGTGTGATTGCTACTTCATTCACTTCTTTTACCCAAAGTCTGTGGCACACTCAAGAACTCAACTACAATGTCATCAGACATAGAATTGTCAAAAAAAAAAGATGCACAATAGTTCCCTGTTGGCAACTTGTAAAAATAATGGCACTTATGTTGGTAAAACAATCAGAGACAAGATGCACATCATATTTGTTATATCGTGTCCATGAATACCTGAATTTCATTGGTTTAGGACGGTCACATGTGTAGTCCGTAATACTGCATATACCTATAAACTGTGCGCATAGCCGCGTGTACAGAACCTGCCCATGTGCTCATCAGTCTCGTGTTTGGCAGGAAATCCTGAAGTTATCAAAGGTTACATCGCAGTGATTTCATTTAATTCTCACACAGTATGTTACCAACTGTTTATCTCTATAACAAAACCATTGTTGACTTCTTGGATGTGGGATATAATGTGGGATATGTTGTTTATAACCTCTCGGGGCGTAAAGTACCCGAGGAGAACTATACGCCCCTGGGCATATCCCACATCACAGCAGTCAACAATTGTTAACTATCACGCTGATACTTCGTAAGACCTTGCTTTCATAGAATTGTAGCATAGACCCTTTGCATTAAGCAGCAATTGTTAGGCTTAGATAAATGTATTCAGTAACAACGAACACACAAGATATTTAGTCAGGCTTTATCCCTGTGGAACAAACGCTGTCACCTCCACGATTGCTGCCATGCCAAGGGTCTATAGAAGGTCTATTTACTGATGCTAGTCATTTCATTACCTGTCTTCTGCTTCCTTTCTAATGTTCTCCTTGTGTTTATCATATCTGTTTCTCAGCTGATCCAACTCAAAGTTCTCCTTCATGATGACTTGCATAAACTTCAAGATGTCTTTCTCTCGTAAGAGGTCATGTTCCTCAGAGACCACAAGGAATGTGGCATCTAACTCCATCCTAGATGTGACAGAAGAACAATCAGATATCCCAGTCAAATAAGTTTATCATCGTTGCTGATTTAACAGGGGTGTGAGAGACCACTGATAAAAAGAGCCGAAAACACTTGAAAAAGGTGTAAAAAAGCTGAACTTTGGAAATCTCCTATAATTTTGTACACAGCAAGTGAGGGGAAAAAGCTGAAATCCAAAAAAAAAAAAAGCTGAAATCAACTTTAAAGCTGAGATTTCACACCCAGTGATTATCAATATCTGGCAAAAACGGCCACTCAGAAAATCTGCATTTCTTTGGTTTTCAAACCTTAACAAGATAAATGTTGTTATCGTCTTTCTACGACTCATGTGAATATTTTGAGCTTAGCTTAGCAAGCACATCTTGTTCTTATACTCTCATGACTCAATCTTCTGCAAGTCTGGTGATATAAAGTCCATCCACCACATACATCGAAGCGGACATTACCTTTCCTTCTCCAATTGATCCAAAAGAGCTTCTTTCTTCCGCGCTCTGTGAGAAAAATAATTCCACAATGTTGAACTTGGTTAATTTTAATCAGCAGAAATAATATAGTTACACAAAATAACACGGTATAGCAGAAATAAAATAGTTACATGGTATCAAGGTCATGTCCTTCATTTACTTGTGGCAGTCAAAATGTCATTTTTTCCTAATAATTTGTGGGAATAAAAACAAAGTCATCTTATAAGCGTTGCTTCACAACCTAAGACAAAGTGTTGTAACTAAAGAAAATGTGCCTGCCATTAAATCACACTTAACCACTGAGGGCCCTTCAGATGTAACTTAATGTTACTGCTAGCAATAAATGTACTTTCTTCCTAATTACTCAATCAATTCAAAACAGTCTTGCAGTTGATATTAATTAGCAAATATTCACAGAAGAAAACAAAATTTAACTCATATGTTATTGTAGGTCTTAAACATAATTTCCTTACTTCTCATTCATCTCCAAAAGTTGGTGAACAAGATCAGTAGACTGTCTTTCAACTATCAAAGAAAAATACACAAATATTGTTCATAAACAAATTTGTTGCAGATTCATCCAAATTAACTTTTGACAATAAAAAAGAACTATGCCTTTCAGATAAACTATCCCGTTTTCAATGGCTTTTGTGTATCCACAATGATAACTGGGATCAGGATATTATTTCTGCTCTTTACTTTTTTATATTTTCCTTAAAAATGCATGCCTGAGTATCATCCGCTGTTCAACGGAGCCCTCTACATAACCAATGCATGATACATGTGAGCAAAGCAAAATTTGTGCGACCCAGCGCGCTAACTAATCTGAGTCGACTTAGAAATTGTGACATCATTTCGTTCAGAAATGTGGACAAAGCTGTTGATTGGTAAATTCAGCAGCCATGTTTTTGTAAAACAAAACCAAGTTACCGCGGGACCCGATAGAAGGCGCCCGCTGAATGGTCAGAATCTTAAGGTCAAGACGCAATCTTGTTTTGCATAATTAATTGTCAAATCTGCTAACATATCATAGACCCTTTTGCTGTAAAGAGGATATTTCATAAACTATTTTCATGCCCCACACAAATTCTGTCAAGAAGACATTCTTTGGTAGCTCTGGAGAACCATTCATCAAGCATGAGTCAATTGTTCCTATAAGCAAAGAAATTCCAATTCAGTTTTTATTTAACCAAGAGCATGTCACTTTTAGCCTTTTCAGACTAGTGCCTCTTTTCAACCCCGCGTCCAACCCTGAATCATTCACACTTGTTACATGCAAAATTAGCTTATTTGACTCAGTTACTACTGTTTTGAACCCTGGCGAGAGTTTCAACCCCAATGATAATCAAAACCCTGGTCTGGAGCAGGATTGAGTTCAACCAGGGGCAAAATCAATCTCAGGGTTGACGCAAAGTTGAAAATTTTCAAGTGTGAAATGCTGCATATTTTCAACCCTGCTGCAACCCCTGAGATTTGTCTAGTGTAAAAAGGCCTTTATTAGATACTACAATGGTGTCAGTGTTTATGACAATGCATGTCAATCCAATGGGCTTCATACCATCATGTAGCACAGAGAGCAAGTTTTGTTTCTCTATGTCACTTCTCTCTTGCAGCGTTTTAATGCCTGAATCCAAGTCAGCTTGCTCCTGCAGAAAATTGACAGGTTAAAAATTAGACCAGGGCCCAATTTCATGGTGTTGCTAACCACAGAATTCCGCGCTTATGCTCACCATATTGTGCTAACAGCGCTAGCAGAACATTCTGCTCTTATCCAGTAAGCAAAGAATCCTCCGTTAAGCCAGAATTCCTCACTAACCCATAAAATGCTCTCACTATAAGCAAGGAATTTTCTGCTACAGTAAACAGGATATTTCGCTAATGATAAGCAGAGTCATGAAACTGGGTCCAGATTTGTATCACATTAAAATATCTGAAATAATCTATTTGATAATAAAAATGAGGCTGCAATTCCAGCTGAAGCAATGACTATATATTTTCAGCATTCAGTGACCACCTTCTAAAATCACTGCCTATCAAACAATGTGGTTTTCTGTCTTGTAACAATGATTTTTGCAACTTTCACTTGGGGGCAACACACTGAGTATACAATATTTATACGTCGGTGAAGAGCAGAACTTAATATTGATTTACATCGACCCGACGCAATTTCCATCAGATGAATAGTTTCATTGTGGTACCTGCTGCTACATCCAATTTGAACCAGCCAACCCATCTGGGAAGCTTGGAGGTTGAGTGGTAATATGTCTGCATTAGAAAGCAGGAGGTCGTGGGTTCGAGTCCCACCCGAGTGATTTTTTCCAACTTTCCTACGGAAGGTAACACACTGAGTATACAGTGTTTATACGTCTGGGAAGGGCAAAACTGAACATTGAACAACAACAGTTTTTGGTGGTTAGTTTCAACTTTTGGTCAGGCATCACTAAAGAAAATTTGACGCCGATGAAACAGAGGTTGAGAATGGTTACCTTTTCGAGGGCCTTGAGCAATCCCAAGTGTCGTTTGTCCGTCTGAGTCACCAGTTGCGCTTGCTCTCTCTCCATTTCTTCAAGTTCTCTTTCCAGTCTCATCCTCTCCAATCTTTTACTCTCCTGAATGGATAAAAAAAATAACAAAATTTATGTATAAAAAACATACAGTTAAAGATTTGACAACAATGGTCAATGGATTCTTTTGATGAATCTAAACTTGAAAATGAGCAAAATAATGCCACAAAACCAATGAGCAAAATAATGCCACAAAACCAATTCCTGCGAAGGGCTTGACCAAAAGAGCTAAGGAATTAAACATGTTGTCAACTTCACAGAATGTACATGTGTTAGGCTACTTGCCAATTTCTTTACCTGGATTTTCTCATACTGCATGATACTATTACTCAAGTTGGCTTCTTCTTCTTCAAGACTTCGAAGCGATGATGGCTTGTCTTCAGAGGGGGAGACTTTAGGAGGGTCCAGCACATTCAGAACATGTTGCGATGGTGGGCTATAATCAGTGCCACACTCTGAAAGAAGTTATATACCCAAAGCTGATTAGGGACATTAGTTTGTCTCAGGGTGATTACATAAATCCAGTATACATCCGTATGCTTCTGAACTGATGACATCACGCTTAGTTTACGTGCGCTTTTTCTATGGGGCTACAAAACTGTTATCTCCCCACAGGTACCTTAAAAAGCACACGTGTAAACAAAGTGTATGTCATAAGTACAGATGCTTATTAGGATAAATTTTCTAGGATTTCCCAGGAACATTTGCCTAGAGTTGTTTCAGAATCTCTAGGACAACAATTGTTACCTGCACAAAGTGACTTCATAATTGCTTCAGTTCCCTGCATGCAGATACTCGCTATTGGATGTCTCATGTTTTTGGCATCTAGACTCAAAGTCTGTAGACAAAACACAAGAAACAAAACCATAAACTTCTGTTTTTTTAATGATATAGTAAATAACACGACAAGACAGGCTTTTGGCTGATCAAGTGAAAAAATATATGGGTGGGTGTTATCATAAAAGGAGACAAATACAAGAACATTAAACTAGGGCTGTGCATCAGAACCGGGTACCCGACTGCTAATGTCAGGAACTGGTTCCAGATTATGGGATCTGGTACCCACAACCGCCTTTACAAATTATTTAGTTACTCTTCAGATAATGAAAAGGAAATATTTTTAATGCCATTTGTTGGGAATTTTCGAAATGAAAACCAGTCTATGTGAAAAAACAACATATTTCACGTTTATAATGCTTGCAAAAGTTGCCGTTTTAACAAGAAAGCTATAAAGCTCACTGTACACGCCTGTATCTTGCTGCATCGATGCACTGATGTGGTAGTATTATTGTGCAGACCTTTATGAAACATCTGAACACCAATTTCTGAGATCTGAATTCCGGGGTTGAGATTCTTTAAACAGGTACCTGGATACCCGTGGTTTTTTTCAATCAGGTACCCAGTTTCTGTACAACCTGTAAATGCACAACCCTACATTAAACAGCACATGGAAAATACTTTACATAGCTAGCTAAAGGGGATGCAAGGCATACTATTTTCCAAACCTTCCTAAACAACAGTGCCTACTTGTGTTTGATGTGACTCAACACAAACCTACAACTTAATAACTAAACATCTGTGAACATAAATTTCTCACCTCAAGTGTCCTGATGTAGCAAAGTTTAGAAGGCAAGTCCTTGATCTTATTGTCCGAAATATCCAACGTTCTCAAAGATTTCATCAGACAAATAGTCCCTGGTAGTTCTTTCACTTGGTTTCCTGTTTCGGCAGGGATTAAACATGTAACAGTAGTAAGATTGCTATTCATCATCAACAGATACTACCGGTAGGAAAATTAAGACCAAAGATTAACCCTCCCTCTCTCAGTGACAACATGGTGAGTGGTACCCTAGCTGTCAAAATCTATCAAGGGACTGGTTTTAACAGTTTAGTACATTGGCCTCATAATGGTACAATTGACTGGTTGTGGCAATTTGGTTAAATGAATGAAGATACCGTGCCTTGACTGACAGTATATATGGTGGGTTAAAGTACTGGTGAGTGTCTGCAATGATTGATTTAATTCAGTAACAATAAAGGCACACCAGGTACACCTGTGCATATCTTAGCAATACAAAAACATTGCGCTTTATGTGAGGGCAATGGCTGCTACAAATAAGGTCCATAGAATTACTGTAAACGTTGTAGCAATATGCAAGGACACCCAATCTATCCAACCCCTTCGACAGGTTTTGACAGTTATGTTGTTTAATCCATAGGGATTCTGGCAGTTGGTGACCAGCCTAAACAAAAGCTACAGGAATCGGGTTGATTTGTTGACAGTTAGCGACAGTTCCATCAGTAGGAGGCTTTAAATCTGTGTAAAGTATAACAAATGTCTGCAATGCTGTACTTTCTGTTAATGTCCTTTGCTACTGTACCTACAGATGTCTATAGTTTCCCAATATGCTTCACTTTGGGCAATGTGTGCACATTATGTGAGGCATTCTGGCAAAATGAGAAGGATCTGTATGGCCGTAGTGGAAAAACATGCAAACACCGAATTGGGTGCATTTATTTTGATTTTCAGATTTACTGATATTTGTAATCTACAAAACAGTATAGAAATTGTGGAATAAGGTCTTTTCAAAGAAAAAAATTGTCATCTTTCATTTCCACGAATACAAAACTTGAAACTTTAGAGTGCCCTTTCTCAGTATTTTACTTTTTTTACATATCGATAAATGTGAGCTTTAAACAGTCAAAAACTTGAAGTGCAACAAACAGAAAGACAAATTTTATTCTCTTGCTCAAACCCACAAACTCATTTCAAACTCTTCTCAGTCAGATGTGCCTGATTTTGCCAGAACGCCTGACATTATGTAACATTTAGCTTTTCATTAGCCAGTACCTTTGATAGTGAGTGTCTGCAGAGCCTGTAGTTTGCCCGTATCACGAGGAAGCTTCTTGAGTTGATTGTTGTCCAGATTTAAGACTTGCAATCCACTGATACCTGTCAGTGCATCGGGTATCTCTGATAACTTATTGCTGTGTAAATCCAGCACCTAAACAATGAACAAACAATGACAGCAATATGGGTATGACTTGGCGTTTAACTGTAATGTTTAACAAATATTTAAAATACCGTTTAAACGTTTAGCCATTTCACAAATGCTGACGCCTGCCCATTATGTCTGTAGACTGGCGTGATTGACACGACAAATCAACAACCAATGAAAAAAAAAATAGCAGGCAGTCATTGAGAAAGTAAAAACTTAACTACATGTACCCCAAATGAAATCAAGCACTGTGGTGCTTCTAAAGTTTTGGAAATTGAACAAATTTGAAAACATCATCAACTTTTTGTGCTATATAATTTTGTTTAACTCAAAGAAAGATTGTGTGAATGTAGGTCCCTTTTTGTACTTCGGGTTTTGTTTAAATATTTTGGAAAATTTGTAAATGGATTTAGATTTTTTTTCGTTTAAAATTTTAAACGTGTAAACATCACTCCTTAGATATAAATAAATAAATTCATTGATTGAAATGTGTACAACTTGAAACCAATTGATGATTGGTCTTCCTCATTCTTAACGTAACTTCAGACTGTTAATGTTCCAACAGCTGTACAAAATGTACCTTTTACATGTATGCCAATGAAAAAAGTAAACATACAATTAAGAAGATTTGTTTGAACTGTACTGAATTCTACACAAAATACAAAGATGACTTTTCCACATACTCTCTTGGACTGCAGTTTTGCAACTTCATTGCTAAAACTGAAATTCAAATCTGGTAAGATAAGCTGTGCTTACCCGTAGCATTGCTAAATCTTTAATATTGCCGCCTCCTGATAGTGACGACAAGAGATTATCACTCAAAATCAGAGCCTGAAATTGAGAAGATAAGAAAGTGACATTAATGAAAGCTTTATGAAACTTAACCCTAACCCTCCTCAATCCTCCAAAATCCTCCTGCCGGTTTGGATGATTTTAGAGGATTGAGGATGAATGGCAAAGATGTATCGCTTTTTTGTTGTGGATGCATTATGTCAAGCCAGTAGGCCATATCCTGCATTGGTTATGTTCAGCCATGCATAAATCAGCCCAGTGTTTTTCTCGTATTTCACCCGCACTGCTTCTAAACACCATTCGCACTGCCTCAAAACAGTAATTGGCAGAGGATTTTGGAGGACTGACTCCAACAGACTAAATTCAAGAAATAACAGATGATTTTGGAGGATGGCAATTGGAGGACTTTGCAGGATTGAGGTTGCATTCTAGCCAGAGGGCCTAGGTTAGGGTTAATCAATCATTTAGTAATGATATGTTTAATAAATTACTGACATTCTAAAAAGGGGAGCCTGCAATACGCAAACACAAGGATCCAGTATTGGTAAGCAGATATTCTCATGTTTCCATGGTATACATTGTGTCTGTGGCTGCGATGTTTCATCACCTTCCCCATCAGATTTTGAGAGAATTATTTGGTGTAATAAATATTGCATTTTAAAGCTTGCCCATATTTTTTCCCTTCATTTTCCTCAATTTAATGTGATCTGAAATTAAACTAAAAGGATAATGCACTATACCAATGACACATAAAATACTTACAGAATACGAGCGATAAAATGGTTTGTTTGTCTGCTCAGGAGTTTCCTAAGCATTTGATTCAAGTATCTTTTTCTTTTTATCAAAATGATGTTTTTTGTGAGGCGGAAGAATGCTTTGCCTTGATCTGTCAAGAATTTCCTCAAGTTGTCTACTGACATTCCTTCAAATCACGGCAAGTAAGCCATGCTTTTGTTGACTGTAAACTTAAAAAATTGACTCTCCGTGGCAAACTCTTGATGGCGCACTGAATTGGGAATTGCCTGTATTCTTCATGCATTGATGGTTTTGGTACATAGAATTGGACATGTGTTGATAACTTACTTCTTTCCGTAAAACCTTGCACATTGAGAATGTACCACTTGGAACCTGAAGAACAATTATGTATACAAAGCAACACAAACAAAATGTGTTTAGAAACAAAACTAAATCTAATAAAAATGTTGTCAATTCTTCTTTTAGACCATATGCGTTGCAGGTATCTCACATGTTCTTTATTAATTTTAATTTAGTGACAACAAATACACACAGAGTTCAGTAAAACCTATCCAAGCAATACAAAACCACTGCCCTCTGACTCCGCCTTAACGCATAAGGTCTATTAAGTAAAGTGGTAATTTCCTTGAAATAAAAGTACATTGAACAGTTCTGCGTGTACATGTAAAGGTAGCACTATATCAAATAAGCCGGAGGATGAAATGTGTGATAAATGAGTTATTTTTTTCTACATATTGTTGTTTCACAAATTATGTGCTTGCTGATCAAGAGACAACAGACATATTTTGGCCTGATTACTTCCCTTCCCAAATTGCCCTAGTGTCCATGCTTGCCACATACCTCATACAGCTCACAACGGGACAGGTCATATGTCGGCTCGGGAGACTCTGTTGCCTAAAACACACAGAATTAGAGAAATATGAATAATTCAGAGAATTATAATCAAATAAGCATATGAAAAAAACAATATTGCTTATTAGTAGTCTTAGTATATAGATGGGAACCCCACTCCACTAGACAACAGAGTTTGTCTTGTCATTATTATAAGTGACAGCAGTGAGCCATAAAATGATAAATGAAAGTGGTATTGCAGATGGGTCACTAAAATGTCAACTTGTAGCCCTCCCCACCTTATTGTTTTTCAGGCGGAATATTTTGATGTGTCTATGTGTATTAACTTGGTGCTTTATAAGACTCACTGCTATTAATGTAGCTTACCAAATATTGGCAGTGCTCCATTCTCTTCCTAGCGCTCTCACTTTGTCTGTGCAGTAACTTTGACTTTGGCATATCGATCTCATGAATGCCATTTACCGGATTCATTGGAGTGGTGACAATAGTCCCTATTGTTGACAAATTGTGGCCTGACACAGGCCCTGCAAGTCACCGTAGATCACTTGACTAAATGCTTCAAGTTCACAGCCCTATGAAAGAGGAAGACAAATCATTTTATATTGGAATCGCTTTTAACAGGCAATATTGAAATAACATTAGCAGCACTGTTTATTTCATGGACAGTTTATTTCATGAACAATCTGAACAGCAACTTCCCAGATTTGAATTTTTGGCTTGGGTTTCTTTAACGGGTACCCGGGGACCCGTATTGTTTTCAATAGAGTACCTGGTTCCTGTACTACCTGTAAATGCACACCCCTAACACAAACCCTATGAGAGTGGTCTGAAAATATCCAAGTGTTTGCTCAGTACATGCTTCGTTATGTCAAAGCAGGGAAAAATATCCACGAAAATGCACTTTGTCAGAAAAAAATAGCACTGGAGACCAACTCCAAAGTATTTGAAGCGAGCTAGACATGGAAAGGCAATTTCTAGAAAGCCCGGAATGTCACTTACATTTTGCACGAGGGGTGTGGCAGGCAAGGGGGGGGGGGAAACAATTGATAGGCGCATTATGTCAATAGAAAACTATCAAATTAGTCTTTTTGCGGCAATCATGCTTTTATCATCACCTACCAGTGGCACCTACCATGATACATTTCTTATTCATAAAAACTACACTTCTAAGTTGCTCTAGTGGCTTAGACCAACACTAAAATAATGATTCTGCTTCCCATCACACGGCATTTCAAAATAGGGCTAGTAGGTGTAAGTAAGGAATTGTAAATTGTTGGCATTTTTTATTTACGATCATATGGAGGTGTCTGTGTATAGTCAAGGGCAAAAGGTACTTAGTTACTAGCAAGTAGTAGTAGGCCTAATTGATGATTTTCGGGGGGGGGGGGGCCTCATTTTTCCCAAAACAAAATTCGGGCTGGGGCTGTCAAAATATATTCCCCCCCCCCAATTGTTCCCAATATGTGAGAGTCCACCGCCACTACTGTAATAAGATGGGACTCCGTATTATCATGGTACTTGTCACATTTCTCATTTGGAAAAGAGATTGCCCAATAACCTTCCCGAATTGTCCTGTCTTTTGTGTTATAACTCTTTCTTTTCAAAATGATTCTGCGCTGGTGTGACCTCAACTTTTTTTCATAGTTAATGAGTGTTTTACTTTGACAAAACATCCCCTGAATAAAGTCTGATATTTTCCCTGATAAAGTTCAAGTTGATTATTGCCTAGGCTACAGGATGATTTCTTAAGGCCCTGTCCCTCCCCCGAAAGAACAATCTCTCTGAGACAAGTCTACTAATTGGTGATTGGGGGCGCCATTCACTTTACTTGGTGTGCTGGTTTTTTTTTTTTTTACGCACTGTCCTTATTTTGATCCCATAAAAGTTCTTACGATTTCACGGTGGAAATATCGTCCTTCAACTTCCTTTTGTGTTTGCAGCTGTAGAATGGGAACCAGACAGTGGACCTTTCATGGAAAGAGCACCATTAAAGGGAATATACAACATTTGCAAACATCGAAAAATAAAACTACCAAGTTTTTGCGAAATACCTTAATAGGATGTTGATAAATGACAGTCTAAAGCATCCTGTAAAATTATGGCACCTGGTATTCTGTCATTTTCAAGAAAAGTGGTATTTTTGTATCAATTTCCAACGCTGATCGGCCGATCAGCGTTGGAAACAACTGGCTTTTTTTCAAATACTGGCCCCAATTGACCATTGCACTTGTTTGCAATCGATTACAAACCTTTGAACGGGTACGAGCCAGCTAGACTGGTTCCATGACCTTACAATTCCCCAATGTATGTAAACTGCTCTGTTTCTTCTTATATGGAGTCAGGGAACCAGACTACAGGAAAATGATCGTTTTTCTTGGTTTTTATAGCATTTTCGAACCCAAAACCTCCAAAAAGTCAGTGTAACTATATTTGCTTTATATTTCCAACCCCCCAATTCCATCCATTTCTGAAAATTAGAGCAAAAGCAAATGATGTATATTCCCTTTAAACTTAGACCCGTGAACGTGGCTTGTAAACTACGCCACGCTGTTGTGTATTTTCGAACCTGGCGAAATTGTCCCTCTGACTCCCTCCGTTACACACAATGGACGTTATTTTGCCCATGTAATAAGTACTCACATATGAAGCTGTCTTGAAATCTGTTTGTACCTCAAAACTTGCATTTGACGAAATTTGAGGAAAATTCTGGCCCCGGTTCATGAAGTCCTTCTAGCTGCCATTTTCTCCCAACTGACGCATGCGCATTGCGTTTTATTGTACCGTCCTGTTTCGTATGATTCGACGGCTGTTTACTGTCGCAGCTAAAAGAGACATCATTTTAGACAAGTTTCAAGTCCTTTCCTCTCTCACCGCACCGCCCGCGGGCGCACACGTACACGAGATGAGCCCAGCAGCCAATCGTCTGCGGGGTTTTTTTTTCGGGGGTTGCGACATGAAACAGCCGTCAATCTGTCCAAGCGACAGGAAGCAGACGGGTAGCTCAGAGGGCTCCGATAATTTTGCACGCAAATGACTCGGGTACTCGTTCGAGGTCATTTGTCAGGGTCACTTGTCAGGTTAAAATCTAATTTCTACACGTTCGTATGGGTCTTTATTGATGGCAAATTTCGTCGAAATTACACAGCCTGAACAATCGGACGGGCAAATTTAGATTTCTAGGTGAGTACTCAACATCCATACGGAATTATGTAAGGCGGATCGATTTCGCTAGGTTCAAAAATACACAACAGCATGGCGTTGTATACAATGCCACGTTCACGGGTCTACATTAAACTATGACTCATGACTTTTCATGTTAAAATATAGATGGCACCTTTTAGCAGACACGGTGAGGGAAAATTTGCAAGTTTTGGAAAACGTTAAAATTTATTAAAAATCGTTAAAAGTTAAATCGTTAAATCGTCCTTCTTATACAACTCAGTAGAAAGTTCTTAATGCCTGGTGAACTGGATAACATTTAGCACTTGAAGGAGTTTTGGCAACGCAAAAAGAGACATTTCCCATGCCGCGATAAAAGACTAGGATGCCGCGATATAAATATCCTCGAGTCACCATAATTGATGCAGATAACGCTTGCAACGCGCGCACGTTGTCCAACGCAAATTGAATTAGAGTGCATCTAAACATATCCTCGTCGTTTTAGGTGGACTGACGATACTGAGTGAGAGTCTGAGTCCGACTATATAATACAGTGCTAATCTAGTGATACAGAGTCATGACCGATGACAGTGTATTTATAATGGCAGTGGATATTTTGCCGGAGACGGCAAACCTTCAGTAAACGTTAGTTTGCCGGATATGCACTGAACATGCGCAGTTACTGTTTTTTTGTACTTAAATATTTTCCGGTGACAAATTTTAGTCTGGCTCCATGCCAATATTATCGTTGTATTTTTTTATTAACAAGATGGGAATCAGACCATTTTATAATTTCGGACTTTATTTCCCTTTAAAAAAAATCCTCCAGAGCCACAAATCTGAAAAAGAAAAAGTAATACTCTGCAATAAAATGTTTGAGACATATTAAAATAAGAAAAGAAGAATATTCTTATTTATTTGGGGATGGGAAAAAAAAAACTTAAAATTGTGGCGGGGGTCAGGATTCGAACTCGGGACATCCCACTCACTAGAGCTATTGCTTAACCACTGCACCGACTGTGCTACACAACTTTGGTGGGAATTTAATACATGTTATAATTCAGCCCTATCTTAAAGAGTACAGCGCCCTCTGTTGATATCCATTGCGGAAAAATTCTGCCAACCGGACACCACTTACCTGCCGCCAAACATCCAAATTTTCACCTTACCTTGTGATTTCAACCAAGAGGAATCCAGGAAAGAGTGGACATGCGAAAAAAAATTGGTAAAAATGTGTTTTTGGCGCACATTTTGCATGCACATGTAGTGCAGATCTGAGTTGAAGCAGCCGGTCAAAACTGATTGAAGTGTCTGGAACAGCGGTACGTTATACGCATGACATCGATAACCATGGCGTCGCATGAGCCGGCCAATGATAGTGCAATACGTCATTATGAATATTTATTTTCTCATGAATATTTAGTTTATTTCAATGGATACTACAAATACGTCCAAAGATTGATCATTGCAACAGCGATCGTGCGCGGCCTAGCGGTTAAGAGACTCGTGTATCAAGCAAGCGTCCGAGGTTCGAATCTCGAAGTGAGCGACTGATTGATAAATAGAAATTAAGGAAAGGAGGGGGTGAGAGTAGAGGAGGGAAAGTGGAGGGAATAACCATAAAAGAGGGAATAACCATAAAAGCGGTAACTTTTGGCGCTAGAAAATTAATTGAAAAAAGTGGTGTCCGGTTGGCAGAATTTTTCCCTACAACGTACTACAAGGATGAAAATTCGGAGGCAGGTCACAACACGGAAAATTCAATTTCCGTTTACTCCTCCATTGCATTGGGGGCCCTCCATTGATGCTTATGCAAGCAGGCGCTATGCGCTACTCACCAATCAATGCAAGCCAATGATGTCACTCATCAGTCAGATGTACTTGGTAGCGGATGTTAATAAACAGCACACTACTTCACTTTTCCAACGCTAATTCCTCGAGTAGGCAGGTACATCAAGCCCCCAAGAAACCAATTTTACTGTTTGATACGAAAAACAAAAATGCATACGTTCCGAACCTCCACTCATCAACTGCTGCTGATCCGACATGCATAAGGATGAATAATGAATGCTTGTTGTTTCTGTGAAAATGCGCATGCGCATATTATCAAAGCTAAATATAGCAACTGAATTCATGGGGGGGGGGGAGGAATAGCTCGCGTCTACGATGCTCTCAACGAGACAAATGAAAGAAAAAAAAATCCATTTGCGCTTCACTTCTGTCAATAATAGCGTGGAGTAAAACATTAACACAAACCAAATATTCATATAAAACCATGATAGAACGTAGTTTAGATGGGAAATGATTGTGTATAGAGTGCAAAGAAAGTGGTTGAAGTTTGGGCACGCGTGGGGGCACTCACAAAAATTGCAAAATGACTTCAGAATATTTTTCTTCCTCCCATAAGATATTTCAGGTGTGCGCCCTCATTCGGTCCATTTTTGTGATGTATGTGACATGGTTCAAACATTTCACTGGGGACTATCTGGAAAAAAAACATGAAGGAATGAAATGCTGCTTGTCATTCAAAAGCACAAGATCAGTGCAAATTAGACGGAGGTGGAGGCCGGTTTTAAACATGGGGATCAATGCACTTGCGATCTTTGTTTTTTCTTAATGTTAGGCATTGAGTGGGGGGGGGGGGCCTCGGCAAGAACCCCCCTCCCCCCACCCCCCCCCCCCCCCCCCCCCCCCCCAACAAATGCCCACAGCCCACAGGTTGCAATGGTGCTGTATCCCCCACCTCTAATTCCCTCCCACTTCATAGGTACATCATTTTCTTGATATAAGAGATGTCTAATTCTTTGTGTTCACTTAATTCACCTTATAATAAAGCCTGTTAGTGATGTTGTTTCACTGTACATGTAGCTGTTATAATTGTACAATATTTATAATAGTTACTTTACAATTATGCATTATGTCCAATAAGTTTTTTTATTTGGTTGTATTGCATTTGTAATGCATTGAATTCATACATGTGTGTAGTCATTTGTATTGTATGCAGGGCCCCAATGGAAACCAGTTTTAAACTGGATGGGCATACAAATAAATAAAGGGTTGCAGTTGAAAGGGGATATTAATTGGAAGGGAAATGACAAAGTAAGCTACTAATTGATATATTCATAATTTGTTCCTTACAAACATATAAAACAGACACGAAGTAGAATGAAACAGTAAGACACACAAATTTGCTGTAATAAGTTCTTTAAATGTTTACTCAACATTATCACAAACCAATTAGAATTAAACAACAAAAGATACAAAAGTAAAAAGAAAGATTATAGTTTAATTGTTTGTCTACATTTATATAGTTGATTTTGTAAGCTTAAAACGTTGAGTTTTATTAGTGTCTGCCAAATCATTTAATTCAATGTTTGCATCTTAAGGTAAATGTATCAAATGAGAGATCTGGTATGATTCACAGTACAGTAGCATACAAAGTAAAAACAATTTTGAATCTGAGAAGCTTTTTAAATCTACTTTTCTTTTTAGCTTTTACTCTATCATTAATTTATAACAAAACAATAAGGTAAGAAAATAAACTGGCATGACTTAACAATTGTCACAGGTGACTGATAGCACATCTAAACATTTGTATTGAGGTGTAATATGATCATATTTTTGGTGGTTTTGTGGGGGGGGGGGGGTTTACTGATGCTGCTCCTGCTCAGTTTGACCGACAATCATCTGGATTTTCTTGACAGCATCCGTCTTGGTCTTCTGTTCACAAACTGGGATGCTACTCTGCCCTGGAAACCATTCACGATGCCACTCCTCTCCTATCCATGGCTTCTCACAAGAGGGTGCTTTCTTTGTGCTGATGGTTCTCTGGTTGATGAGTTGGATGTCTTTAAGGCTAGTGATTGCATCCTCCAGGTCAAAGTTCACATTGAGGGATGTATCAGCCCAAAACGCTTCATTTCCTTCAAAAGAAGACAAATAAATTGTATTACAAATCTTATCATAAGACAGTTTAGGGTGAAAAAAAAACCAATACAATTCTGATTGCTGCAATCTTGAAACCTATCCATTTCCACTGAAGCGCATTTCTAAGCACTCAAAGTGTCATACAAACATATTGCCACATGTCAGTGGTATAGCCAGGGTTCTCAGCATGGGGGGGAGGGGGGATTAGGGGGCTGGTATTACAATTGGGGAAGTGCCCAATGTCTATTAAACTCATTAACCATGGTCACTTACAGGACGAACAAATTTTCAGTGGGGGGGGGGGGGGCTGTAACTGGGGCGATGATTTTTTTACTGAGGTTCCCCCGCCCCACTGTTGCCACCTGTCAATGTTGGTCGTGTACCAGTCTACATGCAAAGATGATGTACCAGTCTACATGCAAAGATGATGTACTCATTACATGAAGTCAAACACATGATGTCTAAGCACTTCAAAGTACAATGATTGTCATTCCTGCAACATCCACTGGATTAACACCATTGTAGACATTCTCACCCCATTGGTTCTTGATGTCCTCATACTGTCTAGGCACAAACATCCTGTCTTCAGTCATCCAGAACTCATCTCGGTTCCATGTCGGTTGCGTGGAGATCTCCTCACAAGGAACACATTCACAGGTAGTAGGAGCCATAACAGACTTCAGGTATGTAGCACCGTTGTCACACAAGAATTCTGCCATCTGACGCTTAAAGTCTGTTGGACGACTGATGAAATCAGACAAAAAGACATTCTTAGTGACGAGTCAGTTTTTCTGGCACTTTTGGGAAGACTTGCAAGTTGCTAGCACATGTTTTAAAAATGAGCAGAAGATTTGAGTTGATCAATTTCAAGAGTAAGATTTTGTCAACTTAACGTATCATATCAATCACATTCTATACCCGAAAGCCAATTTACAATAAACAAAAGTCTGTATAGTAGTTGTAAATAATGCTCTAAGGTCATTTTACCTGCACATCGGCACCAAGATCTTCTTCTTGTCTCCAACACGACCGACAGAAACCACAATGGGTGATGGGGACCCTGCGCAGGTGACATCCTTAACGATGGCGTTACAGGTGCCATTTCTCTGAGTCAGGACATTAGTGTAAGTCTCACCCCAACAAACATTGGTCTTGGCCTTCCACCAATCATCTGAACAAATGAAAAGTAATCGCCAAGTTAATTCAATCATAAGCATCTGGTGAAGTCTCAAGTCACTCTGGTCACTCTGGTCAAGTCTCAAGTCACTCTGGTCAAGTCTCAAGTCACTCTGGTCAAGTCTCAAGTCACTCTGGTCAAATCTCAAGTCACTCTGGTCAAGTCTCAAGTCACTCTGGTCAAATCTCAAGTCACTCTGATCAAGTCTCAAGTCACTCTGGTCAAGTCTCAAGTCACTCTGGTCAAGTCTCAAGTCACTCTGGTCAAGTCTCAAGTCACTCTGGTCAAGTCTCAAGTCACTCTGGTCAAGTCTCAAGTCACTCTGGTCAAGTCTCAAGTCACTCTGGTCAAGTCTCAAGTCACTCTGGTCAAGTCTCAAGTCACTCGGGTCCAGTCTCAAGTCTCTCTGTTCAAGTCTCAAGTCACTCTGGTCAAGTGACTATTTCATCACTCTTATCCAACCCTGTGTAAATAAAGAAATAATCCTCAATACTTACAAGACGAGGGTTTGACAAGGGCTTCAAAGGAGCGGAGCAACATGGGTCCCAGATATACTTCATAAGTCTGATTGATAAGAGGAATAGGCTGGAACTTGAATGAAGACGGTGAAGGAACAAAGACTTCAGCCATAGGTGAGATGTCAAACTGCCTCTGAGCATGCAGAAGAGCCTTAGTCACATTCCATCGCCAGCTTCCTACACACATACAATGGTTAATTGATAAATTTACTTAAAACAATAACACAAGTAGTTATGATTAAACTTTACCCTCTCAATTGCATTCTACACCAAAATGGTTGTTGTACGAAAAGTATTGATTCCTCTTAATGAAATTCAAAGTGACGTCTTGCTTGTTTAGCACATAGCTTTAGCTTTTCTTCAGACAACTCAACAAGTGAACGAAATTTGCTCCATGACTAAAAAGTTATTTTAATGAAGGTACTTTGTTTGAGTCATCATTAATCCTAAATTCTTAATGCAAGTTGCTCACCTGTCCTGTTGTATGCAGTCATCAGGGTTGAGTGAGGCACAGCACCAAAGCTGCACTTCTTGAGAATTTCCTCATCGATGGTGAAATCAATCACTTCACCAGAGCGACACACCATGACGACCTCGTTGGGCGTCATTCGGGCTGATCTTAGGACTCTCTGAGCGGTGTGAGCTTCCAGGAAGGCTATGTCGCCCGCTCTGTTCCGCAGACACTCCACACTCCCTTGGAAGTTTGAGTAAGGCTCCTGTAATGTCTCAGTGCAGTTAGACTCGCGGACTCCAGCGCAGGCACTGCAAAGTCTCTCTTGGTGAACCTGTCAAGAATTGTTAGAAAATAGTACCATGAATTAAAAAAAAAAGGTTATCAACTCTACGAAAGGTGCAAGTAGTTTGTCTACATGTGTGGACTGATTACATTGTTTCTTGGGTGTATATCAGTTAACAGATTTACAAGACCTGACCATAGTCTATGCCAACCAATCTAAACCTAGAAGATATCAATGTACCTTGGTCCTCTCAAGGAAGTCACCGATCTGTGGAGAGTTCCAAATTGGGTTGAAGTAACGGTTGAATTCATGCTCACGCAATGCCACGTTATCAAACAAGTCAACATTCACAAAGCGACGACTGTAGACTTGAAGGAAACTCTGAAGCAAAAAAATGAAGAAATTACCACGATATTATAACATTTTGGAGCTTTGAAAAACCATGTTTATTCACAAAACTTTGATTCAAGGGAGATGATTGTATACTTGATCACTATATCTAACTAACATTTCTTGGCATGTATAATTCTGAAATGTCGAACCTTGAATACATACCTTGATGGCAGGGTGTGTGATCCAACTAAACTCCTCCTCTTGTCTGTCCATCATCGAGGGAGACTCGTTGATGTACTCCAGAAACTCAGTCAGCTGCTCTTCAATGTTGTAATACTTGGAGGCGATGTTGCTAAGCAACGAAGTCAAAACAGGATCCTCTGGCTGGGATGTGCTGTCAGACACAAAAATAAAATAAAAAAGTGATTTCAGATACAAAGGATACTACAAAATCATGTCAGCATTATATTAATTCTATAAGCAAGGATTTTGCCTTAGGCTACCTAATATTATCAGGACTGTGTGCACATTTCTTGCTAAATCACTTGGGAAAGGCTTTATCTCTTCAAATGTTATAATCTTGTCTCCTAAAACACTCCAAAATATGTCTGACACCACGTTGGTAAATGAAAAATTGTTCTGTAAAAGTACACAATTTATCCTTGGAGATGTACCTTCGCCACTGAAGTGACTTTCCGCGATAATTGGACTTCTCAGCAGACCACCGCCAAGATCTAGAGTCCATAGCCTTCAACTTCCTGATCAATCCATCAATACCCAAGGTAACCTCCGATCTGATCTGATCTCTAGGAATCAAAGTCTCATCATCAAGACCATGGATTTCCTCAGGCAAACGATCCAGGAGTTTAGACAAGTCCCTCAGACCTAAGACAAAAAAAATAAGGTTCATTAGGTTCAATGCGTTTACACATTATGTAGCACATCACATAACGATCTCTAATTGTGAACAAAATAAGTTTTGTCTATGAGTCTAACTTACTGGATGGTTGAGCGCTGAGAATCTTGCGGAGGAATGGAGTTTTCATCAGACTTGGCAAGCTCAACAATTCCTTGATCTCATTCTTGTTCAGTGTCTTGAAAAAGACATCAAAGAATCTGTCAAGATTTTAAAAATACAAAAGTTGTTTCATTCAGAAACTTTTGGTTGAAATGATTTCCACAAAAAAATGTTTACAATTATCAGTTTCATATGACAAACTACTGTAATATACCCTGGGACGTAAAGAACAGAAACCTGAAATTAAGAAGACAATCATTATGTGAAGATCATCATGAGTTTCAACGAAAGAAGTATCAGAGTTGCATGTTATATTTTGAGAAAATTTATTTGCGCTGACTCAACCTATAACTTCTTGACATTTATGGGTCTTGTCCTTACCTTGGGGACATTCCCTTCCAGTTGTAGTAGTTCCAAGTATTGGGCATGTTCATGTTGAACCATTCGTAGCCTGTGAAGTTATAGAAGTTGAAACCAGGGAAGCCCCAGTTCAGCTCCTGTCCGAGGATAAGGTCCTTGTCCCATGTCCAGGTCCTGGGAGTGACACCTTGAGGCAAAACAAGAAAAGTAGAAATTGTCTCCCAGGTCTGTATCGTGACTGGGCGTGATCCCTGGCTGCATGGCATATACAGGTTTATGGCTTCTGACTAGGACCCTTTGAACGAAGACAGTGATGAATTGGAGATCCGCCAAGATAGAGCTGGATAGCTCCGTCGGTAGAGTATTGGAACGGTAATGCGGAGGGCGCAGGTTCAAACCATGCCCCAGTCAATTTCTTTATTCAACTTTTTGATAAATAGGAAAATAATTAATGTGAATTGGGTGGGAATCTCCTCATACCTGGAAGGCAAGATTTCTCAAAGAAGCGACTGACAGACTCAAAGACGGAGCCAATACGAGGAATAGTGCCATTGGCCAGAAGCCAGCCAATAGGATGCTTGAATGAAGACAGCTGCAGACAAAAAAACAAACAAGATATGACTGGGATACTTTAACATCTTCCTAAGTATTGATCATCTTTACAGTCTCTGATAGAATCTGTTTTCATTCAAACACCTACAAGGTTTATAATTTAACCTTGCAATGAAAGTCGTTAAGTGTCAGGAAATAAACAAGTCAAGTCAAGGGGGGGGGGGGGGGGGGGAGGGTTTGTCCGGGGGGGGGGGGGGCCAGATTGGTTCTCTCACATGCAAAGTGGCCTTATTTGAGAAACTTTCAGTTCAGGAGCACCCTCCCCACCCCTGGATCTACACTGTCAGATGTTGCATACCTTGCTGATGCCAGCATGACATGTTTTCAATCCAGTCATGTTCAGGAATCGGACGTTATCGCCATATTTCTCAAGCAATCTGTCCTTGGTCATCACAGCAATGGTGTAGGTGAAGGTAGTGTTATCAAACTGAGACTTGCCATCTACTTGCTGGAATTGTAGAAAAAAAATATTAAACAGAATATTCAAACACCAAGCAACAAAATCATCAACAAGTTATTAGGCGTTTTCTCATCTAAGTTTTGAAAATGTATGTTGATGTACAATCTCATTCATTCAACAACATAAACAAATACAACTATATTTCAGTTTCAATTATTGGCCAGGACAGCGACTCATAATCACAGACCAATAATTTCTCATAGAAAATGATCTCAGAATAAGAAATTATCATAAATGTAATAAAGGTGGCCACATCATGAGCAGACACAATGATACTTAGTCCATAAGCACGTGTACTGCATTGTATTGCATTGTGTTTATTCACTGAAAACTCAATAAAACCATTGAGTGTTCAGGCGGTTTGGGGCACTACAGTGGGTAATGGACGTTACAGTGAGTCATTGGCAGGGCAAATGGAGTGCACAGTGAGTAATAGGCAGGGCATTCTGGGGCGACACACTGACTAAGGGTCAATGTTTCACATGACAAAAATAGCCCATAGCTAGCTCCACAGCAAAAGAAAAATAAATTGTTTCCATTTACTGATGATAATCTAGTAGTTGACTTTATACTCACAGGGTTCAATGTATCAAACTCCTGACTCATAAACGGCTGTAGTTTGAATTCCCGTCCAGCAATAAACATCTCAGTAGGGTTGGCAGTCATTAAATCTGCTGTTCCATTCATAACAGCTTGCATACACTCCATCTTAGTCTGAGCCAAGACACAACCCCATGCTACATCACTGGCCTGCAAACAAACAAACATGATCACAAATAATCAAGATATGGTCAAGAAGATGGCTCAATCATGGAGTAAGTTTGCTGCTTCAAAGGATACAGAACAAGATAAAATCCATGTACTGTTTGTTCATCTATCAACTTGGAGCAAAATCTTCAAGTTCAAATATAATCTGGAAAGACAGATTTTTTTGATTTTCAGTTATTTCCCCACTTTTTCTCTAGCATCAATATCCATAATTTAAGAATTAGTTCTGATTTATACAATAAGTATTTGTTGAATTGATTGCTTTGACATACAACTTCAACATGCTCAAACATCCCCTTGAACATCTTGCATCCTTCATACAGCTCTGGCTGGATGACGCAAACTCGACACATTGTCTTGGGAACAAGCTTGTCCACGGTTTGCATCACTCTGAAGAATGGCTCAGCATGCGGCTTGATCATTTCATCAATGTTGATGAAGACGTTGGATTCTTGCTTGAAGAGGATATCCACATTGCGACCAGATGGACAAGTGTACTCTGCGGAGTCGAAGAGCTTGAAGGTGCCCACAGATTTACTGCTGTAAAGCTACATTCAAAGAAATAACAGAGGTGTTATAAGCAAATATTAACACTATGAATTTCAACACCGTGAAAATATAGATTGTAATGAAGTCGCCGTGAAACTTTTTTTCACTGCCAAGTAAGCTCATTTTCACGGTGCCAAACTGGGCCCCTCAGCAGGGATAAGCTCACTGCAGTTTCACTGTGTTTTCACATGGGTCTTCTGGAGGTCCAAGGGTCTATTGTTATTCATAACTGTAAACCAGGTCCAGCTTCACTCCACTGAAGGTGTGAAACCACAGATTAATGGTATGAGGGATTACAGGATTAGTGTGATTGACAGCTACACTTACGACCCAATGCCCACTGCCCAAGTACACAAAAGCTACAAAGTCTCCTCCTACAAGTATCCAACACCCTGTTTATTATGAGGGGGATTAGGCCCCAAAGTTGATAAACTGCTCAACGGATTAACGCAACCACAAAAGTTAATGAGCTGGGCTCCACAGAAGGCCTCACTGCATTTTCACGGTGTTTTTACTTGACCTTAACATGTCCTGGTTACGTGATGATTTTCAGGGCGATTTCACCAGATACTTCGCAATGACATCGCCGTGAAAAAAAAAATCACGGTGAATTCATGTCAAACTATATATTCACTCCAAATTCACGGTGTTGAAATTCATAGTGTAACACGTCTGTATTTTTACGTACTATGCTGCAAATCAGCAAAGCTTGGGTCAATATGTTTAAACCAACAAGCAAACAAACAAACAAACAGCTTGCCAGTCAGACGGATACACTCACAGACAGACCATGCAGACCAACCAACCAACCTGCACAGCCTGGACCAGCAGATCCTGAATCACGGTCTTCAGATCACTCCTTCGTGGGTTGATGTAGATAGTTGGCTGTGGGACCCGACCAACGTGACAATCTTTAGTCTCCCACTCAGTCAGAGGTTGGCTACCCGACATACAGATTAGCTTGAATTGAGTCACAGCCGATGGAACTTTAAACAAATGAAAAGAAGAAATGAGTCATTCCTAAACTCATGAATGAACACCTCCCACAAATATGAGATAAATGGAAGTGATGTTTCTGACTTACTGGTGTCTTCAAGCAACAAGCTCTGAATCTTCTTGTGATCAAGGAAGGTAACCTCGCCTACGTTCTCCTGCAAACAGCGAACAGCGCCCTCAATGCCCTCGTAGCGCACAGCAGCTTCTCCCTCGCATCTTGCTACTAGTGACACAGGATAGGTGCCATTCTTGTCAAAGGTCCTGTCCAGAACACCTGTTTGCAAATTTGGAAAATCTTAATAGAATCACAAATGTTCATCCGTATCCTCAATGATTTTGTTTTATAGTACAAAACAAAGATTAGGAAACAGCACTGCAGGATCACAAAGATCTTGTACATGTTTGATATGGGCTTCGTGTCCAAGTACCCCCTCAATGGTAAGGAAGGGAGAGTTGGGGGAGACCACTTGGAGAGACATTCGAACGCATTGTCGAAGACGCATAACAATCACTCAAAAACGCACATTCTGAATATTAGTCATACGTATTTGGCTGCATACGTGCGCGAACCAGTACACTCAAGCCTGTGTGTGTGTCCCTTCAAAGGGGCTTTCGACTGGAAAAAAGCGCTCTCTTTTGATCACGCCAGAGCCCATACTGAAATATCAATCAATCTACCTACATTTGGGTATATTTTTATGAAGCTTACCAGGCACACAACTTTCACTGAAGAACTCCCCAGCACTCTGAACAAAATCTCCCTTTCGGGGGATAATTCCTTCCTGGATAAGTCTCCCGATGGGGGTCTTGAAGCTGGCAGTGCTGTTTGCCTTAGGAATGCAGACTTGACGGTTCTCCATCTGAGCCAATGTGTCAATGTCGCTGGTGATTTTGGTGACGGCGAGAGTAATGTTCTGCCACTCACTTGGAGGTGCTTGCTGTCAGTAAATCATGACAGATGATGTTAATAATAAAACATCAACGTCGTTGCTGAAGTTTGGTCAAACTAAAAGTCAACAACTATTTCAAAGAATCTATAATCAACATATATAAGTGAGAATGCACATAATTCAATTTACAATACACTTCATACACTTCATAAGACAACTGATACAATTCATGTATAAAATATCCTAAAGTCATTCCAACATGCAAGAAATAAGAACAGGTCTACTTTGCAGAAACTGAATCTAAGACATCTAAAAGTACCTTGGTCTCAGTGCTCTCATGGATAATGGGCAGCAGATTGTACTTTGTCTTAGCAGTGTAGATGTCATCATTACGGGTTATCACCATGTCAACAAAGCCCTGTTCAACCCTGTAAATAAAAATCAGACGATAAGCCACGCATTCGCACACTGTAATATATACCGTGGAATTAACTCAGCGCAATATATTTCGGTCAACAATATGGTCAAGGAGTAGCTGCATCGAAGACCTGTAAAGAACAATCATACTTGTTGTGACAAATTGAATGTTATCGTAATCAAGGAATCTCGTTCTTGTTTTTGCTCATGGTTAGCAAATCCGAAGACAAAGGAAAAAGCTTTGTTGTTTGTACTTAGCCATTTCATTTTACATTGAAGCTCTACAATCAAAAGCCATACCTCTTTCTGATTCTATTCATGACCTCCATTGACTAATTTGTTGTAATTACCAAGCTTTTAGTTGAACACATAGTTAAAGTGTTGACCTATTCTTAATACTTCCAAAACTTTCATTCATGGCTGAAGGTTATAACCTGCCAATCAGGTTTTCATGGAGATAATGCCATAGCATAAACATAGTCCGAAAATTTGGGACTCTCAATAACGTGTATGAGAGTCCCAAACCCTACGGCATGTCGTGCAAATATTTATGCTGTGTAAAAAAAGCAGCATGCCTTACAGTTTGTTCAAACTTCCTTGAAACTTCCGTGTACATTGCTGCGAGCATTGCACCTTCAAAATTGTAGCTGTTCATTCTAATTTTCCAGAGATACATCATGATGATGTGTGTCGCAATGAATTGTGGATGTTAATTAACAAAAACAATCCTCACTTTTAACATTTTCACATTGGTGGTGTAGATAAAACAACATCTTTTTGTTTTTCATCCTCGCATTTGCAATATAAATAATTTTTGTTTTCAATAGAGGGCACTGTTTGTTTGGCCAACGAATAAAAAACAAGTATAAAAGCTGCAAGGCACTGTGTACATGTGACCCACAATACTTTTCCAAGCACAAGACTTTTCCAGAATGAAGTAGGTGAACTTCAAACTGCCATAACTTGCTTAAAACTTAGAGTTGAGATCTCAGGTTTCGCAGGAGATATGCTTGTAACTTTGCAACTGAGGTAAGTGTTGTGTGGTTGTTGGTTAGCCTGAATGGCGAGGAATAAACCTCAGTAGTAATTGTGCACGTTTTTATGCAGTTACGGTCGTAGTCTGGCAAAACCCACTTACCAATCCATGCAGTGCTCAGGTGATGTTGCCAAAGCACAAGCCCATTCCTTCCTTGGCTTCAGATTGTAGGTGAATGTACTGGCCATACGCTCACATTTCTTCCACTCACAGGGGTTGGAAGTACACACCCTATGCAAAACAATACAACAGCACAAAATTACAATATTTTCATTGTTATTTAGCACCGAAAGGTAAGAACGTCTTGAGAGGAATCCATACTTTAGGAAGAAATGCTTCCTTTTTGATCCAACATTTGACCAGCAAATTAACTTTTCCTCTCTGGCTGGCAATTTCCACAAGGCCAGCACAGCAATCAAAATATGTCATGTGACTGTTTTTATAAGTTCAGTGCTTGCCTACAAAAAGCAGGATTAACTGACTGTGACTGTTATGAAACCTGATATAGCTATGCTTTGACTGTAGGAGATAAAGCCAGCTGTACCTATCAGTCACCTGCTTTTGTCTGTTGATGGAAGTTGACTGTCACAGTGCCTATAAGAAATATGATCTGACTGTTGGTGACTAGCCTGTGTAAAAAGGCATGGTAGGGGAACAGGATTGAATGTTTGTAGTGACAAACAAAAGCAGAGTTAAAACTTAACAGACCTCAGGCTCACATAAATCTGACAAATATCTGATCTGCAGAGTTCTGTACAACAGTGAAACGCAACATGAATGCTAGAGAGCAATGAAGCACAAGCCACTGGTTCTTACTGACCTGATAGCATCTCTGGTGTTGGTGAGGTCTGTGAAGAACCTGGGTGGTTGGGGGAACCGTTGAAGCTTCTGAACCATCTGACGTTTGGTCTCCACCCAATCCTGCCACTGACGCTCAATCTGCTCTGAAGTCAAGGGCACTGGTCGCTGGTCTGGTTCTACACGCAAAGAAAACGTTAAATTGATTCTCGGACAAGTTTCATTTCCTGAACTACATGTAGTGACAGCTGTCACAGCTAAACAACCAATTGATGCTCAAGATAACAAACTATCCTTCGATTCCAGCCCGGACCATATGTGGATTGAATTTTCAGTCCCTACCTGATTCTGTGGGTTTTCCCCAGAACATACTTCTGGGGTTTTCCTCCAAACTCTAAAACTGTAATTTCTTCTCGTCGTCTTCTCTCTTCAGGCTTCTTCAGGCTTTGGAGTTACAGTGCCTAGGGTACTTTTAAGGAATCCTTGGTTTCATTACCAGAAATAAATAAAATGAAATAAATAAAAAGAAATTCTAATCGATTAAACTATAAAAAAAATCAATCAAAATATTGATCAGGTAAGGTCAGAAGGAGTAGGTTTCAAGGCTAAAAAGTTATGTTCACCCATAGTTCACCCCTAGAATGCCTCACAAAGATTGTTTCTTTTGTAGCCCAAATTACCAGGGATAACAGCATCCAGACACATAGCTCCACCACAGGGAGTCTTACAGCATTTCTGGGCCCCATCACACTGACTGTCATCTCGGCAGTTGCTCACACAAACACCAACGATCTCGCTGTCAGCGGAAATGACTGGACACTGACCAGGCTTGATGACATGATGACCAGTCACTTCATCAAATAAATCTAAACACAGAATAAAAGATTTATTCATGATGTTTATTTCGTAATTCAAATTGAGATAATATTTCTATGCACTTACCTTTAATTTGTGTGCGACAACGCGCGCGCGTTGCAAGCGTAGGCTGTGCAGATTATGGAGGGTCAAGGAACTTGATGTATCCTCGAGTCACCATTGGCACAGGTGATGCTTGCAAAGCATGCGCGTTGTCCAACGCAAATTGAATGCGAGTGCGTCAATATAGGACCTCGTCGTTTTAGGGGGTCTGACGATACGTGTACGGAACTTGAATGGGACTTGGGTAAAAAATTTTGCAACCTGACAACATTTCTGCGATTGTGTACAAAGTCTATGGAGAGTCAAGACAATTTTTTAAGCATTTCCTAACAAAATTTGAATTTTTCTCTCAGTCCCAGATTCATGTCTTATCATTATTTTTGCAATGAATGACCTTCATTGAGATGATATATGAAGAAAAAAGTGGCGTCAGGCTGCAACATTTTTTCTGGAATGGGTAACATAATACAATATAAAGGAAAGATTCCCATATCAGGCCATCACTAATTTTTCCCTTCAGTGACCTATCAGCCATCAGAAACTGATATATCCTAAAAAGTCAAATTTTGCAGGGAAAATATTGGCTATCGTGTAGTGGTAGTGTAGGGGCCCTGTTTGGTTTCAATCAAATTAGAGTCAAGGGTGTTTTTTATTACTCAAAAATGGCCTTTTCAACCTAAAGCAGACTTCTCTCAATATTATAATGACATCTTTTTTGTAACTTTTCTTGGGGTAACAGTTTCTTGGGGTAAAAACTACGATTTTCCTACGCGGTTTACAGTTGGTGCCGTGCGATTCAGCGCACCTTGCGCAGTGATCGCCATCTCTATTTTGTTTTGCATTTTGTCGTTGTCATCGTAATCATCATTTTACCCCCAAACTTCCCTCAAAAATTCAAAACCCTGCCCTTTAATAGCCTACTTACATGTTCTAGGCCTACTTCTAGATGTAGCCAACTAGTTTGGTAGGTCCATGGTAGGTCATTGCACAAATGTTGTAGGTCAAATAATTTAAAAGTGGATTTTGTTTCCTTTACTAGCATGGACCGGGGCCCGTAGCTAGATACATGATCGCCTAAATATTGAAGTATTTACTGAGAAAACACTTAGAAATGTTCAGACCAGTCTCATACTATATAGTCGTGTTCCCTAACGTGGCGCACTTCGAAGCTTACCCAACTTTCCTCGTGTAGTGTCGCCAAACCTCTTTGTTGATAAACCTCAAATTCATGCAGTGAAATGCTGGTACTTTTACCTTATCAATGCTTGCTATTTAACCTCTGTGAACAATTTCGGTTTCATAAAATTTAATCCGAAATGCAAAAACGGTCGCGTCCGGTAATTGGGCACAAATTAGCGGAGTGTTCCCTAACGTGGCGCACTTGAATAAATCTCAGAAAATTCCAAATTAACATTTAAGAATTTCTGTAAACTTGATAAATTCTGATAAATCATTACTATCTTTACTTACAAACCCAGCCAGATGTTTGTCAGAAATTTTTTTTCTTATTTTTCGGGGCATTTTCAAAGGGTTCACTTTGCACTTGAAAATAAAATCGGAAAATCACGCCAAAATAATTTTTTCTTTTAACTTTGTAACGGGTAAATAAACTCGCGATTTATGAACGGGAGTGTTTAGAACTTGATGAAATTTCACTTTCTGTGAAATTTCAGTTAAAACTTTTGCTCTAGCTAGACGCTACAGGCGAAAAATAAAAGTGCGCCACGTTAGGGGCCGCGCCACGTTAGGGTACATCAACAATACTGCCAGGTTAGTCAGTGCACAGGGTCAGGGTGACAAGCTAGCTAGGATGACCCTAGTCCGAAAATTTGGGACTCTCAATATGTTTATGCATGACAAGTGATGGCCAGATAATGAGATATGGGAATCTTTCCCATTGGCATGATTATTGGCCTTAGGGAAGACTAGTACTACTAGTGTCCTAAACTACACGATTATCAAAAGTTACCTTCACTTACAAGTCTACTGGTCCGCCGCCTGCTAGGCCTACACAACAAAGTGCCTAATTTACTTGAGCCAAAATTAATTCTCGGCACGTTATGCATATCATGTCTGGCATGCACAGTGGCATGTCAATTGTCATGTTGTTCTCAGATAATTAAGCAAACAACGGGTGGCGCTCTTCACGATTAGGCCAAAAAAAAAAGTCTCCGGTTTCTGGTATGGAGCTTGCCCCAAAAGTGGTGCGGCGACGCGGCTTTTTTTTTTTTTTACCTGTGTTTGTTTTTGTTTTTTTGGCTTCAAATGTCGGCCGATGACTGCAAATGGTGCCCGACTAAACTTAGTGCAAATATATGGGAGTCCAGAGAGGCCACATAAAGCTTATACTCGATCATAACCCCATCTAAAAACACGTTAAAATTGTGCAGCAGCAGAATTCCAGTCGAACCAGTGAGTTTGGCGGTTTTGAGACATCATCTTTTATTGAAAAAAAAACTTTTTCATTTTGCCGACGCGCATGGCTACGGCGACGCGCGCGCATACCAGAAACCGGAGATTTTTTTTTTTGGCCTTAATGGCGTTTTTTATTTCATCGTCGATTTTGTGACAAAAATAAATGCTTTACAGTGGCGACCACTATTTGTGTAGTGCGCCCTCTTTTAAAAGACCATTTTAGTTGGCTTCGGCTTGAACTTGTTACGATCGAAGTAATTAAACAAATTTTAAAAAGAAACAGAAAAAAAAGGAGTTCCAGCGCCCCAGTTACGGAGTCTAATAAAATATAAATAACAAATTCCCCATCCCCACCGATTTTTGTTTCAATCTGAGTGATGAACACCTAAACATTAAAATGTAACTGGCCTAACTAGAAACAAAATTCGTAGTATAAGACTAGTGAGTCCAATTCTATAATCGCTTGTTGAAATTCATAATCGCGGCGGGGGGGGGGGGGAATCAAACTTATTGTTTAAGCTCGGAAAACTATTTGTTTTAAATTTCTGAAAAATTGACAATTTCTTATTTATTTCTACCGTGCCGCTAAAAATCACATGTCCAGTCGGAACATAGGAAGTTATAGTTTGCAAAAAAGAGTAAACACTCGCAAAAAATAATAATAAACCAGTACAATAGAGACACACCTGCAAAGGGAAAGGCCGAAGCCACCCCGATAACTGCAACAAGAAGAAGGAGCTTCATCTTCAAGACGACCGCCAATCTTCTCTTCAAAAGCTTTGTTTCTAACTACCAGATCATCTCCCAGGCCCTACGTACTTATACCCCAACCCAGGGCCGCACAAAGGACGTCGATCAATCTCTGCAATATGATTGGATAAAAGTTTACAGGCAGCGTCACTGCAACCGCGACCAAATCACGCGTTTACCACGAAGGGGTCGTTAAATTTATGGAAATCAAATTAAGACTTATCAGCTGTCCTCCACGTCAAGAAGCGGAAATTAATGGCTCATTTGCATACAATGGTTTCTGGACAGGATTATGACTTGATTTAATTTGTCAACTTTTCTAGATGGTGTTACGTCATCTGTTTGTTGATGTCTGAGAACTTTCGCAGAGTTTGCCTGTCATGTTGAAGGCCCCAAACCAGCATGTATGGCGCCATGAGTTATGTAATACTGTAGCTGGTCCCTTGGAAGCCAAGTAGCGCTCTGAGCCTCGTCTGCATTTCAGGGGCACAAAAATACATAAAGAGGGGCACAGTTTTGGTTAGGTGCTGTGAAGTCCAGTCCGAAAAAGATTGGAAAATGTTGATAAAAGATATAGGCAAGTAAACACAACAGCAAAGAATTTTTGAAGCACATGTGTGATCCATGCGGCATTATGCAACAGGCTTGTGCAACTTAGCCAGGGAAGTCAAAACGTCTTAAGGCCTCATCTCGTAAGCTTCAAAACACCATGACACACATCCTTGGGTTGCCGATGAAATAATTTAATTCTATCCTCAAAACAGATGCACTCCACAGGATGTAAATCTAGAAACCACACATAAAAACAACTATGCTTTCTGCCGTTGTTTGAAGGCTTGTATTATTAACTAAAACAGGATTTTCGGCCGCTATATGAGAAAGACACGCTCAAGCAGGGGCAGTTGATTTAAAGGGGCCAGATAAGCCTACCAACAACCAGATGCAAAAGGAAAGAGAATTTCTTTCTTTTTTCTATGTGAAGAGAAATTCGCAGCTCTGCTTTATCTCTCAGGATCAAAACCTTATAGGAAGCTATGAGCAATAACGAAACAGATCGTGAGAATCAAGGCAATGAGTCAGTGGGATTGTATCCTTTTTGGCCGCCCCCTCTGCGGGACACGCCCCTTTTTATGAGTATGTCGATACTTGGGTTGCGATTACACAGACAAATAATATGGGATTATTTGGTGATACAAGTTGTAATGGCCTTCAGCCCAGGAAGTTATTGTGATTATACCATCCCGCGGCCGGGTATCTCCATGGTGCACCCGGGCCTGCATGGTCTTGAGGCAAAGGTATCGCCCTGGTGCACCTGTTAGGCTATTCCTGGAACGCCTTGGGCCCCCTCCGAGAGAACCAACAAATCAAGTTATGTACCCGAGAATCACATAACTATATCGCACCACAGTGACGAATGATTGATATATTTGCAGATCATAAGACCTCCAACAATCGTTGACAATAATAAACAAAGAAACTTCCCAATATCTCTCATTATCGAAAGCTATCATGTCAGTGAACACAACCTACTGAATTCAAAATAAACATAACTTTAGAGAAATATACAGCATGTACCCCCTCCCCCAATAAAAAAGGGGAAGGAACGGAAAACAGGTTGGTTTGTGTTCCTTCCTCCATGGTTTATCGATGGACGATGGAGCATGGATAAGGAAGAAAATGCAGTTTCTGGTATTGATAACAGGAGTAGGTCGGTTGAAGGGGGGGGGGGGGCTTACAAAAGTCCTTTTCTAAAAAGGTTGGAAGCGACATGAACTTGAAGGACACGCTGAAACCTCCAAAACCTGTTTATCAACCAATGCAAGGATTAGACCTACAAATCACGCCACATCAATACGAGGGCGCCGCGGCCTTTCACATTTTCATCAGGGATCTTTGCAAGCCTGCTGACGGGGGGAGGGGGGAGCAGTGGCGTCGCACCCCCTCCCCTTAGACCCCTCCCCCAGGACGGCGATCCGTATCCACCTAAGTGCCCCCCCCCCCCATCAAATGCTGGTGCCCCCCTGTGCCCCCCCCCCCCCCCAGACTGAAAAGTCTGGTGACGCCACTGGGGGGGAGGGGGAATAACAGACAAGATTTATTAATTTGACTCGTTTTCTAACCAAATATTTAATGGGCATCAAAATAAACCTGTTTCTTTCGCAAATTTGGTTGTGCGATTGCTGATATTTTAAATGAGTTTCTTCTGGCCAAAACTAATTTAAACACAATCTTTCATCAGTTTGTAATTTTGCTGATGAAATTAGTTACATAATTATAACAAACTGAAGAGATGATTTGGGAAGGGTCATAGCTGGTTCGTAACCTGCCAATACATCAACAGTGGAATAATCTCGGGAGTTTTATTGAAGTGTTATGACCAAGAAATTAGGGTATAGGGGGTAAAATAAGATAATAGGAAAGTATGCAAATAAAAGCTTAAGCTATTTTGCCCATATAACAAGATGGACACGATAATACAGGCAAACATTTCCAAATCACATTTATATTTCAAGTCAGTAAACCCGTGGGTGCAGCGCACTACAGAAGAGAAAACATTGTAAAAACGCGAATAGGCCTATTGGGAGCTAAAAAGAGCCGAAAATAATCTCAATTCGACACAAGATTACAGATACCGGTTGATAAAAAAAAAATGTATCTTATCGTTTGCACTTTTGCGAATTTATTGAATTATAGTAATCTAAAATATTGACAAATGTCTCCAAATCATTTCTAATAGTTCGTTCCAAAACACCGCGCGACTGTTGTATGTGTTAACAACTGGTTGTTCATACCATCTACAAAATGCAACAGCCGCGTGGCAATATATGCTGAACTTGTTTCTAGTTGTATTGCTTAATTTGTTGTTTCCTTTCGGCAAAATAGGCCAAGCGTAAAACCAAAATGTGTTGTTTTTGACATTTTTCTTAGAGTGCCTGGGAATGCTTTAACAGTTTGTTCTGAGACGTCACAAATTTGTATTAAAAATGATGGGGAAAAAATAACTAAAAAGCTATATTTACTTTGTAATTCAAAGCTAAGATTAGTTTAAATGAAAGGTCCTTTTTGATTAACGTGAAGAATCATTCGTGAGGCTTCAGTTATAAAATGAGTGTAAATAGTACAAATCTGTTCAGCCATCGTCTCTCAAACAAACAAAGCAATGTGGATGAAGCTATCGTTGTCTATTATTGTCACACACGTAATAATACTGACTGAGTTAATGACTGCATGTGATCTCTCTAGCACAGTCTGCCAGGCGAGGTGATGGGATGTACACGTAGATGGTGTTGGTGGTGGCGATGGTCAGGGCCCATCATACTATTTGAATCACCTTTACTTTTCAACTAACTCCCACCATTTAAAAACCTTAATTAAAAGCCAACAAAACAAATCTTAAAAATACTAAATTAAAAACACTAACACTTTATGAATAACTTCAGTGTAACTAAACAAATGGCAAGGTAGTAAGTTATTTGCAATTGTTACAAACTTTGTGCCACGTGAGCAATAGTGCATACAAAATCACATTCTAGAATGTGAGATAATGCCAACAATTACACACACACACACTTTGTAATTTAACAAAATCTAAACTGATCCTCTAAAATGCTTCATAATAAAATTGCTGTTACAAGTTTTAAAATAAAAACGATATATACTTCCTTTTTACAATAAAATAATATTGTGTTAGTTTGTACAATAAATCTTATGTTAAGTGCAGACCGTGAGCAAGAATGTCATATTTGAGGATTCTAAAGAGAAATATGTGTGGGTTTTCATGATGATTAATTTTAATCAAAAAGCCTGACACTCCCTTTTTAATAAATCCAATGAAATATAGACACCTTCTTCAAACATAGGAATAAATACAATGAATGCTGCAATGTAAAGAAAAAGACTGTTCAATAAAGATGGAATTAATACTGTCCCATCAAATGGATTAATCACTTTTATGTGGGGCAATTCACTTGAATGTCAAGTCAATGGAAATTGACAACAGTGGCTTTTCCCACCATTACACTAATTCAGGAGAATTTTTGTTTTCTTTTATATTACTCCAGACAAATTACAGTACCAGACCATGGAGGTGACCCACAGATTAATTAACAAATGTAGAAACAAAGGTAAGCTTGGAGGGAAGATTGTGCTTTCCTTGTGGCATTTACTATTACTATAGAGTTGTAGTGATGAGGATTAATTTACCTGTAAAACACCACTGATAAGCAACAGTACAGTTTAAATGCATCACTTTTTTAACGGTTACATGTTTGACATGTTTCTATAACCTCACAACACAGCCCCAAATACTGACCATGAAACATAAATACTGCATAATATTAACATTGACAGTCTGTTATGAAAGTATCCTACAGATTTTGGTGCAAAAATATCTAGTTGTCTCTGTATAGTCCATGCGCTCTGTACACTTTACACAAGCCTGACGAAGCCAGGGCAATGGGTGCTTTCTGCTTATGGAAGCACTACATACTCTACTATGCACATTCAAGGGCCATCTATATACATGTACATGTTAATAGCCATCCAGGGGCCAGATATATACACTGAACCATGAGCATGGAATATGTACATGTTGCAGGGTCACCACAATTTATACAACCTAACAACCTAACAGGTCCATACACACCTAAGGGGGCATGTACAAAACTACTGCCTTTTGACGTTTCTAATATGTTTCAATCTGCAGCATTAAGTTTTACTCTACCTCAAACACAGTCATGTAAAATGTTTAATCATTCTGTACTCAACTGTCATGAAATTAACTCATGATGCAAGATACTGAAGGGAAGGAATTACACACTTTCTATTATTAGACTGCCGTTTTACGCTTGAAATTTTTTAGCAGCACCAAAATAATAAGAATTGTGATAAATGGGCAGAACTAACCGTAACCAATGACAATATTAAACAAAACAAGGGTTGTGTCCACGAATGAAAAAGACGAGCATTTGAAAAGTCCTTTCTCCCATAAGATTGAATGTGGATGTTCCTGTGTTTCCAGCATTGTTTTCACAGTAACCTTTTAGATGCAGACAGTACACACAAATCTTCACAACTAATTCCCCTTAATGCTTAGGTCACACATAACAGATGACAAAATGTTTACCAATTATAAATTGTTTTGACCTTACTTTGTCAAATCAGTCTGACACTTTATCACTATAAGCCTGTATTATCCTGATGTAAACACTGGCTTTGCCCCAATGATTCAGGATTACATGTATTTATGACATCAGGTAAATAATACAACATAAAACTGCTTTACCCAGAATATGACAAAGGTCCAAGGTTAACGTATTGCCCTGTAAAAGTTAAGCTGCCATTGTCCTTGCTTATAAGTAATCAACAAACAATTTATCTCGTTTTAAAGGTAGATATTTGGCTGGCTATTCACGGCAGTATGTAGTGATTTGATGATGTACAGGGCAAGTCAAAAAGAAAGTGACCTGGATTTAAAAAGCCATTACATTTGATACACCAATAAAACATGTATTAAAAGAGCAAGTTCTTCCACTCATTTGAAAAAAGGAATACTGAAATTACCGTCAGACGTTATGCATAATTTACTCTAAGAACCCATTTGTACAGCTGTCCATGGAATTCCATGTCCATTGAAGCTATCAACTGAGTGAGCATAAGAGATCACACACAGGTATTCAAATACAAAGAGTTTAATAATTTGATGCCAGATTTTGTGGTTTGTATATGAGGAACACATCTAGTCTTTTTCTGAAATGATGACGGTGATTTTTGTCTGTTTTCCTTTGTAAGTTTTTGTTTATTCAAGGAGGTAGAAAAACCCCCATGGTTCATTGTATTTAACTGGTATTCAAATCAGCAAATGATCAGCGGTGGACTTTGGTAATATTTCTATGAAAATTGTGAAAGGCAAATTATGCAAACTCGGTCACTTTCTTTTTGACTCACCTTACTTAGCTTAAAGTTTGCCGTCTACACTGTTGAAGTATATCAACTTTTTTTTTTACTGAAAATGTCTGTAGCATTACAGCATTGTAGGCCAGTCTATCACAAATTATGTCATAAGCAAATCACGGGTCAATCAACAAGTCTATTGGATTGACTCCTAATAATAGTAATAGTGACAAGTTTGGGTTGCACAATAACAAAGAATGCTTATGTCAAGGTTCATTTGAATAGCTTGTGATTTGCCTTGTGGCTTGAAGACTCATGAAGGACCTGTGTAGGACTTAACTACAACTATGCTACATCATGGTCCTAACCCCTGACTACAAAGACTCAAACCTCCGTTTGTTTGCTTGGCTTTCTCTCCAACACCTCCTCATCGGATTCAATGACGGACATATCAATTCCTCGCATCTCACCTGAATTACTCTCATCATCATCATCGATATCGTTGTCATGGAGACATGCTGCTGGATTAGTGATGACACTGACGGGATACTGGCTCTCATCTGTCAGATCACTGAAGGACAGATGACTGCCTGGTTTGTTGTGCAGTTTCATACGTAACTGCATTACCTACAAAGAAACAAGATTAACACAAGTTGGTGTGGTATACTTCAGGACGGATTGCTTAAAAATTTATATCAAATATAAATTAGAACATGTTGGAGTCTTGGACCTCACTGCTTCTCAAATCTCTATCTTAAGATTTCATTGCACTTAACATCTTATATTCCCATTACACTAATGAAAAAAATTGATGTAAAATCAAAGTAACTATACAAGTATGGATATGTTTGGTTTGCTATATATGAAGAGTTTATTTCCAAAATGTGATATATCCATTTGAAAAAAAGTGATAAATCTGCACGGTTATGAAACTTTAAAAGAATAAAAAATACCATAACAGCTGATTCTTAACATCATTTTTCACTTCATTGTATTCTTATATTGTGTAAAATATAACAGTTGTCGAAATAGACTTTGGAAAACCAGGAGAGGGCAGGATTTTAAAAACTAACGAATGCAAATAATCTCTTCATATGCATTTATGCAAATCTCATTCAGCTACATGCGTGCATAGCAGAAGCATAAAATAAAGCATCTTCAAAGATTAAACTACACTCAAATCCAGGGCATCTGGTTAATGACACCATTCATAATACATTTATGTAATATCTGCAATAAAAAGTACTCAATAACTAGTGAGTGCATTGGCAAATCCCGTCTGCATGTATGTTAAGAAAGGTATGCACATTAGTACAGGAAATGATGAGGATTTATGGGTAATATACTAAGACCATCTCAGTTACCTAGGGATTATACAGCCAAATGCTGCATTCAGATTATTGTGTTCTACACTGTTAGCTTTTCAATCACCAAATACATACAAATCCACCAAAGTTGTCAAAAGCAAGATGACAGAACCATTGAATTAATACAAATTAGTCAGTATAATTGTCCGACTAATTGAGAACAATTCTGCCCAGCGTACTCTTTTTTGAGAAAGGAACGTGACAGAGTGACAACAGACTGGTATGACACCCGACTTAGACTCGGTTATAAGGTCAAGGATAAATTGAGTGGCTCATACTCAGTTTGAGTAACCAAAGTAAGCTCACCCATGCTGGATTTAAAAGATGTAGCTATCGGTGGCAATGGTAGGGCAAGAGGAATATGGATGGGTGGGGTAGAGGACGTATAGTGGGTGGGGTAACAGGTGGGACTGAGAGGACTGAATAACAGAGGTTGGTCTCAGTATGAAGTGGACCGCTGAAGTAAGTCTTGTTATCCTGATGTCAAGGGTGTGGCTATGACTGGGGTGGGTGAGGGGAGAGGGGGGTAGAGGACGTATGGAAGGGTGGGGTAACAGGTGGGTCTTGGCATGTACTGTACCACTGAGGTACTGGTTAGCTCAGTTATTCTGACGTTAAGGATGTGGCATGGGTGGGGCTTGGGAAGGGTGGGGCTTGGGAGTAATAGATTGGTAGGAATAACAGATGAGACTGAGATGATTGAGGAATGGAGGTGGGTCTTGGCATGTACTGTACAGTTGAGGTAAGTTAAGTTATTCTGATGTTAATGGCGGGGCCATGGGTGGGGCTTGGGAAGGGTGGGGCTTGGGAGTAATAGATTGGTAAGAATAACAGACGAGACTGACACGACTGAGGTATGGAGGTGGGTCTTGGTATGTACTGTACCTCTGAGGTGAGTTAAATTATTCTGATGTTAATGGCGGGGCCATGGGTGGGGCTTGGGAAGGGTGGGGCTTGGGAGATGAAGATTGGTAAGAATTACAGACGAGACTGAGATGACTGAAGTATGGAGGTGGGTCTTGGTATGTACTGTACCTCTGAGGTAAGCTCAGTGATTCTGTTGCGGAGTTCCTGCATACTGCTTTCAGTCTCCGATTCACTCAAGGTTCTCTTGGTCAATAGCTCTTGGTTCTGCGTGGTAAACAGGGCAAATCAGACCGGGGGATTCTTACAAGTCAGTTGGAGGGATTCTCTCAACACCTCCGAAAAATAGATGCAGAAAACTCTAATAGGAAAAAGTACTCCTAAAAATATGGTCTACCGAAAGAAAGTCAATGTACATCATACATGTGAATACAGGCTACTGTTGTACATGAAAACTACACTGTAGGTTCATGTTCAATACGGTAGACAATCAATGGATTCATAGTAGCATCCATTATGTATGTAGGGCGCCCTCTATAGGTAGACACCGGCACCCAAGTCTGACATCTACAACACAAGCTACAGATGTTGTTAGTGCACCTATTTGCATCTAACTAGTTTCCTGGAGTTAGGCTAACATTAGAGTCAAGCACAGATGGTAGTTTACTGTCAAACAATTGAGAGCAGCCATTTTTTCAGTTGCTATGGCATTTTGCCAAAGGAACAAAGAGTACTGATAAACAACACTATAAACAGCCCTGCATTTTCTTTTAAAAAAAAATGACAAGGTACCAGTTCCTTTCTCAGCATTAAGACTGGAGTTTTTATGTGACACAATGAAAACTATAAGCCTCAGTTCTATTGATTTGTGGGTAAATTCCAAGATGGCTGTTCTCTTCATATTAGTTCACAGTTCACATACCATCTTTCCCAAAACCCTAGAAATGACAAGCATGGTGCATTGAACTCTGAAATGTTTCTTACTTAGTAACCTTTCCTGGAGTTTTCAAGATATTCGTTTAAAGTCTACAGAGGAGACAAACCAACAAATAACTTTCGTCTAAAATAAAGGCAATATGAACTCAATCTTTTTTTTCAGCATTTAAATATTTCAGGTCAACAAATCTGAAATGCTGACATTTAAATAGATAAAAATGACACAGTCTTAACAAAAGCTGCATTTTATACTTTAAAAAAAAATATTACTAACAATATCACCAGCCAATCAACTCTGGCTGTTCAAATGTGCTGTAAATACTATAACTGATGAAATTGGTGTAGCTAATTGTTTCGTATTGGCTGGTCATATTGTTACATGCTGCTATTGGTCAATCCTAATAATGCATTCAAATCCTTGTATTCTAATTGGTTGAACCAACCTGTATTTCCAGTTCTGCCATCTTCTGAGCCAGCTCAGCCAGGCAAGCATTGGCCTCCGTCTCTCTCAATCTTACTGTATACATCTCCTCTTTACTCTGAGAAACAGAAGAAAAAAGGAAAAAACAAAGTCAGAAGTCAGCACATGATCTGAGAGTGTGAAACTTGTAACATACTCAAGTTGTATAAATGTCATTCGATAAATATTAAATTCAAGGTCAGGTTTAGCAAACTACAACAGTGAACTACACTACAAAACAGATATATTTTTATTGTTCCACCTCGTCTGTGAAACACTTTGCAACCCGACATAATAGCACAACCTAAAATTGCTCTTTAAAGGCAATATACGTTACAACATTTGCTTTTGCTGTAATTTTCATAAATGGATAGATTTGTTTTGGGGGCAAGTATTTTATAGCAAATATTGTTACACTGACCTGTTTAAAGTTTGTGTTCAGAAATGTTTGGAAAAACCAAGAAACAAATGCTGTTCTTGAAGTCTGGTTCCCTGACTCCACTTCAGATGAAACAGCACAGGGACTTGTCAGGTCAGGGAACCAGAAAACAGTTCTCAGATGTGTAACCGATTGCAAACAAATATTGGCCTTACTAAATTTTGTAATTTGGGGGCAGTATTTGAAAAAAAAGGCAATATTATTCAAAAATTCCACTTTTCTTTAAAATGACAGACACCATGTGCCATTATTTCACAGGATGCTAAAGACAATTATTCACTTATTGTCAAGTAAGGTATTTCAAATAATTTGGCAGTTTTGTTTTTGATGTTTGCAAATGTGTACATTACCTTTAAGTCTTATCTAATAAACAAAACTCTTCTTCATGCTTTTTCTCAGATTGTAAACGCAGCAAATAGGTTTGTTATAAATACATCGCTTTAGAGGTGTTTATCATTGTTTTACAGAACATACATCATTCTGCAGTTGCATTACGTCGACGATTCTTACCTTAGCTTCCAATTTAACAAGTTCTTTCAGTGACCTGTTAAGTGACATCTGTAACTCCTTCTCATGGTCTGAAACTTTGTCAAAATCTGCCTTGAGTTGAAGTCGTTCATCTTCACTGCGTCGGAACTGATTACTCGTTACTTGATTCTGGAGCACAAACAACAATCATTCAGACATGAATTATTCAACAAGCAGCCTTTTTCTCTTGCAAGCTACCCAACTCAACCATGTTACACCCAGTATATCAAATCCAATACCCAGCAATCAACCCAACCCAACCCATCTACAACCCACCTGTGTTTCTAGCTCCATGACCCTGATCTCATTTCCTTCAGCTCAGCAGACGTCTCTGCTTCTCGTACCCCAACACTCCCGTCACCCAACCCATCTTACCCCAGTACATCCAATCCCATACCCAGCAATCAACCCAACCCAACCCATCTACAACCCACCTGTGATTCTAGCTCCATGACCTGTTTTCTCATTTCCTTCAGCTCAGCAGACGTCTCTGCTTCTAGTAACCTAACACTCCTGTCACCCAACCCACCTTACCCCAGTACATCCAATCCCATACCCAGCAATCAACCCAACCCAACCCAACCCATCTACAACCCACCTGTGTTTCTAGCTCCACGACCCTGATCTCATTTCCTTCAGCTCAGCAACCATCTCTGCTTCTCGTACCCCAACACTCCTGTCACCCAACCCATCTTATCCCAGTACATCCAATCCCATACCCAGCAATCAACCCGACCCAACCCATCCACAACCCACCTGTGTTTCAAGCTCCATGACCTGTTTTCTCATTTCCTTCAGCTCAGCGGACCTCTCTGCTTCTCATAACCTAACACTCCCGTCACCCAACCCAACCCATCTTACCCCAGTACATCCAATCCCATACCCAGCAATCAACCACACCCAATTCATCCACAACCCACCTGTGTTTCTAGCTCTGTGACCTGTTGTCTCATTTCCTTCATCTCAGCGGCTGTCTCTACTTCTCGGAGTTTAACACTCCTGTCACCAAACCCAACCCATCTTACCCCAGTACATCCAATCCCATACCCAGCAATCAACCTAACCCAACCCATCCACAACCCACCTGTGTTTCTAGCTCCATGACCCGTTGTCTCATTTCCTTCAGCTCAGCGGCCGTCTCTGCTTCTCGTAGCCTAACACTCATCAGTTCTTCAGTCAGCGTCTGCACTGTCTGCTTGCTGTTGCCTTCTTTCTTCCTAGATGCTGATCTTTGAAGATGTGTCTAAAACAAACAGAGTTTGAAGCATTGTTAGGTTTTGCTGGATTCTCATGTTCCTCAGGAGCATTCAGCATCTCATGACACCAACATCTACATTATTTTTACCTTATAAGTCTTATGCAAAATGTTTTAGCGTAGTTCCTCGGGTCCTTGAGTGCGAGGTTTGCCTCAACCTCACTGAACCTCACCAGGCTTCAGTATGGCTAATCCTATGGCTTACCTGCCAATGACCTTCCAATTCATTGACTGTTTGTCTCAGATCCTTCAGTGCGAGGTTTGCCTCAGCTTCTCGTAGCTTGACTGCAATCAGTTCATCTTGCAATGTCTCCACTGAAAAGCCAGGCTCTTCTTTTAACTTCTTGTTAGTCTGAGAACACACAGAAAGGGGACACACATTAATCATGACAAGCAGGATATTATCTTGTATCAACCCAAGTAGATGCAGGTGGTCACTTCCAACAATAAAGAATACAAAAGAGTCAATCTGTTCACGAACCATTGGTTTTTGTGTTTTCATATTTTTTTATATGTAAATTCCGAGTAATGAAACCAAGGATTCCTCAAAAGTTCCCTAGGCACTGTAGCTCGCAAGCCCAAAGAAACCTGTAAAGAGGAGACAATGAGAAGAAATTACAGTTTTAGAGGTGGGAGGAAAAGCCCAGAAGAATATTCTGGGGAAAACCCATGGAATCAGGTAGGGACTGAAAACCTAAACCACGTGTAGACCAGGGCAGGAAGTGAACCCGGGCCACAGCAGTGGAAGGCGAGAACAGTAACCACTGTGTCAACCTGACTCCCTTCTGAGAATATTCAAAGGACAAAGCTACTGCTTTATCAGTGTCATTCTTGCAAAATAACCCATTTTGAAAACAATTCTTGTTAATTTATTTGCCGTGAATAAATGCAAGCTAACTGGTCACATATGTTTTGTGTTCGTACCTTTTCCAAGGACTTGATATCATCTCTCAGTTCTTTCAGCGTTTCTGCAGATTCTGCTTCTCGTAGTCTGACAGCAATCAGTTCTTCTTGTAGCGCCATGATGATTCCTGCTGATTCAGGGTCTGGTTCTGAATTATCATTCCTGACCTGAAAAATAAAACACAAATGACAAAGTTAAAAATGTGAATGCAGGTCGACAATGCCTCGTATTATTTGTCTCATCTTCATGTACTTGTCAGGTACGGATTTTGAACATGCTGCCTTCTCAAATTCATCAACAAAACACTTCACTGAATGGAAAAGACATTAGTGATAGGAATTCAAAACAATGACAAAAAATGTCATAAAACTGAATATTAAGGACATAACGAGAACATTAGATATTCAAACGTGAGGCATTCTGGCAAAATGAGACTGAACTGGGCACAGGCCGTAATGGAGAAAAATGAAAACAAAAAACTGTGAATGGTGTCATTTCTATTTCCATTTTCAGATTTATTGATATTTGCAAACTTTGATATGTCTACTACACATGTTTTAAGGAAAGAGTAGAACATTTTGGAATAAAACTGTTTTTAAGGAAAAACAATTGGCATCTTTCAATTTCACAAATACAAAACTTGAAACATTACGGGCCTTTTTCTCAGCATTATACTTTCTTGACATGGCGATAAATGCAAACTTTAAATAACCATAACTTGTCAACAGAATATCCGATTGAAGTGCAACAAACAGTAGTGTAAAAAGACTTTTGTTCTCTTTCCTAATACCTGCAAAATCATTTCAACCTCTGCCCTGTTCTGTCTTATTTTGCCAGAACGCCTCTCATATTATATTAGTGTAGGCCTAGTTGTGATTTGCTTGGTACCGTAGTTCTAGTATTATAATGATACAATATTCATGACCAATAATAAGCTTAGCCACATCTTGTCTCGTATTACAATCCTACTGTAACACTAACCTTTGCAGATGACAGAAATCAATACACACAGACATAAACCTAGATTGCCTTGCTAGAACTACCAGATTGGATTTCAAGTATTTTACTGGGCTGTAGATCTATTTAGCGGACAATGTTTCGCAGCATTTGTCACAGTGTATTTCATGTATGTATCTTTGACCAGACATGAGAAGCAATTTTGGAATTATTATCAATGCAGCTTACGACATAACAATGATTTCTGACAACTCATGCTATTCTCATATACTGTTGAAATGTTTCCGTTCATAGCATGAATACCGAAAATTTTAATACACTGCAACAATTCACAGCTTAAGATGCAATTAAAATACCCTAATGGCAATTAGTGTTTCTAGAAATCCACGGAAACCTTGGAAACCGTTCACCAAAATGAAAAAAAAACATGATCGATGCCCCTGAGAAGAAAAAAAAATAAGGAAAATCTGCATCTAAATATTGCTTGTGCAAGGTAAACAGTAACAAAATCTATAAACAAAAACCCAAAATACAAATCCAACCAGACACTGAGCTGAGAAAAAACAACAACAATCATGTCTAGAAATGGTTTGTAAATAAGAATAAAAACAACAAATATAAAAGTAAGCCCATCCATACCTATATGAACATCAACAAAGTCTTAATTAACATCATTTTGATTTAGTGGGTTGCAGAGCTCTTTGTCAGTGAGGTCATGGCTATTTCTACAGGAGCAAATAATCCAGTTAATTCCTTCTGACTGCATCCCAGCACCCTGACAGATGGCAAACACATCCCAAGGATGCTCAAGTACATCTGCCTTTGGCAGGATGAGGAAGCTGAGGCTAGCATGCTTAGAGTAAAGCTATAAAACACATGGTGGCAAATTGAAATGGACAACTTAACCTGGTGTGATTGCTCACAGTCACCTCATTGCGAAAAATATAATCAAGAACAAAATCATGAAAACCATAGTAGTACATGATTTTAAAACACTGCATTTTATTTTATTTTGAAAAAAAAAGAAAAGAATAAAACTAGAGCAAATGAGAAGCTTGGCACACAAAGAACACTAGAATCATGTACACATGATATGTATCAGGGACAGCACCAGAAGACGCATGTGACTTCAATTAATAACTGACTGCTAACCCGTCAGATGTAATTTGTATGTTAATTACTTCGCGACTTTACAACGCCCAAAGTGGATTGTATCACCTGCTATTCACAGACCCTTACTTTAATATTTCATTCAATCATTACATGCTTGATCATGAAAACCTAGTTGAAAGAAACCCTTGTCACCTCAATGTAGCACTGCTTGGAAATGTCAGCAAAATAGCACAGTTCACAAATATCATGAATGTAGTGAAAGATTGACAACATATGTGAGGCGTTCTAGCAAAATGAGACAGAACTGGGCAGAGGTCAAAATGAAGGTTTGCAGTTATTAGGAAAGAGACTAAAATTTTCCTTAATACAATAATGTTTGTTGCACTTCAATCGGACAGTCCATTGACAAGTTAATTAGGCCTATGGCTGTTGATAGTTCACGTTTATCAATATTTTAAGCAAGTGAAGTAATGACAAAAAGGCCTTCGAGTTTTGTATTCGTGAAAATGAAAGCTGTCTATTGTTTTTCCTTAAAAAATACTGTTACACAGGATTTGTTTAAAGTTACTTTAAAACATGTTTAATAGACAAATTAGAGTGACAGTTATCGATAAATCAGAAAATTGAAGAAAAAAATCACTGTTTCCCCCCCCCCCCATTTTTCTCCACTGTGGCCTGTGGCCTGTGCCCAGTTCAATCTTATTTTGTCAGAATGCCTCACATCACAACAAAACAATCCAGCTTAAGACTTTCCACAGTCACAAGTACAAAGATCTACACACAGTAGCTGAATTATGAACCTAAAATTCTCTTAATAATATTAAACCAAGATTATGAGTACACCCAATGTAACATGTTAAGCATTGCCAGAGAGATCAGACGTAATGTACCGTGCAGTGCAAGGACTAGCCTAGGAGCAACATGTGACAATGATGAATATTAATGATGGTGACTAATACTTGGTGATCAGCGATGACCTGTTACCATGGAAACTGCTCCATTATGCATGCATGGTGTACAATATAGGTCTTAGAACATTTACAACTTGTAACATTTTAAAGGAAAATCTTCCGATACTTTTTTTGTTTTGATTTTTTTTCCCTTTGATTTGTTCTTCTTTCTTTGGTTTTTCATTCTAAACTTGAATCTTTATTGAAGGCGTTATTATGAAACATCATTATCTTATTAAGAAACTGAAACAGGGCCCTAAAAATTCTTGATGTGTGAGCAAAAATCTGTTTATAAACAGTTTAAACAACATTTTTTGTCACAAGCAATGGAACACGGAAGTTACGAAACAAAGCAAGTGGTTAGTCATCTGTAATGTGGAACAAATTTACATGGGGTGTACAAGAAATGGGGGAACAAATGAAACCTACCGGTACACTATAAACTCATCACACAGTTTCATCATGTACTCAAAGTTACAAATCCACACTAATCCACATTTTTGTTAGTGTTAGCAAAATCCACAACCGCAAATACAATCTCAACTAAAGTTGTTGACATTTCAATTCCCAGAAAAGCATTTCTGCAAGCAATTCTTTTAACAATTCTCCACCTTCTCTCATTGAGAAGATGGTCAAAAACTGTCCTCATGTTATGTCAACAACTTCAGATGAAAGCTAAATGACTGCTATAAGCTCCAACACATGAACAAATGACAAAATGCAATACACTAAACTGTTAATGCAAGTAGGAGACAAAGTGCTCAAAACATGACAAGTGCTAGTTTACTAATGACGTTAGAATACCACCACATGACGACAATCACGTACACATGTAACACAATTTACCTTTCGCATAAAATCCTTCACAATCGTCTGAGCTCTTTGTAATTTGTCCATCGTCTGTTTATCAAAAACAGAAGTGTCAATATTGTCTTTTCAATTATGAAGGAGAAACGATGAAACTAACACACAAACATTACAGCTATACATGGAAACCTACAAAGTCTGCAACAAGCAGATGGGTTGCAGACAGTTCAACAAAATAGTAACAAAATCACAATCACATTACTACTGAAGACGGATCAAGAACTCCCTCAAAAACCTGAAGCAGAAATGTGAACACTTGAAGAACAGATCAAAGAAGATCACATCGACATGTACAGTAGGCCTGTGTGTCAACAACAACTGCAGGCCAGTAAAATAATCATAACAATGCCTCACAAATCCTGCATTTGTGTTGGTTGAAGCTCAACAACACAACATTATCCAACAGAACTGCAGGTCACTGAATACGAGACTTGTTGTCAACAGTTGAGTATGAGATGACACTCCAAACACCGAACAAAAATCCAGCAAACTCCAGTCATTCCAGACAAGATCTGGTTTCAATCCGAGCAAACTAAGCAGTGAGATCAAGCTTTCAGGAATTACCTCATCTTGGTACGGTTGGCGCTGATCTGTAATAATAATTCCAGGCTAGGCAGAAGTATTAGGGTTTGGCTAGCTATAATGGGCTTACAGCCAACGGGCACACTGCATCGGGTCAATAGACGTACACCCACCCCCGTACATTTATGCAGACATCGTCACTGATACACCTGGACGATTACATTGTGCTTAAAGTGGTACAGCTCCAATCTCAAAGCCTACTTTCTAGGTTCAAAAATATGTTTCTCCTTTGAAGAAGTGCCAAAAATTGAAAACACTTCACTTATCTTTGTAGAAAGTTAGATTGACGAACCTGCTTAAATTCAATTGACAAAAAGAAAAGCTTGTGTTTTATAAACCTTTTGATGAAAAATATGTCCAACTGTGTAATCACTTGATGAGAGAATTTCTGAGAAACATCTATTAATTAAAGGCAGACTTCAAATTCAACACAGTATGTAAGCTTGGAATGTTATATTTACATGTACACACATTGTACATGCAATAAACATGTCTGTACTTGTACATGTGTAGTACGGTATTTTTTTGGTTTTTTTGTACTTTCAGATGACATTATCATACAGCCCAAAAAGGACCCCAATGAAAGGACTTGCCACGTATCAAATGTTTTGACTTTATATACAGAATGAAATAAGACCCAAATAGATTTTCTTGTTTTTGAAAATGACAAAAACATGGGAGAGATATCTGAACCACAAGCCATATTACAGTTTTCTTCTGGCCACTGAATACAGTTTGCCCAAAGCAAAGCACTATAGTACAGCCGTATTCTAAGGAGAGATTCAAGTGTTTTTGCTGCCAGACTGACAGCGTAATTGATGAAGTCAGACAACAGGTCTATGGCAACCTAGTTAATACTGATTAATGAATAACCAATAATCCAGTCCAATTCCACTGGATATTAAAATCTCTGGCGGACAGAACAGGAATGTGGACAAAAAAGAAATAAAATTATTACACTTCCATAGCACTCACAGCTGAGGAAACTAATTAATGAGAAAAAGCTGGACATTTTTCTGTGAGTAGCAATAGGCTTACAGATGCAAAAGTCTGAATTGTATTCACTGACTAACAATGGACATATTACATAACATGTATTGTTCTGTATCTACGGCACATGTATGTAATAAAAAATTAAAGACAGTACATCTGTACATCTACAATGTATATGTATGGTATGTACATATCCACCTACATGTACTTAATAAATTAACTCGATAAATGAATAATGCATACACTTACCCATGATTACATAACCAATATTGCTACACACCAGGATTGTATTTAATTAACTCATGTGACTGTACATTCTGGAGGGGATACTGTTTAATATTGATTCCCTGAGCCTTTTGCGTACTTACGTTAATTACATGTTGACTAATTTAATCCACTTTAATTATTTGTCTTTCCTCAACCAATCAAATCCCATTTAATGAAATAATAAGAGTAAGTTGGATTTATTTAGACTTACAAATGTGTCAATAGCAGGATATCCTGCAAATTGAAGGTGATTATTAAAACTGTTAATAACAGATTTCTTTTCCGACAACTTTCATTTCAGTTTTCATGCTTTTTAGTTTTGTAGTTCTTTGCAATGAAAGTCATGTTTTTAACTGACTGGACCTGTATGAATGCAACCATCAACAAGTCCTAAGAAAACACCAAAGATATTGAAATGAATACAATGTGATGACACTCTTTTGATATACCGTAACTCACCATTTTATTTTTATTGAGTCCTAAAACCTTATAGTCATACATGCATGCCCTTTACCCAACCACAGACCCCTCCAACAGGGACAGAAAGCATGCATAATTTGGTCTAGAAAGCAAGAGAGCAAGCGATGACATCATACATTGAAAATAGCTGCAACATTTGGAGAGTTGCAGTGCGTAGTGTGGATTCTTATTAATTGGTGCTTCTAGTTCTAAGCCCAAAGGGATATAGTCTTCAGATGGACAGATGGCGTCTCTCTCAATCCATTGGTTTCTCTGTCCAGGGACAGTTAGGCTGATTAAGTCTGCATTGGATATGACACTGTGTTGAATGAGAAGTGACCATAATGGGGGGTAGAGTAAACATCTCTGTACATGTAACCAACTCAGTCAAGAAGCAGAATTAAAAGCCAAATGCCAATCTTGCATAATGTATCAAAACGTGTGTCACATAAAAATAAAATCTTTAAGAAAATAAGATTTGATATGAATACTTTGTATATATATCACAGTGTTACATCTTAAAGTAGCTGTCACTGAGGTTCAATAAAATAATAATAAAATAAACTGCACAAATATCTGCAAATTAGTACTTGTATTGTTGAATTGATTTACAGATCTTAGGAAAATTTCCTGCCGATCCTTTATTTTACCCTCTTTTCACAGCTTCACTGTATTTTTTATTTGTTGATTGCAACTGCATCTATAAATGTTACTATCTATAAACTTAAAATCTATAAAAAAAACAACAACAAAACACTAGAAATCAGTCAGAGCCATGGGTGTCGCGGGGGGGGGGGGGCGAAACCCCCCCCCCCCCCCCCGAAAAGTTTAAAAAACAATAAAAAGGGAGAAAAATAAAAGAAAATAAAAAGGAGAAAGAGGTGTGAAGTCATATTTGCTATCAATTTATTACACATTAACAAAATGGGTGTGTGCACGGGTGTCAATGGGGCTGGGGTGGGCAAATGTCCCCCCCCCCCCTGCCCCACCCACCCTCGAAAAAATGATCAATTGAAAATATGCTAGAGAAAGTACAAGGATTTGGGGGAAAAAATTGCTTTGCCCCTCTTACAAAAAAACCTGGTGACACCCATGGTCAGAGCTGGTACGATTGAAACAGTACTTGAATCATCATTACAAAAAAACCCAAATTTGTTGATCATAATGGTAATGTGCAGTTCAGTAAAGTATCGTGTAGTACACGTATGTGTATTAAACATGTACATGCACACACAATGCATCATTCAACATTCTCACACTCACTCAACAGTAAACTTGCACAGCGCCCTCACGTGTTGAACTAAATACAAATGTCTCATTATTTCAATGTGAACATATATAAATGAACACCAGGCAAGATGAGAAAGTGTAAATATCATGAAAAAAATAGGAAGTAATTTCAACATACACTGACCCACAGATTTAAAAAACAATTTTCTAAAATGCTCAACATGGATTCTAGTGTTCTATGAATCACTTTATTTGTTTGCTGATAACAATTTAAAAGTTGGATAATAGGATTTCTGTAGCATGAAAAAACAATATCAAACCACTGGAAATGACTTGATGGAGCATAGAAATACTGGACTAAGAAAGCAAAATATTTTTGAACTCATAGCATCACAACGTGCATCACACAAATGCTGATGTTTGAACTGACCTTATATCGCAGATCACTGATGACGGTCTGAGCTCCTTCTAATCTCTTTGCCGTCTCCTGATCATGTTGTTTCAATGTCTCCAATTCTTTCTTCACGGCGTAAGTCTCTTCAGCTTCCTGAGCTCTTTGTAACTGACCCTGGATCAACCTGTCTGCTAAGACTTCGTTCTCTTCTTCTAAAACCTGGATTCTCCTCAGTAGAAGTCTGTTCTCTGTCCGCAGTCTCTGTGTAAATAGAAAATTAACAATGGTGTTAATTTCGGTTATATTATACCGGTACAACTATGGACAAGTAAAGGTGAAATCAAAACTCTACTTACACCCCTTCTAACTAGCAGAATCTTCCGACATTTAACCACAAATTGTGGTAAAAGATGGAGATTCATTTGCCAAAGATTTTTTTTCCAAAACACATACAGATTAAAGAGTGAAACAAGCACAACATGTGATTAAGGATGTGTATCAAAATTGTATGTACAACAGGTGAATATTCAACCTGTAATGTAGCACCATCCTGGAACCTGTGATGTGACGCCATTGTCTCTAATCAACACACAACTAACAAAATGGCAATTACGCTGGAATGCATAGAAAATGAACTGCGCACTTGTGAACAGATGAATTATGGACACTTTCTTTGTAGAGTGATGTCTGAAATGCACAGCAGCATCATAGTTTCCATTGTCATACATCGACCAGCTGTTGAATTGTCTGCAATCACCTGTATTGTGTTCACAACAATTATCCAACAGCTGCTACAACACCCCATTCACGGGATATTTCTACCACTAGTCATTTTGTAGTCTGGCATCTGCACAGAAAAAAAATAATTCTGACTCAAAGGTTTAGCCCAGCGAATTCTAACATTTTACAACTGTGACCAGACTTTTATGATTCTATTCTCCAATGCAAAATCAATATAAACATTTCACAGATACTCACTCGCATCTCAATCTGGTCTTCATTCTCTTTGGTCTTGAAGGCAAGATAATCCTTTTCTAATCTGAAAGTAACAGTTAAAAACAGCAAATAAGAACTGTTTTGGCTGAAAATGAATACGAAATAGTTATTTTGTTATTTACAAAACATTTTCACTCATAGTATGGAATTCGGAGGCGGATATCGCTCTCAGGAAACGCATGGAGAAGGGGGAGGGGTGATATATGAGTAAAGGCGTGCCCCTGCTATAGGGGGTCCGGGGGTATGGCCCCTCTCCTATTCTAAGGCAATTTGAGAATAAATGTAGGAACTTTGAGCCAAATTATATTTTTCTTGGCCCCATTTTAAAGTAGCTGAACGGGGGTGGGGTGGTTGGGGGGAAGGGAGGGTTTGCAACCCCCCCCCCCAAAAAAAACCACCCTAGATCTGCTACTTTTTTCCCATCTCAATTAGAGGAAATTATAACAATACACTACATATGATGGTCAAGAAACTGCATCACCTCACCATATCTAGACGGTGTCATTTTGAGTTTACATCAGCTCAGTGTATTCTAAGAGTTAAGTAACTATACATGTGTTACAAAATGATGGAAACTGTACTGATAAAGAATTTGAACTCACTTCTTCATTTTCTTTGCATTGTACTTGACTTGAAAAGCTGTGGACATCAGCACCTCTGGCTCAGCCTCGTGGAATTTGGGAGCAATTTTCTGTAAAAACTGGTGCAGGAAAAATCAGCCAAACGTTACACTCAGTAGAATGAAAATTACACAAGTTTGACTTCGTCAACATTTTTGTGTCACTGGTAACACACAACATCATCTTTGAGAAAGAGTCTTGACTTAATCTTCCAAAATCTGCCAAAATCTAAGAGTTGTTTTTACTGGCAAAAAATAGGTCACAAAAGGCTTTATATCAAGAATCTGTTTTAGTGCAAGAAATGTGAAATTAGTTCACTGTCAATTTGTGATTTTGTTGAATTCAAGAAGGTGTACATAACATGTCTGTTGAGTTTAGAATTATCATGTACATGGTACATGTACTTGGTGTCCAGTCTCCATATGTTCCAAACCAAATTACACAATGCAACTGAATTTTACAATTCCACTCACCCTGAGCATTTCTTCCATGTCTAGTCTGAGGAGATCTTCGTAGTTAAGCTGTAACATCGCTATGCCAACCCGAAAAATTATTTCCATACCCTACAAGGAATAAAGAGGAGCAGTGTTTCAATATATACTATTTTATGGGTGCCTTCGAGTAGCTCCGTGTATTGAAGTCTAAAGGTAATTATTTATTGAGTTCATTACGACTTTAGTGGCTATAAATCAAGCCCAAATTTTTTGAGCTTTGCAACTGACTGAAAAGCAGTAAATCTCAAACCAAGGCCCAGTCTGAAATGGGCGTTGTGTCAGTGGCTACGACCAAGGCTACATGCGTCATGGGAGAATCGGGATGGTCCACTGTTGGGCATTCGATTAGCCTGGCTGTCGTGGTTAACCCGTCTGCCTTTACCCGAGTCGATCCGAGTGAGCTACTTGAACGCACCCTATGGTCACTGATTCTTCACAATCCATGATCCCTTCTCGATAAACCACAATATAAAACCTGATTACTCTGTACATGTACAATATCAAAATTTTGTATGAGAAAAACCCTAGGGTTACCAAAGCAAATGCTAGATTAAGTAAACAGAGTGAGACACCCACCCACTAGCGGGTGTTGACTTCCAATTGTGGCAAACATGTTCATTACTTACCTCAGATATAAAGACGTCCATGATCCTACGAGCCAAGGAAATAGGAAGACCAACAGCAAATAATGTCAGAAACCATGGCGACGCAAATATAGAAGTGTGGAAGCCCTGAGATGTGAAGTGCCTAAAAAGTTCAGGAAGTAACTCCTAAATTGCAACAACAACAACAACAACAACAAAAAGTTTAATAATATTAATAAGAAGCTACTTGTGCTAGTAGTACTTTATCATTTTAAATAATGACACAATGCCGGAGAATGTTGCAATTCTCCACTTCTAGCACGAGTGCACAGTTGATTATAGGAAAGGAAAGACACATTTGAATAAGGGAATAAATATGTGCTTGACGGGTTTTAAGCAAGTACGTTTAAAACTTGCTAGGGGCCTGGTCTCCAATAATTGCCCGAGCTGAAGGCAAGGGCCATTATCCGCAGCCAATAATTACCCGAGCTGAAGGCAAGGGCCATTATCCGCAGCCAATAATTGCCCGATCTGAAGGCAAGGGCCATTATCCGCAGCCAATAATTGCCCGAGCTGAAGGCAAGGGCCATTATCCGCAGCCAATAATTGCCCGAGCTGAAGGCAAGGGCCATCATCCGCAGCCAATAATTGCCCGAGCTGAAGGCAAGGGCCATTATCCGCAGCCAATAATTGCCCGAGCTGAAGGCAAGGGCCATCATCCGCAGCCAATAATTGCCCGAGCTGAAGGCAAGGGCCATCATCCGCAGCCAATAATTGCCCGAGCTGAAGGCAAGGGCCATTATCCGCAGCCAATAATTGCCCGAGCTGAAGGCAAGGGCCATCATCCGCAGCCAATAATTGCCCGAGCTGAAGGCAAGGGCCATCATCCGCAGCCAATAATTGCCCGAGCTGAAGGCAAGGGCCATCATCCGCAGCCAATAATTGCCCGAGCTGAAGGCAAGGGCCATCATCCGCAGCCAATAATTGCCCGAGCTGAAGGCAAGGGCCATCATCCGCAGCCAATAATTGCCCGAGCTGAAGGCAAGGGCCATCATCCGCAGCCAATAATTGCCCGAGCTGAAGGCAAGGGCCATCATCCGCAGCCAATAATTGCCCGAGCTGAAGGCAAGGGCCATCATCCGCAGCCAATAATTGCCCGAGCTGAAGGCAAGGGCCATTATCCGCAGCCAGGCCCCTAGCCAAACACACATTTATTCCCATTCATAAATACCTTTTGGTCAAAAAGTCAAAACAAGTCAAAATTCACACATTTCCGACAATTTTGTGCAACACTTTACTTCATGTTTTGTGAAACGCCCCTCTGGCCATGTCTACTGTACGTGACTATAACATGTGCAATTATCGAAAAAAATCCAAATAACCTGAATTTCACAGTTGACCATTTTTTTTCAAAAGCAAACAACCGCAAATTTCCCTCTGGCCTTACGTGACTGCTTATTCTTAGAGTTGGGTTAACCTCACTCGTACACTGTAGACGTTCATGTATTCATGGCACTCAGATAAGCATTCAGGGTTTCAGCGAGGAAGGATTGACATCAATTTGTATGACTGTGTGCAGTGCATTGACTTAATACAGTAAGTACATGTAATTCCTACGGTGACTTTATACAAACTATTATAATGTACAAGTCTATGGTCATAAATTTTTCTATTCGTTTATTATTCACTTAGGCAAAGCTGTCTAATCTAGAAGAGACTTGTGTTACCAGTGACATAACAAAGTGCGGGTAAGTGTTGTTGATCAAGGAACCGTTAATGCCTGGTATGCTGTTGTTATGACAACGTCCTTAAATCTACAGGATTGATAAATTAACATTTCAAATCTTCATCGTTTAATAAAGCTGTAGCAGATTTTTCAGACTCAGTTATAATATATTGTCTGATTTGACACATCAAAAATTGTCAAACCTGATTCTTTCATGAATGTACGTAAACTATGTCTTTCGGATTAGGCGAAGTAAAAAAAAAACCATGTTTCTCGTCCCCGCCTGCTTCCTTTTTGGAGGCCGCCTGGATTTTTTTATTATTGAAAAATGCAGTAAAAAAAAACACCTAAAAAGTCCACGGTTAGGCCCCCCAAAAAAGTCTCCGGTTTCTGGTATGGAGCTTGCCCAAAAAGTGGTGCGGCGACGCGGCTTTTTTTTTTTTTTAACCTGATTTTTTTGCTTCAAATGTCGGCTGATGACTGCAAATGGTGCCCGACTAAACTTAGTGCAAATATATGGGAGTCCAGAGAGGCCACATAAGCTTATTCTCGACCATAACCCAATCTAAAAACACGTTAAAATTGTGCAGCAGCAGGATTCCAGTCAAACCAGTGAGTTTGGCGGTTTTGAGACATCATCTTTCATTGAAAAAAAAACTTTTTCATTTTGCCGACGCGCATGGCTACGGCGACGCGCGCGCATACCAGAAACCGGAGACTTTTTTTTTTTGGCCTTAAAGCAAATGCATCTTAAACTGTTCATTGTAGACCAATACAACTCTAAATGACACTGTAAATATGTTCAGTTCTCTTGTCCAACTTGTCTTTCATTTTAAAAGTGTCTTTGAACAGTGGAAACACCAACGGTTGCAGGAAATTTTAAAATGGTGGCCATCTTGAAAAAATAAAAAATAAAAAGCCCCTCTTCCTCCATTTTTTCAAAAACCCGGATGAAATAATGGGTTATTTTTATTCGGCCTTATGTGGTTTCTCCTTTTTTGCATAAATCCTGCTTACTTAAATTACCCCACTGGCATCTGAAAAGACTCTTGACAACACCTGCAGACCTAAGTCTTCGTTTCTCTTCTGGAGATAATTATACATGTAGCCCTGTCTTACTTTATGTAATATACTCTACTCTCAAAAATACAATTTGAAGCAAGAAGCTACAGTTACTGCATTAGATTATTTGATGAAATTTTAAAAATACAATTCATGAAACTTGAAATAGTACATTTCACGATTTGATAGAATTCCCAAGAAACAATACAACAAGCTAGAGGATTTGCAGCTCTTTAGCTTTTTGTATAATTTATTCCTAAGCTAGCATTTTCTATAATTTATTGAATTTTCTGTGCTTGCGTAGGTCAACATCTTTTCACCTGAACTGGAATAAACACAATTTGAATATATTTGTGGGAATGGATATTTGAATGCCATCAATGTAAGAAAATCATAATTTGTTTGGGACCTTTAGTTAAATACCTCAACGGTCGTCTTCTAGTAGCGTTCGCATTATTCATTCTTTACAATTACATGTATATTGTTGATTCGATGCAGATGCGTGCCCTCTGGGCATGCTGTACATATAGGATAGTAAGGGACTTCAGAAAATGCCTTTGAACATATATTATTATAACCACACTAACCAATACTGAAAAGAAAACAAATTTGTTTTGTTGGGCTTTTTGTCCATTTTTGAAGAATACTCGTGAGCTGTTCTTTCTCTCATTGGCAATTTCCTTGCAAAAAGGCATCATTTGTGCTTTTCTTCTTTGAACAAAATTTGAAAACGTGTTCAGGAAAACGGCGAGGGACCTAGGAAACAGACAAAAGGATTGAAGTCCGACTGAAAATATAACAAGTGGAATATAATGGTGTGATTCTTCATTTTTAAGACTGAGAATATTGAAAGGTGCTGTCTTGATAAGGGGAGTCAGGTTGGCGTAGCAGTACTTTTCTCGCCTTCCATCGCTGTGACCCAGGTTCGAATCCCGCCTGGGCCAATATGTGGATTGGGTTTTCAGTCCCTGCCTGATTCCGTGGGGTTTCCCCAGATTATTCTTCTGGGCTTTTCCTCCCACCTCTAAAACTGTAACTTCTTCTCATTGTCTTCCCTCTGCATGTTTCTTCAGGCTTGCGAGCCACAGTGCCTAGGGCGCTTTTGTAGAATCCTTGGTTTCATTACCAGAAATGATTAATAATAATAATAAAAAAAACGAGAACTGGTCCCTGAAACCAAAGCACTAGATAACTGAAATATCTTGACCTCCCCAACCTGTTTTTCAGTTGTGTTTGTCTCTGGAAAAGATTTCACATGGCATAGGTTATCGCTTACAAGATAGTAGTAGACTACACTTCTGACCTGCATCATACAATGTAGGTCCCAATGGACTACAGATATATGTGCAATTAGAAGCGCAATCGCTTCTCGCACAATTAGAAGCATAGCCGCTTCAGCAAAATAAGCATATTGTACAAGTGTAACTCACACAGAGTGCTTTTTATTTTTGTAAACAGTAGGTGATGTTGGACTAGTGGGCAAACTTGGGCAGGGGACACTGCTTATAAGGCAACAACTTTGTGCAACTTTAAGTATGAAATAATAACCAAAATCTTAACTTTGTATCCAGAATATAAAGTCCTGGGTGTGGCTCGGTGGTTGTGGTTGTGACTCATGATCAGGGTCCAGGGTTAGAATCCTGCCACTGCACCATATTTTGTGTCCGTGGGCAAGCCGCTTCATCCCTATCCTCTCTCCACCCAATATAAATGGTACCGGTATCAGCAGGGGAGTAACCTGCCATGGACTCTCATCCCATCCAGGGGGAATAGAAACAGCCTCAGTCCATTCATGCCATGGAATCTGGATCTAAACACCAGACCAATCAGCCATATTGGTTTAAGACACACTTAACTATCAGCAGGATTGAGGCTTGGAAACAGGACCCAGTACTGTCATGATCTTACCTGTAGCATGCATTCTAGTTGGAACATACACAGGCCTAGCTCTGCCATGCTGGGTTTGAAGAGCTCTCGTAGACGATATTCTTGCATCAATTTGACGAGAACGCAGAAAGCTTCCTCCTCTGGCATCTGTGTTCAATAACAAGCAAGCAATTCAAAGTCAGATATCTTAACACAACTTCTGCCTATATTGTGTCATAGTTTTAGGTGTAATTCTTGGATACGTCACATGTTTGAATGAAATCACAGAAAGACCTGCAGCCAATTTCATGAAACTTGTGCAATTGCGTAACTCCACTTGCGTTACAATTTACTGCATAAGTTGCGCGACATTTCACACTACCTTTAATTTCAGTTATGACACACTTCATGACAATTTCATTTTGTGTAAGTCCGCGACTTGCCCAACAAACTACGGTGAAACTTGCGCAGTTATTTTAGGTGGCATAAGTTGCGGCGTAGCGACTGAAAATAAACATTTTATTAGCAAATCGTTATCCTCATAGCGTCCGTCATTGCACAAATTATCAGGGTTAATACAAAACACTCACAGCTTAGTGTTTGAGGTAAAGGAATTGCTATTTCACTTGGGACAGAAATTTTAGAGACTTGCCGCACCTTTCCAAAGAAAGTCGGACAAATTTATTTTTTAAATGGTGGGCGGAGGGGATCCAACGACTGATTCGTGATTGAACCAAATCATACACAAACAGCGATCGAAAATGCTGTTAATATCCTCGTCCAACATGTCTAGATACAAAATGTTCTGAAGCTACATCACGTTTTATGAAATTAAACATAATTAATTGTGCAACTGCGCAACCAATTTATTGCGCAAGTCCTACATACGGCACAATTTATGCACGGCTTTGTGAAATCCACTGCTGTTTAGCAATCCAACAGATATAGAGGTTCCTGCTTTTTGTCAATACTCCATACTTAATCTGGAAATCTGTTACTTCTCTCTATGCTTCTTTGTCTTTTGATTCATTCAATCAATTAAATCTTTACAAATCTGAAATTCATCCCTAAACATCTAGCACTGGTTTCGGATTCTATATTACAAGCCTACAGTGAACTCACCTGCATAAGTAGAAGACCGACTATGAAGGCTGATCCTTGGCAGTACCCGACCTCACGATCATGGATAGAATATGCCTACAATATCAAAAATACAGGGGTACGTAGCAGTTAACACAAAACAGTTGTGGACGAGGCAAGGAACAGGACAGAATTCTTGAAATCGCTGGTTTTTTTTAACAATCTGCATACAATGGATGGGAGGTTTGCGGAAGCACCGTGCGAATGATATCTTTTTGTGAGTTGTGTGGCTCTGAGAAGAACCAGTGGTTTAACTCAACATTTCAAACAGTATGCTCTGTTCGTCATCAGGAGACTTGAGTCTCATTTAATCTGCATACAACTTTTAATAGCGATTGACGACGACTCCTATCTCTCTTTTTTCTTTAACAGAAGGAAAGGCATTTAGTTATTGTTCTTCCTCATCTACTTACAATTGTACAAGGCCTATGTAGGGGTGTGCACTTAAGGGTAGTACGGTAACCAGGGACTTGGGTACCCGTTACAGAAACCCAACCCCAAAATTCAAATCCCAGAAGTTGCTGTCCAGATTGTTCATGAAGGTCCGCACGATAATACTACCACATTGGTGCATCAATGCAGCAAGATACAAGTGCGTACAGTAAGCTTTACAGCTTTACGGTGTAAACTGCAACTTTCGCGAAAGTCATAAACATGAAATATGTTCTGTTTTCCCTTTGTAGCTTGGTTTTCATTTGATAATTCACCACACAAAAACATTCAAAACCTTGCTTTTTATTTGTCTGAGAAGTTACTAGGTAATTTGTTAAGTTGGTTACGGGATGGGTACCTGATCCTATAATCTGGATCCCATTCCTGACATCAATGGAGGGTACTCGGGTACCCGGCTCCGATGCACAGCCCCAGACCTATGTCTTTCACATTGTTCAGTCAACCCACCTTCATGACATTAAACAATGTCTCCTGTCCTGGCCCGTCTTTCTCCTTAAAGAAATCATGTTCTGGATACGTCCTCGCAATGTCTCTACGAATGACCTTTTCACATGGTGATGTCATCTTCAAATACTCAGCATATTTGTCTTTGAGTGGAGAGTTGAATGCATTGCATTGTAGCTGCCACACTATGCCTCTGAAGTGATGTGGTATCCCCAGTCGTATGAGCTCCTGGCAAATATATTGGGGATGTTTGGGAGGGGGGGGGAGAATTCAACAAAAAAATCATTTGCTGTTGGACTATTTTGTTGATCTATCTGTGCAGTGAACAATGGACCTTTTGCTGTTATGATTAAAGGTTGAATGGACCATTTGTCATTGGTGCATTTTTGTCATTTGGCGCAACAAAGCGATCCAAATCTAAAGACATTATCTGTGAATGCAGTATATACTATGCAAAAACACAATATTCTGAATCTCGATTTCTGATTCAAAAGTTTCCAAGTCATGTTTTGTATTGCGCCCTCCAGTAACACAATCCCGAAATCATCATTCTTTTAATTCATTCCATTCGATATGTGATTCTCATTCAGCCGATTGTAACATGATTCTCATTCAGCCGATTGTGATCTCGTGGCCTGATGAACGGGGTAATAATTGTTAAGCACTTTGAGATTGTTGATATGATGGAAAGTGATAAGCATTACAACTATTATTATTGTCTTATCCTTACCTTCAATTGTTTGGATTTTTTGCGTGAATATTCCTCCCAATCATTGACAATCTTGCCCCAAATCAGCCACTTGTCTTGCATTCCTAGATCATCCAGGTTATCGCTACAGGAATTGCTCGACGAGCCGGGTGCTTGAACGTTACTCATGTTGCTCAGCGTGGAGCCGGTCGATCGTAAGCTAGCATTGGAACCTCTGCGAGATGATCTGCTAGAATCTGAGATGGATTTGAGAGACTTGGCATCTGCTTCCAGTAACCTGAATGGATAATGATGACACAGACAAAAATCAAGCTTTCTCAAGGCAACATAACCTACAACAGCTTTCCTCACTGTTTCCTTACTCATTTCTGACACTATAAGCTCTTGTACACTCTCATTTGTAAATTGTTTAATCATATTTAAGGATGGGACATTTACACGTTTAAACAAACAAAATTCTAAATCCGTTTACAAATTTTCCAAAACATTCAAATAAAACCCATAATATAAAAAGGGACCTTCATTCAAGCGATCTTCATTTTGAGTTAAACATACATACCGGTAGCACAACGATGTTTTTAAACCTATTTAATTTACAAAAACTTAGTAGCACTGCAGTACTTGATTACATTCAGGGTAGGCTACCTGTAGTTAAGTTGTTACTTTTTCAATGACAGCCCCCAATTTCTCATGTCAATTACTGTTGAATTATCAGGTCAAGCACAGGGGTCTGCAGACAGAATATGCAGATGTCTGCCTTTGTGAATGGCTAAACGTTTAAACATTTAACGGTTCCTTAAATATTTGCTAAACGGATCACAAAGTTGCATCCTTAATCATATCGTTTTAGGATATCAGATATTACACTTGTCAATAGTCTTGTTAATGCTAAAACATGTGGTACAATTTGACCCGCGAATTGATAGCAAGTGACTCTTTGATGAACACATACATGTACATGTAAAGACCAAGCGGTGGCCACTCTTCATGAACTTACCTATTGGCCTGCTCCAGCTTGGCTAAGAGTTCTGCTTCAGATTCTGCAGTGATAGAATTAATGGAAGGAAGTGAGCCCTCAACTGCTTCAACGATGCCTTCCTTCCCCTCACCACTTCTTCCTTCCGTCTTAGCTTCACTAGAATTTGAAGCTACAGCTTGCAACCTTTCAACTGCTGTCTGGTCTTTAGTTCTGTCCGGTGAGGCCAATCTGTTTGTAATTACGTCCGTCCTTTCTGCGTTTACTCTATCGCTGTGGATCTCTTCACTTTTTCCTTCCTCGTCATTTACAACGGTTATCTTCACTTCTTTGGGAGCTTGTAACTCTACTGCTGTTGCCATGGTAACTGGAAAAGATTCTTATGCTTCCCTTTCAACCTGAAAGTATGATTTAAATGTTTGAGAAGAACACAGTTAACACATATTACAATTTTGAAACTGGATATTCAAGCACTAGATGAATATAGGCAACTTTAATATTTGAAGTGTTCTAATGAAACCCAAGTGAAATCTACAGAACGATTTACATTAGAAGTGTGAATCATCAAACAGGAAATTAGTTAAATAGCAACAGGATGTGATACACTAGAAGTGCAGAGTGGACACCAATGATCATGATGTATACCAGTCATAATAACATCCTAAAACAAGGTCAATTTATGTCATTGGTATAAATGTAGCCCATGCTGACTCTGCAGACACCACAGCAAGTTAAGTACATGTACATGTATGACAACAAAGTGTCAAGGGCAGTATGAGTGTTTCCTTGCCCTTTGGTCATGTTGGTAGACTATGTCACTTTTTTTTCTGGCTCTAATATACTTGTACCTGTTGAAATCCAAATTCCATTTGTTTAAAATAAATGTACCATGCATGTACAGGTCTGTACATGTAGGAAGAATTTCAACAGATAATTTAAATGATTATTTTTAACACATACATAAACATGCCAAAGTGCGACATTTTAATTGTACACACACAGTTAATGTATACCTTGTTAATAAAATCAGATTGTGGGCACAAAGCCAGGACCATAATTATCCACTTTTTCTTAACAAATCATCCAGCCATACAAATTTTAAAACAACAATCATTTTCAATTTTATATAAAATCTAAACATTCTGAATATCCTGCTAATTAGACATCCCAAAATAAAGACCTATCGAGCAACTATAATTCTCAACTCCCAAACCTCCTCAATCCTTCATTGGTCTGTCGTACTAGCGTCCCACTACAGAAGCATTCTCAATGTTTCAATTGCCTTGTCATGAAACAGTTGTTGTTGCATCCCCCGATCTACATGCGGAGTTGGTTTTTTTACTCAGGTCACGGTCGTATCCCCTGAGCTACGTGCATAGACAATGCGTTGCAAAAAAAAACAGCCACAACATTATTGAATGATCGCTGTATGATGTCTGTGCTATACATTTCATGGATTTCACAGATTTGCAACCCAAAAAATAATCGTGAGTATCATTGAAGCCCCATTACTTCATCTTTGACATGTGGAGGAGTCAGTAGGTGCAAGTATTTTGCGTGATTTTTGGCAACTTTTATCGTGAACTTTGGAAATTGATACATTGAGTATACTTCCTTAGTGGGACGCTAGTTAGCCCCACTTGTGTGGCCTCCGTTTTGCTGCGCTGTACGTTAGGCCACACGCCTGGTTTCCCAATGGTTTCCGCTACGTGAAGCAACCATAGTTCTACCTGTAGGTACTCAAAAAGGTCACTGGAATTCCTACAAAATTAAAAAGATTGCTCGAGAATAATTATCATCTAATTTTGTTGATTTGATTTAAAGGGAAAATACAACATTTGCAAACATCAAAAAATAAAACTACCAAATCATTTTGAAATACCTTGCTGGACTGTTAGTGAATGACAGTGTAAAGCATCCTGTAAAATCATGGCACCTGGTATACTGTCATTTTCAAGAAAAGTGGTATTTTTGTATCAATTTCCAACGCTGATCGGCCGATCAGCGTTGGAAACAACTGGCTTTTTTTCAAATACTGGCCCCAATTGACCATCGCACTTGTTTGCAATCGATTACAAACCTATGAACGGGTACGAACCAGCTAGACTGGTTCCCTGAACTTACAATTCCCCAATGTATGTAAACTGCTCTGTTTCTTCTTATATGGAGTCAGGGAACCAGACTACAGGAAAATGATCGTTTTTCTTGGTTTTTATAGCATTTTCGAACCCAAAACCTCAAAAAAGTCAGTGTAACTATATTTGCTATATATTTCCAACCCCCCAATTCCATCCATTTCTGAAAATTACAGCAAAAGCAAATGATGTATATTCCCTTTAAGGATTTCCCGCAATTATTTTTGTCATTGCACAATCAAAAATAACTTTCGCAACCTCGAGTCGAGGTTGCGAAAGTTATTTTTGATTTTGCAATGACAAAAATAATTGCGGGAAATCCTTAAATCAAATCAACAAAATTAGATGATAATTATTTTTAAGGCCAGGCGGCCTATACTAAATTAGCTTGAGTAACTCCAGCTACAAGCTCATCAGTTACATGTGAATTCCTGATGAGCTTAATTAAGCTGCCCTCAACTTCAAGCATGTCATTTAGCTAAACTAAATAATTAATAAAAGGCAGTGGATATTTTGCCGGAGACGGCAAACCTTCAGTTAACGTTAGTTTGCCGGATATGCACTGAACATGCGCAGTTACTGTTTTTTTTGTACTTAAAAACATTTTCCGGTGACAAATTTTAGTCTGGCTCCATGCCAATATTATCGTTGTAACTTTGTATTTACAAGATGGGAATCAGACCATTTTATAATTTCGGACTTTATTTCCCTTTAAAAAAAATCCTCCAGAGCCACAAATCTGAAAAAGAAAAAGTCATACTCTGCAATAAAATGTTTGAGACATATTAAAATAATAAAAGAAGAATATTCTTATTTATTTGGGGATGGGAAAAAAAACCTTGAAAATGTGGAGAGGATCAGGATTCGAACTCGGGACATCCCACTCTCTAGAGCAATTGCTTAACCACTGCACCGATTGTGCTACACAACTTTAGTGGGAATTTAATACATGTTATAATTCAGCCCTATCTTAAAGAGTACAGCGCCCTCTGTTGATATGGATTGCCGCCGGCAAACCTTTAGTAAACGTTAGTTTGCCGGCGTTACCTCCGGTAAAATATCCACTACCTTAAAAAAAAAGGAGGCGGCCTCTAAAAAGGAAGCGGGCGGGGACGCTAAACATGTTTTTATTTTACTTCGCCTAATCTTCGACGTAGGCCTACCTGCAATAATTTATGTTGCCATGGTTTATACTCTTCACTTAACGAATGTTAACGTCATCATGAACGGTTCAGCATGCATGTTCAGTCAGTTTTGTCGGTTAAACGCTAGTCACGTTCGAAGAGCTACAGCCTACAGTACAGGTTGTTCCTTGACCAGTCGTGATCGTACCGTGTTGACCTTGTCGAGCTGTTGAGTTGAATAGTCCATGGAGGTTCCTATGTCATTGATTGACAGTCATCATTGTTTCGATTTCCTACGACTACACAAGGTCTTTGTGAATCCACTAGTATCCGTTGTTAATTAAGTGCACAAATCACACAATGACAAGGTCAAATGTGAGTTAGAAATATCACAAATTAAGGCCAGAAACTTTGAGACTGAGAGATTGAGCCACAAACAGCTGAGCTGAGGAGACGAATTCCGCAATTACCAACCTCGTTACCAAATAAGGTTGTATTGGATTACAATGAAATTACATTCCGCCCCCTGTTGATGAGGTTAACCCGGAAGAGCATAGACTGGTTCTCCATCTGCACATGCAAATCATTTTGTGGAAAAGGGTACCAGATTACACGTCTAGCCCAAATAGGCTACAGAATAAGCCAAAAATTACGGTTGGACAAACATTGTAGCATTCTGTTTTGGGCTTATTTTGGGCGCTACGTGTGTTTCATATAGAGTGTGCAACTCTCTGTGTGTATGCTGTGTATGTGCATGTGTTTTGTCATTACCGGCACCCACAAGTTCATTTTCGTTAATTAATTGGGGATTTCGTGTCTTCGGATCCATGGCTGATAACGATTTACCAGAGGGATGGGAAGTACACCACAGTAAAAGCCAAGGGGGTAGGCATGGTTCTTTTTGGCTGAGAATATCGACCGGCCGCGCACACCGAACCGCGCCACGCACCGTGCCGTAACCCCGCCACGCACCGTGCCGTAACCCGTGCTGCGCGCACCGACGGGTACGGACCGAACCGGCGGAGGACCGAAACGCTCTGTGCTTGCATGCGAGGCTATTAATTGATGTTACTGGATATCCAATAAAGGGGTCAAACCAAGGAAGGGGGGAGGCTGTACTGTGACTTTCGCTGAATCTGATTTGACTCTCCTGCTGTTAAAAAAGGCTAAGCTAAATGAATAAAATGTTCATGATATTGTCTTATTGAACATGAATGTAATAATTGTTGGTAACGTTAAACGCAAGTTTTGCGGTGCTTCCACTTCCAGTTTCCCATGCCATGGTCATCGCCATTGTTATTTAATAGTGCAGTGAAAAAATAGCGAGGTTAGGCCCCTAACACATCTTTGCAGTTTAAGCAAATGTTTTCACCTCGCATTGACATGATTGACCCATGGTCACGCAAAGTTTACAGTTTCTTACACTAATTCATTCTTATGAAACAATGATCCTAGCCTGCAATTCACATTTCGTCCCTACAGCACCACACCACATGCATGTACATGAAATCCCATTCAAAAAGTAATGACAGGCTGTATGAAACATTAAAGGTGTGCCGTTTTATGTTATGGCTTTTTGTATGAAAAATACAAAGTGCCATAATCTGAACCCAAAGTGCAGGATGACATAATTTTAATACAAGAACTGTTGATTTCTGTATTACATTTGCAGGTCGTAAATATTACCTCAATATCTACACCAAGGCAAGTCAGTGGGACAAACCAATGGCTGCCGCTGTCAACGCAGTCTGTTGCTCACATCTCCTAGTGAAACATAAAGACTCGAGACGTCCATCATCATGGAAAGAAGAAACCATCACACGGACTAAAGAAGAAGCCATCCAGATGCTGAAAGGTTTGTTTTTAATGGATTAAAAAAAGAATTGACAAGAAAGTTTACATATACATGTACATAGAGTTGAAGAAACAAAGAGAAGAATCTTAGTAAAGAATGTAGTATCCAGATGCCACTTTGGTTGTGTACGGAGTCTGTGGAGAGTTGAGTACATTTTCAAAGTATTTTCTAACAAAATTGAAAATGTTTCTCAGTCCCAGATTCATGTCTTTCCAACATTTTTGCAATGACTGACCTTCATTGAGATAACGTTTGATGACAAAAGTGGCGTCAGTATGTTAATTTGTTTTTCATTCATATGTAGGTTTCCGGGAATCCATTGTAAGTGAGGAAGTAAGCTTTGCCGAACTTGCCTCAAAAGAGAGCGATTGTAGCTCTGCTAGGAAGGGTGGTGATCTGGGCTTCTTTGGTCCAGGTCAGATGCAGAAACCATTTGAGGAGGCATCCTTCAAACTCCAAGTTGGGGAGATGAGTGATATCGTCAGCACTGATTCCGGAGTTCACATCATCATCAGGACTCAGTGAAAAAAAGGTTGCTCAATTTAAAAGGTCAAAGATGGCAGATATTTAGGTAACTAATTTTGAGAGTTGCCTTGCTACGATGCGATCGTTATATCCACACAAAAAAAGCAGGAATCTTCATGGATTTGTGTTCTAGATTGTGCAAGCAGAATTTTTTCTTAAAAAGTGCTGTTGTTATATTTTGCTCAATGTTCAAAATGCATTCCCATTTGATGGCAGCATTTAAAAAAACAATATAAAAAAAATAGTTGCATTGACTGGCACTTATAAACTTGGTAATTTTGAGAATATTTTTCAGTCAAGAAACACCTGAAGTTTTGAATTTCAGAATTTGTTAGGGGTTGGTTGTACAATAGTTTAGGATTATCAAAATGTAATTGTCCGACGCATTGTAAACCCAACCAACACCAAGGGGGAAGGATTGAGCAAATCTTGAATGTGGGGCCTGCCCCTCCCCCCACCCCCACCCCACCCACACCTCCAAAAGGGGGATCAAAAGGGGACGTTAGTGGACTTCATTATCCAGACGTTTTGAATTAGTGCCATTAAACGCTACAAATAAGAAAGGGTTCTTTTTATTGGTATACTTTTAGAAGACACCATGTACAATACTTCATTACGACATCAAGTTATTCATAGTACTTGAACAGAAAAAAAATTAATAATTTAATCACAAAAGTAGTTAATAGTTGTAACGTGTAAGACATTTGTCACATTTCAAAACAAAATTATATATGTGTTGAATCATTGTCAATGTTTAAATGCACTTCATGGATGAATACGCCATTCTTGAGCACCTAGTTCAATTTTGAAATCATTTGAAAAGTAAGATTTTCTAGAAAGACAACTTCAGCAGGGCAGTGTTTTAGACAGAATCATGTTCTGACAGAAAAAAAAGTATCTCTGCTTGAATTTATATTAATTAAAAGCGTAAACGTAGCCTCAAATGTGTTCATCTCTATGCTGATTTGTTAGAAAAGTCAATGTTACTATACGTGAATGTGATACATGTTGGGAACTAGGAAATGTTGTGAGTGTAATAAACACATTAAAGATACCTTTAATGGTGGTGACGCATTGTCTGATTATGTGCATTTAATTGTTTCAATTTTCAAACGATGAGAAGAGAGCTATGGATTTTATGAAGCACTACACAGAATTGATTGGTCCAAACAAAAATACCCAATTTACAAAGAAGTTTCCTACTTTCAGTGAACTGTTTAATACTTTCACACTTTCAATGTACATCACATGAAATATGCACAATGTACGTAAGGTAAATAAATGAATTTCCAAAATGCCAGAAATAACATAATTGCACACCATGAAAAAATGACACCCACTATGCTACATTATGTTATTTCATGCAGTGCTTTAAGTACTAATGTTAAGAAAATAATGTTAACTTATTTTCTTTAACTTTAAGAGCGCTTAACAAAAATTGTCCAAAACAAAGGAAATGTCCGTGAAGAGTCTAACATTTCCATAGGGTGTAATTGTCCAAGTAACTTGGTCTTTTCTGTTCAGCAAAAGACACACCAAATAGAAATTCTGAAGTGTGTCTTGAGGGGGGAAAATGTTTCTACATGTCAATGTACATTCCCAGCCAGAACAGAATTCCTTTTCAAACTACTGTCTGGCAATATACCATTATTTGCCATTGATATGGGATCCATAATTAGCATTTATGACTTAAAGACAGATCATCTTTGGAAATTAGCTATACACGTGTACAAGGCAAGTGCTTGTGTATAATTGCATAAGCATGCATCTTTCATCAAATGCCAAATGCTTTCTCCTACAAGGCCAGGTTAAGAAATACGATACTTCAGCAACATACCTCTCTACACTTCAATGCTTCAAGGGGAAACACAAAAAGAAACCAACATTTTTAACGCCGCTTAACTGATAACTAAACTGATGTGAAACTAAATAAAAATGACCACTAAAATTTGACAATGTGTTATAACTTGTAGGAGTGTTTGTTCCTGCAAGAAAAATATTTTTAGTATCTAAATATAATACAGCACCAACAAAACCATAATCTGTAACACATTCATAACGGCCAAAGATTGATTCTTCATTTTGTGAAATCCAGACTGGAATCATAACTGAATGTATGTAACATTCCAAATAAAATAAAACATTCCATCTTGTCAAATGGCAATTACATTTAATTGCCGTTTTGTTTTGATGTTATATGCGTTTGCCTCATCTTTCCAGATCCATTTTTTAAATTTAAATTCTGTAGAAATCCAGCGTTCCATAATTTTACTGTGATATTTTGAATGCTAATATCTTGAATAGTAATTGAAGTTTTTCAAGAAATACAACTACATGTATGCTTTATCTGAACATCAAATAAAATCAAAGAAACAAAAACCCACACTGTGTGGAGTTCCAAATGCAAAATGAAGCCGATGCACCCATGATTAGGTTTTTACTTAAATCTTGCAACGGACTTGAAGGGTCAAACATAGATGGCATTGTGCAGCATACACATGGACAATTTCCAAACACATGTATCTTCTTTACACAAGTAAATAGTGCATGTGAATGGGAGCAATTTTCAGAATCTTATCCAAATCAGTGAGTGTAAAGCCTTTAGAAGAGTCAGATTCAATCTTTTTTAAACTTATCTCTGAAACCTCCAGGCTTGTAGCTAACTGGGCAAGATCAATATAAAACACCTGCCAAGGAATTCCTACCTGTTCACTTGCGACCCCTGGGTTAAGTATGGCATAAATAAGTGGTGCATCTGATTGCTTCAGACCTTGAAAACCGTAATGAATGAATGCCACTTCCAATAATGTATGACAGACTTTCATTTCTTTCTTAGAATTATTAGTTGACTTTCATCTGGACTATCTCCGGCCGTTAACCAGTTACTTGTACGGCGGTTTGGCCGAGCGTGGACGGGACGAGGCCGAGCGACTACGTGCTGCAGCAGCCTGCAGCTGGATCTCATAAGCAGTAGGGTGAATCTTGAAGCCATACAACCTGTCAAGAAAAACACATGCAAATATTTAGAATACTTTAGCTCTACTTGTGTATATGATCCGCAACATGCGACTAGAAGACCCTTGATAAAAGGTACATTGGCAATAAACCTCACCATAGCTGAGGTTAGAAAAGCAGCTGGGTACACCACCAATTTGAAGTGTCTTGTTACTGCTCTATGGGCTCTGTGCACAAGTACCCCCTCAATGGTAAGAAAGAGAGAGTTGGGGGAGACCACTGGGAGAGGCATTCGAACACACTGCTGGCACCTGATGCTCTGGCCTTGTGCACATTCAGAATAGAATTGGTCGTGTGTACTTAGTGCCATATGCACGCAAACCAGTACGCGTAGCTCTCAAAAGTGGTCAATAAGCACTCACTCTTGTTTTCGCACGGAGCCCATACATGATAACATTATGAAAAGTTGGCCAAAAAAGTTGACCAGGTTTCAAGTGATCAAAAATGCAATTTTTTCTTCACAATAATTCTTTTTTACTGATGTTTTATTGTTTTGTTTCACGTTATACTGCTGGAGTTAACCGCAGATAAAGTGCCTCAAAATTAGTGCCTCTGAACAATATCAGTTTGACTGTACAGACTCTGTACAACACTTTCAAAACCGCTTGAAAATCAGGCAGTGACACACTGTAAGATAGAACACAAATAAGATTTGAACATAGCTCACCTTGGGACAAATTGATTTGGGGGGCGTTTTGGTCGGTATTCCGGATGCACCATGAAGAACATGTGTGGGAAACCAGTGCCAAAGTAGGCCCCGTCTGTGTGATGATGTCGTGAGGATTTGGGTGTGTACACATCTTGGCATTTTGGGCAATACAGCTTGACCATTGCTTCCCCTGGTACATCAGACAACCCTGTAGAGAAAAGACAATATCAGGTTACCCCAAACAGTGGAATATCCTTTTTTTGAGGGGCATCCTGTAAACATCTTGTACAGTAAACTGCTCAAACCAGTTGTCCTTATAATAGGTCTCTCTCAAATGACGTCATTTCCTACAGACCAGCCACGTGCATCGGCATTTTGAGCGTCAACTTGCACATAACGCGCATCGGCTGCGTCAAATTTCGAATAAAGAGATGGCCATCTTTGAGGGAGACATATTTAACAACGTCCATTAAGAGCATATTCTTATCTTTGAGATGCCCAATGACATATACCAAAGCTCATTCATGAAATAAGTCACCTCGAGATAGACATGTAAGTCTTGTCCTCTCAACACTGACACATACACATGGATACTATCATGGTGATCTCCCTAAACTTACTGAATCAAATGGCCATCGATTCAAGTTCATACTCGTGTACATGCTGTTAACACTTTCAAATTAAAACTTTGCAAGCAAAGATTAATTAAAACAAGATTTATTGAATTGAAGCCATCACTGTATACATACCTATTGGCAAAACCAACTGGTTCTCACAATACACCCTCGGACAGTGACCAAAATCACCTTGCTGATATTTTTCAAGCTGCAAGAAATGATCAAGATATTTCAAGTTAATTATTATTATTATTTATTTCTGGTTATGAAAATCCAAGGATTCCTCAAAAGTGCCTCAGGCACTATAGCTGGCAAGCCTGAAGAAACCTGTAGATAGAAGACAATGAGAAGAAATTACAGTTTTAGAGGTGGGAGGAAAATTATTATGGGAAAAACCCACAGAATCAGGTAGGGACTGAAAACCCAATCCACATGTGGACCAGGGCAGGAAGTGAACCCAGGCCACAGCGGTGGAAGGCAAGGAAAGAACTGCTGCGCCAACCTGACTCCCCTTTTTTTACACTACGGGATCCCACAAGATACATGTACCACTGCAGTTATGTTCTGATGGATCTTCTTGAGCTAAGCCAAAAACAAAGTGATCAACGCTGACCATCAAATCCTGATTTCTAGCTGGGACACTAAGCCCATGTCGATGTGACAGTTAGAAAAACATCATTCCTACAAAACATTCCTTGAAGGGTTAAGTCAGGATAGGCAATCTAGACTTCTTTCTCGATCACAATAAGCAGCTTACACCAGCGTGGCACCAAGTTCCTGCACAGGTGGTCTGCATGCACTCAGTGCCTCTTCCATCAATAAGATTTTCATATTACAACCTCATAGTAAGAACTCTGGAACTGAGCTGTCAATGGTTCAGTAGTAAACAGACTTTGTGGATGTGGTAAAGAAATACAACTCTTAATTCCAGGCAATGTGTGTTTCATCAATCTAGAAGCGCTGTGGTCCAATAGTTACGGTGTTCGAACCCATGTGCCGTGGTACGTGGGTTTGCACCCTGACTGGGAACATGGGGCTTGTGTTCTTGGGCAGGACACTTTACTACAATTGCACCTTTCCACCCAGGAGTATAAATGGGTACCTGTGAAGGTAAAGACCAGAATGGCAATGCGCTGATTTCGAGCTGATGCAAAAACTGGTCTCATGGCCTGATGAACGGGGATTATAATTGTGAAGTGTTTTGAGACCTTTGGTTTAAAGCGTTATATAAGCACCACAGTATTATTATTATTGATACTAACCATCAACGCTATGCCTCTATTTGTCATGATGAAGCGTGCATGTATGAGTCCATACAGCATCTCAGCTGCCTGCTCTATCAGGTCACTCTGGTTAGGATTCTCCTCTAACTCATCATCTGAGACAAATTGAAAAATTCAGAGACACAAACCTTTCAACTATAAAACCCTCCAACAGAGGTTTAACCCTCCTAAATGCAACATAAAGCAACAGTGGAGAAGATGTTGCATGTTGTTGCATACTGTTGCATTTAGCAGGCAACTCAAGTCCCTGTGCTCTGTTGCATCTTGTTGCATTTAGCAGGGTAACTGCTCATAGTGCCAAGGCGATACAAGAGTATCCACCTTTGCATTTGTTTACATTTAGAAGGGTAACTGCTCATAGTTCCAAAGGCTATACAACAGAATCCACTGTAGCAGTTTGTTGCATTTAGCAAGGTTCTCATTTCAGTTGTGTTGGATATTGTTGCATTTAGCAGGGTAACTGCTCATACATTGAATCTATTGTTGCATTTGGTTGCATTCAGCAGGGTAACTGTTTGGTGCCAAGACTTGTGCATACTGGGTACACTGCACAATGCAACGGAATCCACTGTTGCAGTTTGTTGCATTAAGCAAGGTTCTCATTTCTGTTGCATAGCAGGGTACCTGATGAAAACCTGATGGGTTTAGGGTTAATGCTTGATGGAGTATGCCATAGGTGTGGTGCTTTTCTTCAGAAGGTGCATTACAATCTGTAAAGAGCGAGTCAAAAAGAAGTATACACTAGGTGCATACTATTCTGCTGAATGGGATGGGTCGATTCCACAACAGGGTAACTAACCATTGGACAACGATGCACCTCTCCAGGGTCATGGGCTCTGTCTTACAAATGATGACTGCTTGATACAAACAGTATAAACCTACCAAAAAAAATACTTACCTGGTTCAAGATCTAGGATCATGTCCAGTGCTTGTCTGTAGTGTGGCACCTGCTCATTCAGGTTTGTCAGGTTGAATTTGTCCTGGATGTAGTCCTCATCCACCTGTTAATCAATCAATCAATTTATTTAACCCTCCTGCTGTCTGAACAGTCACAGACAGTCAAAAGAAAAACACTCTTCACGCTTTTTTACATTGGCTAGTCACCAACAGTCAGATCATATTTCTGGCTAGCACTGTGACTAGTCCAATTCATTCAACAGGCAAGTGGTGGGCACAGCTGGCTCATCAATTACCTACAGTCAAAGCATAGCTGTATCAAGTTATACAAACAGTCACACCCAATGATTCCTGCTTTATGTTGGCTGGGAGCTCTTAACTACTAAAACAGCCATTTGACTGATTTTCACTGAAAGGACAACTTTGCACAGAATCGATGTTTGCGTGAGGGTTAATCAGTCCATTTATCAATCAATATGTAAATACTCAACTTGTCAGTCGAAAACCATGCAGGGGTTGTAAACAAAAACAAATTTTTGACCAACCTCACAAAAGAATTCATTCCCTCGAAGGCCACAGAACCAAGATATCCATGACACTTCCTCTGAGCTACTCATTTCTTACTTGCTTGATTTCTGCAATAAAATAAAACAGTATACACAATAAATCCCATTATTATATCGAGTGCTTGGATACTGTAATTTCATTGGTCAAGAATGGCGACTTGTCCAGTTGGTAAAAATGCACGTATGCAATCATTGTGGTTAACCTCATTTACAATGCACCTTGCAAACAAGCATGTAGAAACTGAAATAAATACTGCACGCATGCATGCAAGCAATGTGAAACCGTTCAGTCTCATGCAAAGCAGGAAAGCCTGCAGTTATCAAGAATTACACCACACTGATTTAATTTATTGCTTGCAAAATTAGTTTACAACCATTTTTTGTTTACTTATTGGCACGATATAACAAAACACTTGTTGATTGAGCACTGTGATGTGGGATGGCATTTTAAACTCTCTCGGGTGTTAAAAACATCATGTCCCACATCACAGCAGTAAACAATTATTAATTAGCATTGGTCTCCATCAAATCCTCACACTGATTAAGAGTATGTCTATTCTCTTGTGATATGAACGCCATTTACTTAAGTACAGGGTGACAACACAAAAAGACAGTACGTCTGAAGAATGGTGACCAAAACATATCACTGTACTACATATTAAGCTATAGATCGATATGTGTGAATGCCTGTAGTTTATGTCAAAACTTCATCACAAAACTTCTTGATTCTAGCTGCCTGCTATGCATAATGATGTGCACTGCTAGTGAGACACAGGCAGATCAGCAGATGGAAAACATACACACACACACTCGATGCAAACCTAGCAGAACAGAGTAATTTAGTCTGGTTTCCTGACCAAAACTAGAATCCCATTCCTTTAATGTACACACGCGAAGGCTATCAATCCTAAATTTGATTTTGCATCGAGTGTGTGTAACATTCGCGATGTCAAAAAACTGATGGTGGTGAGTAAAAACTCAAAAAAATTATCCCATGATCAAAATGTCAATATTCTAAAAAATTGAGAGTTATGGATCAACCAAGGCAACTTTTCGGGTGGATTTGTGTTTCAAATGTTGGAATTCCAGACAAAGGTATTTCGTCTATCAAAGTGCATTTCCAAAAGCCATAGCGTACTAACCCCCTGAAAAATCACAATGCAAGAAGGCTAGTTCTAATTCTGGCGATCATGTATCTACAGGCCCGGTTCCTATAACTTATCAGGGAACAAAATCCACTTTTAAAATATTTGACCTACCAAACTAGTTGGTGACATTAAGAACATGCAGGTATGTCATAGATAAAGAGCAGGGTTTTGAATTATAGGAGGAAAATTTGTGGGTAAAATGACGATGACAACAACAAAAAGCAGCACGAAAATAAAGATGGCGATCACCGCGAGATGTACACGATGTACCGTGAACGCGCAAGAGTGCTGAATCGCACAGCACCAACAGTAATCCGCGTAGGAAATTGTAATTTCTACAAGAAGAAACTGCTAAAATTTACAAAAAGGTGTCATTATATTGAGAGAAGTCTGCTTTAGGTTGAAAAGGTAATTTTTGAGTACTAATAAAAACACCCTTCATGCCCTTGACTCTAATTCACCGTGGTCTATTACTAGAATAGCATTCTATACATGTAGTTCGTCGGGTGCCTGGAAGAGGGTCGTGAGGGCGAAAAATGGGTCAAAAGGTCAAATTCAAATTTTTCGGATAATCGATAGAGCTTGGAAATATCTTTCATTTGATATACATATTGTCTCAAGGGGCTACGTCATTCTGACGTAATTAACAGTAAACAAAGGACGGAAGGAGGATATTCATTATTTGTGTCTGGCAAAAGGACGTTAACGTGTAATACTCATGTAACAAAAAATGTGGCTACGCAAAGCCAATTTTGTTTACGGCAAAAGGATGTAAGGATTTCACATGCCGCTCATGAGTGTACGTTTGATTGAAAAGTTCCCGGTCATGCCGGTAAAAGGTCATTAGCATAAAAATTGAAATAACTTCACAATTAAGTAATATTTTGGGCACAATTGCAGAATACCCCGCCACTCGATCTATCCACCTCGTAGCCGGCTACGAGGTCACGGCTGATTGACCTCAATAAACATTCTCAGCGCTAGTTGTATGTACTATGCGTCATGCTCCATTGCACTCCCACTTCGTGACAGCGTAGCCGCCAACAGGGTAGTTGGTTTGGACTTAAAATTTTTTCAGCAACTCCCATTCATTTTGTGTTGCTTCGTTCTCAAGCATATTCAAGGGGACTCCCACTCCGTAGCCTCGTAGCCGCCAACAGGGTGGTTGGTTTGGACTTAGAATTTTTTTCAGCAACTCCCATTCATTTTGTGTTGCTTCGTTCTCAAATAATGGACCCCCACTCAGTATCCGTGTCACGCCCCAACTATCGCATCGGTCCCAACTATAGTTGGGACTGTCCCAACTATAGTGCTGCAGTTGGGTCGGCCCAACTATAGTTAGGACTGGAGTTACGCTGGATGCTTCATGCTTGATAGATCTTGTTGGATTAAATGTTCCGCGGTGCTGGCACCCTGTATTCGTCGTGCATGCATGCCGCAAGGCTGGCCGGTCACGTGGTACTGCCTAGTTGGATGAGTTGTCCAGCTGCTGCTGGGTTTTATTGTCCAGCAACATTTTGCACAATTCAAAGATTGCCATGGCCGGCCAACTATAGATGGGCCCCACCCATAGCTAATGTCAAAGGTCCCAAGTAAAGTCGGACAGTATAGGGAATGTCTTATAGTCGTACACAATCTCGTCCCCAGTGCTTACTTTATTTCCAACCGCGTTTCCAATAGTAAACCCTGGATAGGAAACTTTCTTCCTGTATCCTGATTGGATACCGCAATTGGCTAGTAATGGATTTTTATCGTGTACTTGGTGCTATTATTCACAACGTGCACTACGTGTTTTCGCGATCATTCGTCCACGCCTTCTCGAAAATACTAATTTCCTTTCCAATTTGCTCATATTAATATGAAATATGATACTGCATGTTGTCTCGATAAGATCGTAACAGTTTGATTTCAAAAATCGTGTTTTCGTAACTCACGCCGTGCTCGCGCTGCTACGAATTGACTCTGTTTTTACCCCAGACACCGCATACAAAAACAAACGCTAATGTGTAACACATATCCAGGCACCAGACTGTTCCTCATTTGCATACGTGTGCAAAAATCTTGCACATGCAAATGATCCAATACCAGGGTGAGAGAGCAGGTAGTGGTGGGCGCGTACTGCTCGACACCCTGGGGACGAGGTTGAGTCGTACATCAATGTAAACTATAGTTGGGACCGCCAAATAAAAATATTGCGGTGGCCCAACTACAGATGGTCCCCACTCATAGATAATTTCATTGGTCCCAAGTAAAGTCAGATGTGTATTAGAGTTGTAGGGAATGTTTTATAATCGTACAACAATGTACACTATAGTTGGGACCGCAAAATAAAAAGATTGGAGTGGCCCAACTATAGATTCGCCCCATCAATAGCTAATTTCAGTGGTCCCCAGTAAAGTCAGACGTGTATCGGAGCTGTAGGGAACGTTTTACACTTGTACATCAATGTCAACTATAGTTGGGACACCGCAAAATAAAAAGATCGGAGTGGCCCAACTATAGATGGGCCAGCCCAACAGTGGAACTTACAGTTGGGACCGTCCCAACTATAGTTGGGACAGGCCCAACTATAGTTGGGCCAGCCCAACTGTGGAACTACAGTTGGGACAGGCCCAACTATAGTTGGGACAGGCCCAACTATAGTTGGGACCGATGCGATAGTTGGGGCGTGACATCCGCGTAGCTAACAATGGACATGATGGACTTGAATTGTTTCTTTTGCAGTGATTCCAACCTCGTAGCCAGTGATTTTAGGGGTGTATTTCCGAGTGGCGGGGTATTCTGCAATTACTCCACTTTTTGACATAAAAATGCACAACATTATTTTAATTATTAACGAATGTCATCACTCAGTAAAAATTTCAACCTTAATCTTAATCTTATGTGATTTTTAATCAAGAAAGGGCAGCACAAATCTTTCGAGAATTCGACTCGATCATGTCGATTATCTCCAAAAGTGCTTTTTGTGTGCCTGGCCTGCTAACGTCCTTTTCCTTGTCACACGAGTTGCTCCAGTCCTACAAAAAAATCACAAAACATTTCATCACGGGGGCGAGTTGGCAATGTACGTCCAAGCCGCCGTGATGTGGTTATGCATAATGAAACGGGGCAAAAAACGCTTTCGAGTCGACTCGTACCTTGGGCAACTCGTACCTTGGACAACTCGTACCTTGGACAACTCGTACCTTGGACATCTCGTACCTTGGACAACTCGTACCTTGGACGACTCGTACCTTCAATTAAGACGACTCGTACCATCAGAATAAAAAGTAGAGTACGTGCGTGACTTAGTGTGCACAGTGTGTGGTTCGCTTCCTTGACTCTGAAACGATACGATTCTTTTCAAGTCAAAGTTAATTTTTATCCCACAGAACCACATTCAAGATCTAATGGCTTTGCCAGGCAGCGTGATTTTCCGCGTTGGGCCTGCCGCAGGGCAATGAAATTTGACTGCCGGGCCGGGCCGGTCGGTCGTGCGCGGTACCGATGCCGGTGACTCGGAAGCGGCCGGCCGGCGCGCGCGGCACTGCCATTCTGTTTTTAATGGAATTACATGTACTTGTACATTCCATGTGAATATTCAACGTTTGATTCGGTAGCTAAGATAATTTGTGAAATAAATTTTAATATCCTTTTTTTTTTTTTTTAGGTTCTGGATTTGGCAAGGACCAGATGACATCGACAGTTTATTCTTTTAGTGTGTGGTTCCTTGACTCCCACATGATACGATGTTTTGCAAGTTAATTTAAAAAAAAAATTTCACCGTGCACAGACGTCCATATTAACCGGTCAGCGCGGCGCAAGAACCGTGTCACTTTGCACGGATGGCTACCGTAGGTTGACCGCAAACGTACCGCGTGGGCCTGTGCATGCCGCGCACACAGTGCGTGTAACCTAGCTGCCGCGGCCGGCTTCGCGCTAAATAAATTCCTCTTTTGGGGGGAAAGAGAGCCCATACCAAAAAGAGATTCGCCTTTATTTTAATAAGCAGTCCACTTTCAATGAGTTACGGTCCACTTTATTCAGCCTCGGATCATTATCCTGACTGACGGTACGACTTGACTTACGCGTGATGGTACGAGTCGTCTTAACTAAAGGTACGACTTGCCGAAGGTACGAGTTGTCCAAGGTACGACTCGGTATAATGACGTCGAGTTGAAGGTACGAGTTGTCCAAGGTACGAGTTGCCCAAGGTACGAGATGACCTGTTACCCAAAAAACAACGTGAATCGTGATGGTGATGATGACCGGAACTCCTAAAAATTAACCATCATTCAAGCTAAGTAACTAAGTTTATCACGTTTCCCGTTCTGAATCCCATGAGTCCATTATTCAAAACATTTGTCTATAATCTTTATTCCCAATATAACTTTCAATCTATATACTCACCAATTAATGAAGAAAACTCTCATTAAATTAGTTAATTTTTGTGCACATTAGTCAGTTCATTTTCTTCACCGCGGCCGGTGTCCCACATGCCATTTTTTTTCTCTTCCCACAGTATCGATTCCATACAATCGCGATCGCAAGTTGAGGTATCGTTAGTCTAACCTTAAATGGGCGGAGTGAGGCTGCAGCTGGGCTTGTAGGCAGGAGGGGCAAATTCTAACATTACATGAATTTGAAAATTGACCGAAATAGGCCTAGAACGCGGGAGAACTCTCTCCTAATTTTCCCTTTTATCCCGTTAAAGCTACCCCGCCATGTCTGCAAAAAAATATGTTTCTTTGCAGGCTCCTGTTTCATCTGATTCTTTCTCAGTAAAGATTTTGTGTAAAAAAGTGGCGCCATTTCGTCTGATTTTTTAATCAGCTGAATTATCTTTTTATGTACAGGGTCTTTATTCAATGATACCCAACAGCTTTAACAACCATCCAGTTTTAACTTTCCCACAGAAATATTACTAACACATTGTTGTAAAAGTTGGTATCTTAAAATTTCTGTGCAAAACCCCCTACACCGGGGGTTTGTGTAGAAAATATCAGATGGCTATTTATTACTCCCCATATACACGCTCAATTATAACTTCGGCAGCGACCAAAAGCCCCATTTTAAAGAATAAGTTAAGAAAGGATCAAGGTACCAACTTTTACGAGAACATGCTGGTAATGAAGCCGAAGACCGAAAAAAATGTGTCTTCAAAAGCCTGATGACTATAAACCAATCAACCAAGTGTAATTCATTAACGTAAATCGCCTGGTATTATTGCTACGTACGTGAATCATACTTTTTAAAAAAACCTGTCTTCTAGTCAAGTTTAATTTTTGGTGTAATTTTAAATTTCTAATTTTGATGATTTGACTTTCAACCAGCATGACTAGCATGGCCACGCCCTCGTGCGCAGGAATCGATACTATTGAAACGATACTCACTACAAGCCATTTCGTTCAGTATCGAAGAAAGCGTTGCCGAACTACGCATGCGTTATGTACGATGGCCTAGGGGAGACAAGATCTGCCTGACCAAAGGTCCTGCGGCTGAGCCTGTACGTGGGGGGTCCATTTTGTTTGACTCCTAGGCCGGGGAGACAAGATCTGCGGCCTGACCAAAGGTCCTGCCTGGCCTAGGGGAGACAAGATCTGCCTGACCAAAGGTCCTGCCGCTGAGCCTGTACGTGGGGGTCCATTTTGTTTGACTCCTAGTTCTATAACCGGCCCATTTGCCAGAATCTCCGGCTTAATTGCCTGAATCTGCGGAGAATTTGAAGACCCCATACAGGGTTTTCCAATTCTCAGCAAAGAGGTGTTCCATTCAATCCTTGACTATAGTTGCGGGGGGAGGCGCGGGGGGCCGGGGGGGGGGGGCTATCACCCTTATTATTGTTTTTATTCATTTATTTCTGGTAATGAAACCAAGGGTCCCTCAAAAGTGCCTTAAGCACAGTAGCCCGGAAGCCTGAAGAAACCTGTAGAGAGAATTAAGACAATGAGAAGAAATTACAGTTTTAGAGGTGGGAGGAAAAGCCCAGAGGAATATTCTGAGGAAAACCCACGGAATCAGGTAGGGACTGAAAACCCAATCCACATATTGGCCCGGGTGGGATTCGAACCCGGGTCACAGCGGTGGTAGGCGAGGAAAGTACCGCTATACGCCAACCTGACTCCCCTAAATTATAATACTTAATAGAACACATCAATCACCTTCATAATGGAACGGTTCTTAGGTTCATGATGGATATCTGAACATGGGTTAATATATAATAAGGGAACAAATATGCGTTTTTGGGCGGTTTCAGCAGGCGAACGTTTAAAAATGGCTCCTGGACGCGGATCATGGCTCTCGATCACGTTTGCCGATCCCAGGCGACCGTCCAGACCCCAAGCCGGTTTTAAACGTATTTTTTGTACAACGGTACAACAACATCACATTTCATTTACAGGATAACGACGGCAGGATGTTCAGGCAGGGGTTTGTGTTTGGTGAGCTTTTGACTGAGGTCACAGTACCCTTACCCTAATTAACCTACAATAAAGTGCGCATGAGGTCGGACTTGTTCATTTTGACCTTGTTTTTCCTGTTTTCTTACGATTCAGCTGGCGCACCGGTTGATCAACAAAGCGCACTAAGCTCTGTTGAAGTCTATTGGGCGTTGCCTTCAACAGGGCGCAACGGACCGTCACAATTTGGTACCGTCGCCTGCATACATTTTATCAATATTGTTTGTATCTGATCGTAAAGTTGTTTTCATTTTTGAGGCGTTTCAAGGTTTCTTTGTATTGTGTGTTATACCGTGGTATTGATTCTCAATGGCAGCTATAGGCGTATCGTGGCAACACTGGGGGAAAAAAACAAGTTCAACCTCAACCATTGTAGGCATGTATACGCCTATTATTCCATTCAATATAATCTGAACGATCAAAATCGTTGGTATGACTTGTTTGCGTAGATTAAAGGCCGCAACCAAAATAAAAAGGGAGCTGAGTGTGGGAGTGAAATCGGAGTTCTGGAAAATTATTGGAATGGGACAATATATAGTTGGCCCAGAATGGGCGAATCTATATCATATGTATTTTATGATGAGGCAGATATGCCTTGTCGCTGATTTTGTCTACCTTTTTCCCATTTTCTCATCGAGTTGAGTTCCCGATTTAAGTATAGTGAATGACATCATAATATCCGACTTGGTCCAGTTACTCTTAGGCTACTTAATGTGACCTGACCTCATGCGCTGCGTTCAAAAATAGTATGCAGGCACATGCAACTAAATAATGGTTCTTTCTTTGTTTATCAAGCACGTATTACTAAACCATTTGCATCCCAACTGCAAGAAAAAAATCAAATAAACAAGGTATATTTTTTTTAGTGTTAGGCCCTGTAGGCTGTGTAGCTCGGTGCGTGAACCCTGTACATGCTTCAAGTTCAATTTTCGGTCGTCGCCCCGGCCCACCGCTAAAAAGGGAATTGTTCAGTGATGCCAAAACGCCTTTGTGAAGTCTCTGTAAGTGAGGAAAAAAAGTAGGCGCGGTGCCCGCCTATTGTCAATTGTTCAGGTCAGTCATTGGCCAATCACAAACTTGGGCCATATGAAATAGAATCATAGATTATCATCAGGATTCGTTGTTGAAATTAATTATTTATATTATGTACTTGTTTTATTGTGGGGAGCGTCGACAACATTGAGAACAATTAATCTGTCATTACCACAAACGGCCGCAGTCTAATTGCAAGGCAACGGAGCAAGAATGCAGCTCTATTTCCTCAAATGAAAAACACGACCTCGAGAAACTTCCTAAAATTTTAAAGCTGCCTTCACGGTCAGTGCATTTACAAATAAAAGGACCGGGCCTTAAAATAGTTTGCTCACAACTTGCCAGTTAGGTACCCGTAACGGTTATAGGGAGTTCTGTCATTATTGAAATATGTACAAGATGTTTGGTGTAACGAAAGCCCACTGTCTCCTGCTCCTGCTGATTGCTGTCTTCCTGCAACCAGTAGTAGGTAAGTAGGTAGTTAATTTAAATTAATTTTTATCAATTTCCATTTGTTTTCCAGTAAGTCTGGAAGAAACAATCACTATTTCGTTTGTAATGTAAGCCGATAAGGCGTTACATTGTTTTACAAGTTGAAACTTTTAATCTGAAATCCCTTAAAGTATAATTTTACCCGAGTCGTTGCAGCCCGCGTAATGGCGACCTCATATCCGGAAATATTTACACTCAAACATGTACATGTACATGTAGTTACACCTTGTGACAAGTTGTTGAAATTTTGAGGTGAAAATATAGCACTGATACATTTTAATTTTTTAAATGAGCGAAAATTGGTGAAAAAAAGTATAGGTTTGTATGAGTTGTTTCGGTACAGTTTGAAAGTCCAGGCTATAAAATACGAACTCATTTACTGCGCATGTCTCAGTAGACAGAAGTAATTCATGTGAGAAATCATTATAAGCTTAAAGAGACATATCTAAATTAACCATCCTTGACCAAGAGGGTTAAAGATGTACTTTCCGTACTAGTATATCACGAATTTCACCAAGAAACATATTTGCTAATTTTACTAGCAATAAGAAATATGTTGTTCGATTTTGAATAAGACAAAGTTACCGAAAATGGCAACTGTTTCAGTGGATTACTTCGCAAATTTCGAACTCGCTGGCGACCCCAGCCGCCCGACACCGTTATTGTGTTAAGCGCTATGAATACAATCCGAATTAAAGTCAACTTTCGTGGAACAAAACAGCGCATTTTTCCCCTGGACGATAACTTACCCAAACGTCACTTGTATTGAATTGAAATCTATTGATTTGTCGTAAATGATGTAAACACAAATTTAAATTGAACGGTAAATATCGTCAAATAATAAAAAATAATATAATCAAAACAGTGTGTTAAGTGCGAAAAATACAAGCCGAATTGAAGTCAATTTTCATGGAACAAAAACAACACTGCTTTAAATTAATATAACCAAAACAGTGTTATTAAATCGCGAAAAATGAAATCCGAAGCAAACACAACCATGCAACTAAGACTTTCAAAAGATGGCGCGCTACACACCTAGTGGTCACCAGGGTCACCACTTATAACATTTCTCTTCAAGAAAAAGAGAATCAAAATTGATTTTCGTTTTTTGAACAGCACAAAGCTAACACTAATAAAACCTCATCTTCCATCTTTTTTTTTTTGGAAGAGCTAAAAGAAAACTTAAGTTAGGCAAGGGCGGATCCAAAACACAATTTTGGTGGGGGCTAAAACAAATGTGTGTCTCCCAAAAAGTGGGTCCAAAAATTACGGCGTGGGGTTCGGGGCCCGCTTAAGGGCTCCGAATTTTTTTTGGATTCTCGATACTCTACTGCTGTGGTGCGATCTGAGGCAATTTCTGACCACTTTAGCCAATGTTTTTTGAGGAAAAGATGGTGGCGTATACTCATTGTCTACCTTTATTGCGACGTCACATAAAAAAAAACACGGTTGGTTTCTTTTTGGGGGGGGGGCAACTACTTGGTTGCAAAGCCTTATCTGCGCAGAAATAGGAGGATCGAGGAATATATGCTTTTGAACATTGACAGAAGCTTTATATGGTAGAAAAATCAATAAAGTACATCTTCTGCATGTTAATTAAGGTTAAAATTTAATATTTAAAAACTTGTTTTTTGAACACGAAATGTACAACGAGTTTGCCGATTAATTGGCTGGCATCTTGTTTGGATGGCGCTGTACTGTTTGCGCATGCGTAGTATTGCTCTGTACACTTCATGCATATGCATAGTACGGCTAGCTTCACGTCACGTAAACAAAATGGCGGCCAACAGAAACGCAACAGAGTCGTCGTACGTACGCCCTTACTAAAATCATGCGTCAACAAGCGTCAACAAGCCTCAACTGGCGTCAACAAACTTCAACCGTCGTCACCACACTACAACAAATTTTGTAGAAGTTTTGGAAAATCAAAAACAGCTTTTATAATATTATACGGTCCAATATAATAATAATGTGATAATATTAATAACGCAGTGGCTATTGTTACGGCAGCCGTAACGCATTTCCCATTTTCTATCGTTACGGTAGTACTGCAACTTTTATAAAAACATGAGAAGAAAATATAAATAAGAAGGAAAAAAGTGAATTTGAACGTTATAAAATTCGGACTTTATTTTCCTTTTAAAAAAAACCCTCCAAAGCCTAAGGTTAGAAAAGGAACAAAATTTGAGTGCAAAACTGAGATGCGAACCCGCAACCTCGCGGTGCAAAATCCTACCCGTTATCGACTGAGCTGTCGCACTGTTCACCAAAACACGGGAAAACAAATAATTATATACCTGCGTGCGTATCAAAAAAGAATCGTTGAGGGCGCTAAACAACGAATGCCGTAACGATAGCCACTTCGTATTAATAATAATTAATATCCAATTTTCCGAGAAATTTTCGAATCTATCTGGAGCCCATATGCATATGCGCACGAAAATCGTCTTGATGGCAGCCATTTTGAATGTAAGAAGCGATGACCCCAAAGTTGTGACGTCACACTTATGTAAATCGATCTTGTCGCTCGGGCACGCGCACATGAGTGTTTTCGCATTAATTGCAAAGTGTCCTATCCTAACCTATGCACTTGCATGGTTGTGAAATCGGCAGCATATTTCCATTCCATGTTTGTGATATGAATATTTATTTTAAGGCAGTGGATATTTTGCCGGAGACGGCAAACCTTAGTAAACGTTAGTTTGCCGGATATGCATGCGCAGTTACTGTTTTTTTGTACTTAAACATTTTCCGGTGACAAATTTTAGTCTGACTCCATGCCAATATTATCGTTGTGACCTCGTATTCACAAGATGGGATTCAGACCATTTTATAATTTCGGACTTTATCCCTTTAAAAAAAAAATCTTCCAGAGCCACAAATCTGAAAAAGAAAATGTAATACTCTGCAATAAAATGTTTGAGACGTGGTGCTACACATCTTTTGGTGGGAATTTAATTCATCTTATAATTCAGCCCTATCTTAAAGAGTACACCGCCCTCTGTTGATATGGATTGCCGCCGGCAAACCTTTAGTAAACGTTAGTTTGCCGTCATTACCTCCGGCTAAATATCCACTATCTTATTTTAAATTATTTACCATTGAATATTCATATCAAACTTCCTCCAATCTTCCTTTAGTGATTTTATGGTTACACCTGTAGGGTATTACTATTAGTTGAAAGCCCTTTTTTCCAAGACCCCTCCTTTCCATTTCATTTGCACTTGTACAATGTACAACATCCAACAACAATGTGTAATTTCCATGTTAGTAAATAGATACCCTATCCTGTCCTGAAGGTTCTACAACAGAGTCACCGACTAACACCACAGGCACAGGCACCGAAGCCACTGAGCCAGGCACTGAAGCCACAGAGTCTGGAACCAATGGCACAGAGTCAGGCACCGAAGCTGTAGAGTCAGGAACCAGTGGCACGGAGTCGGGCACCGAAGCCACAGAGTCGGGCACCGAAGCCACAGAGTCGGGCACCGGTAGCACGGAGTCAGGCACCGAAGGCACAGAGTCGGGCACCGAAGCCACAGAGTCGGGCACCGATAGCACGGAGTCAGACACCGAAGGCACAGAGTCGGGCACCGAAGCCACAGAGTCGGGCACCGATAGCACGGAGTCAGACACCGAAGCCACAGAGTCAGGCACCGAAGCCACAGAGTCAGGCACCGAAGCCACAGAGTCGGGCACCGAAGCCACAGAGTCGGGCACCGAAGGCACAGAGTCGGGCACCGAAGCCACAGAGTCAGGCACAGAAGCCTCAGAGTCAGGCACCGAAGCCTCAGAGTCAGGCACCGAAGCCACAGAGTCGGGCACCGAAGCCACAGAGTCGGGCACCGAAGCCACAGAGTCGGGCACCGAAGCCACAGAGTCGGGCACCGAAGCCACAGAGTCAGGCACTGAAGCCACAGAGTCAGGCACCGAAGCCACGGAGTCAGGCACCGAAGCTGCAGAGTCAGGAACTGATGGCACAGAGTCAGCAACCGATGACACGGTGTCAGGCACCGAAGCCGCAGAGTCGGGTACCGAAGCCACAGAGTCAGGCACTGAAGCCACAGAGTCAGGCACCGAAGCCACGGAGTCAGGAACTGATGGCACTGAGTCAGCAACTGATGACACGGTGTCAGGCACCGAAGCCGCAGAGTCGGGCACCGAAGTCACAGAGTCGGGCACTGGGGGTGCTGACACAACCGTCTCCGGCACATCTGCTCCGGAGTCATCAACGGTCTCAGGTACAGAGGAGCCACTGAAAGCACAGAGTCAATTTTTGTTGAAAGTCATTTGCACATGATCAATTTGTGATGACCTTTGAAGAATATAAGCTTGTATCAGCATCTTTGAAATATAATTTCATCCATTCAGCTTCCTTGAAAATATTTCAAGAAACACTAAGACATGTCTTAGAAAGGGTAATTTGTCTTATCTCGCGACTCATCCTAGGATCAATTTCACCAAACTTGCAACACGCCCTAACTTCCTTAGTAACGCGGCTGGCTCGTCTTACCTTATAATCAGTCTTAGGGTTGTCTTATCTCGTAAATAGTGTGTTAATTTGTATATCATTTGGACACTATTGCAATATCTTCTCATTTAAGACAAGTGTCGGCCTAGAGCTTTATTTAATAGTTTCAAGAAGAAACTTTGCATGTAAAATTTAATGAATAGAGAAGTTTTCAGGCGAAAGGTCGTGTTCTATGCACTTACACGAGCGGAAAATTGGTTTTGCATGTTTCTTTTCAATAACTGTTTTATCAGACGCTATAAACAAACGTGAAACAGCCATCAAATTGGGAGTTTGATGCGTCTTGCTTAAGATGGGTTTAGTGAAATCTGTCTTAGGACGCATCTTAGTTAGGATCGATTTTAGAGTGGGGACTTGTCTTAAGTCCTAAGATGGGTCGTAAGATAAGACAAGTTTCATGAAATCAGTCCCATACCTACATAATGTTCATAATATTTTGTTAATCATCGCCTATTTTGATAGTCGCACATAAATCCTGATCCTGGGATGGGGGGGGGGGGATTTTGGCTGGTGCATTTGATTGGTGCTTTCTGAATATTTGAATATTTTATCTTATGAATATCTGAATATTCATAATGAATTTTACCCTTTTCTTCATAAACTAGACACTGACGCTCCAGTTGTAACCTGTTCCGGCAATGTTCCTTCAGTAACGGCAGGCTTTGGGAGTGTCAGTGCTGTTGTGTCATGGTTGTCAATGCCTTCAGCTACTGATAATGTTGACACCATTGACGCTGGCAGTATTACATGTCAGGATAACTTAGATAATACTGTGGTGTCAGGAGGCACATATGCTGTTGGCGTGACAACGGTAACATGCAGAGTCAGTGATGCTGCCTTAAACGAAGGATCATGCCAGTTTACCATCACTGTAACAGGTTAGTTTCTCTGTCTTTCAGATAATTGATCTCTTTACAATTTTGCTAATCCCATCAGTTCTTTCTGAGAAGCACCTTCCGTGATCCAACTTCTAAACTTATGATTCGTCTGTTTTTCTGTCCAGCATGTGGATTGACTGCTTCAAGTTGTGCTAATGGAGGGACTTTTGATGCTCAGTACTGCGAATGTGTTTGTCCTCAGACTCATTCAGGAGCAACTTGCGGAGGTAAAAAATGAAGGATTGTTTGACAGTAGAGGGCAGCAAATACCCAGCATCCTTTCCTAGGCCGCGTCCGAATTACTTGGCTACGACTGGAAATAACGCACAGGTAGAAAAAGGAGTGGCTGCAGCCACTTCCATAGGCATGTGTGTGATTTCCAACTGAAGCCAAGTAATTCAGACACATCCTAAGGGTGTTGGTGATGGCTGATCTCTGGCTTACCCAAATAAACTTCCAGAGCTATTGCTTTGAATACTGTCAGTCTGGTCCTACGTAGTTGTAATTGTTACATTGACTGAATCTAGTCAAGTCCATCACGAGTCCCTGCAAGTCCATCACAAATCCTCCAGTCCCAATTTAACTCACAAGCTATTCAAATGAGCTTTTATTTGGCAAAGGCATTCCTTTGTTATTGTTCATCCACTGTTACTTGTGACTGGACTTGTGACAGGACTTGTGATTTACATGTGACTGATGGACTTGTGATGGGCTCAAATGCGTCCCTGCTAATTAGTAGCGTATGACAAGAGATTCATATGTTTCACTAAGTGTTATGAAGGTACTGCGAAGCATTGTGGGTACGTTATTGCCGTGATTCGCTGCACACACACACTCAATCTGAATGCATCGGCCATGTTCACATCAGCTAATCATAATCCATTCATTTCCATTCAATTAAATTATTCCAGTTGATTATTATCATTCATCATTCTTCTTATTTACTTTCAGATACCAACCCGTGTTTGACTAGTCCTGGAGCGCTCTGTTCAGATGCGACGTCAGGACAATACTGTCAACCTTCCTCCGATGCTCCTGGCTACACATGTCAGTGTCGCAACCAAGATGGATATTTCATGGTTTCTACTGCATGTCTACGTAAGTAAAAAACAGAGTAATGTGTCTGAATCCCTCAGATTACTCCTTAAATTTTATGAGGATCCGTGGTCAGAAATAATAAATTTATAACGACTTGACAAACCCGTAAGGGGAGAATGTGAAATTGAACAGGTAGTACCTTGAGGTGTACCTCAAGGTCTTCCAACGTTTGAATTCTGAATACCATTGAAGACAACAATCAATGAAAAAGTACAGAAGTTGGCACAGTGTGCTCTACTAGTCTTCATACTATCAGCCCATGTGAGTTAATGTAATTGTAACATTATTTTTTTTTTAGGGCGTCCAACCATAGTTCTCACCTTCAGAGCACCTTTAGAGGTGTTCATAGATGCCTACAGGAATCCAACCTCAACCGCATTTAGAGCGAAGATTGCCATATTGAAACGACTGGTAAGTTATCTGAGTGATCCCCAGGTCTGCATCGTGACTTTGGGCGTAAATCCTTTCTGCATGGCATATACAGGTTTATGGCTTTTGACTAGCGTCCCTTGCACAAAGATATTAACGAATTGGGGAATTGCCAACTCAGGGATGGATAGCTCAGTTGGTAGAGCATCGGAACGGTAATGTCGCAGGTTCAAACCCAGCTCCAGTCAATTTCTTTGTTCAACTTTTCAAAAACAATTGATTACATCTTGAGTTCTTGTTTAATAAGCCAAAGAAGTTATGTTCGTTTATCCATATGAGCAACGAGCTGGTATTTTCTCACTATCCCATCCATTGACGTTGCTAACAGGTGTTCGCTGGACTTTAATTGATTGATTTTCTCTGATATCGTATTTAGATCTTGCTTCGACTGAGGAATTCTGCATCCACCGCTAGCGTTGTATCAGTATCTGTCCTCATCCTTGAACCAGGAAGTGTCATATCCACCGTGGCTGTGGAATTCCCAGAAAATCAAGTTCTTCCGAGAGCCGGTGTAGTTTCAGCTTTGTCATCTGGCGATCTCACCGATGGCACTGAAACAGTCAGTGTTGATCCGGCTTCAGTAACTGTTCAAGGTGAGATTGTGCACTGATTGTTTACTCTCTGGCTTTTTCATAAAAATGTGGTAGTCCGTTTTCTACGTATACATCGTGATCCATTTTTTTGGTACCAAAAAAGTCAGTATTCAAATAGAATAGAGCTGTATAGATAATTCTTGCTCTCAAAAAGTGCTGAAAATCTTGCTTTTTGGTCAAAACTGATGGGGCTTTGAACCCAATCCACAATGAAAGTCAAAGCGATTTGTGTGTATAAATCAATCAAGCCCATGGAGTTCCCCCTTCTTAATTTAATTAAGAAGCCACAGTGTCAAGCAAGAAATCAAACCTGATCAAATTTCTGCATTGCAATTATTACAGATTTTATAAAACCACAAAATGCTACATTTTAAGGGTAAAAACAACACTTTATTTTGAATGGAAATTGATGCATTAAAATTTGGCAAATCTTTCTAAATTGAAATTTGAAAAAGTGAACGAAGGGACCACTTTTTTATTATCTATTTTGTCATTTAGATGCAACAACAGAGTGTGCACCAAACTACTGCAGTAATGGTGGAGTATGTGTGAGGTCTGGCTACTTCCCTAACTTTGTATACACATGCAGGTGAGTGATAGTTTGTGAATGGGAGCCAGCTTGTATTGTATTTTTTTTCTTGTGGAGTGCCGTGGCCTCCTGGTCTGGTGCATTGAACTCATGATCGTGTGGGTAATTCTGCAGGTTGTGGGTTCGAGTCCAGCCCAGGGTTGTATTGTGTGTGCTCTTGGGCAAGGCACATTGTCGCTCATTGCTTCTCTTCACCCAGGAGTAAATGGGTACCTGTGAGGGCAGAGATAGTTGTGTGTTTGATTTAGCCGGTTGTGCATAATACTCCCCAGGGAGCTGAGATGGTCTTTGGAATGTTTTCATTGGCTCAATGAGCAGGGGTAATAATATGCCGCATCATGATGAGAACCCATTTTGTTGATATGTGTGCTATATAAATCCATATAAGTATTATGTTCTGATTAACTATTATGCATTGCAATCTCTTATTATCACTACTCATCTTGAACACATTGATAAGTTGTTTGTAAAACAGTCTTTTTGCTCTGTCTTTAGTTGTCAGACTTCATTTACTGGACAGCGATGTGAGACAATCATTCCAGTTCCAGTGGATCCATCAACGGTGCCGGAGCCACCCAGCGTTACACTACCACCTCAAGGTAATTCACCCCCCCCCCCCCCCTTTTAGTGTCTGACCCCTCATGTCAAGATTAGATCTCATTTGTAAGACCCTAGGGTGCATATGTGGGTCCTCTTTCTGTGCCAAATGGTGCCTGAGGACGGGGATTTGGTCAATCTGCAAGTGACAATCCACGCCTCTCGTGCTGTGAATCCCTCTTTTAAGACAAAACCTCTTTTAAGTACAGAGCTTTTATTCTGGTTTTTGCCCAAGCCTGTACCAGGATTTCAACTTTTTTCCTTGCTCAAACTGTAAATTGTAATCCTCGTGGGGGAGTTTATTACTGGTTGAATGCCCACAACCAGCAGGAAGCAATGAGTATCAGCTGACTGAATGACTTGTTAGGTTTGCCTAAACCCTTCCCAAGTGGCCTAGACGCACACCTATTTGCAATGATTATATTATTTGTTTATGTCCAGAAATGAAATCATTTTCCATTTTTTATTGTTGAAACTGGTTCACAAAAGCTGGAAATCCTGAATTATGGGGCTGCTCTTGTACATATGTGGCGAGTACGTATGTGTGTCCAGAGAAGATGGCCTGGACTGGCAACCTGTGGTTTGGCAAACTGCCTTAAGGGATTAACCAGATAATGTTACAGTGGGCTGAGTAAAAGATAAACAATAAAATCCTGGTGTAGAAAAGACCCTGGCTTTTAAAAGGCAACATCCCCTCATGTTACCTCGGTAGCCCACGGTAGGGCTGGAGAAAACTTCTATCAAGGAATATCCAGGAATATTACGTCTTCTCATTCTCACAGCATGTATGTCTGCATATGTTTAATCGGTGCGTAATTGTGTTTATATTTCAGGTGGACTATCTACATTAGCAATCATCCTCATCGTCGTTGGATTCGTTCTCCTTCTGCTCCTCATAGTAGGCCTGTTCCTTTGTTTCATGTTCTTTCAATCACAACGGTATGCAAGACCTCTGCCTGTCTACAGAAGTAGAAGAAAGCCTGTGACCGCGCTGGTTCCTGTTGATTACGATGATTACCAAACCTTGCCTCACGATGCTTACCGTAGGTCAGAGATCAATAGAGATGACATCAGGATGGAGTCTTTGAGACGCGTTATAATCGATTCCCCATACTTGAAGCAGGTAGGCTACTCAATGTCACCTTAGATCACAGTCTCTTTGACAAAATCAGTCAAAAAAACAAATCTGTCTAGTGTTTGTATTAAAGTTCCTCACGGTCTTAATGCGGAAAAATAAATTTTGAATTTGAAACTCATTGTGATAGCTTTGTTTTAGAGGAAGATCAGTGTTAATCTTATTTAAATTGAAAAAGACATTATGTGAGGCGTTCTATCAAAATGAGATAGAACTGGGCACAAGCTGTTGTTGAGAAAAAAAATACAAAACGTCAGATTTTCGGTTTTATTGATTTTTGTAATCTTTGCTATGTGTACTACATCTAATTTGAAGAAATAGTATTAAAATTGTGGAATTAAAAGGTTTTTAAGGAAAATCAATTGGCATCTTGCATTTTCACGACTACAAAACTTGCAACTATAAAGACCTTCTTCTCAGTCATTAAAGTTGAAAAATATGAACTTTAAAAATCATAACTTGTCAACAGAATGTCGGATTGAAATGCAACAAACAGTATTGAGAGATTAAAACAGTAAAAGAGATTGTTTGCTTTCCTCATTTCAACCTCTGCCCAATTCTGTCTCATTTTGCCAGAGTGCCTCACATATGATTGACAGTTAAAAAAAAGAAAAAAGTCAAAGCTAATGTAAAAAAAACCTGACGAAGCCAATTAACCTGCATCCCAGAGTCGCACCAATATGTTTTGGTTTCAGATAAAAATCCTGTTAACCAGACTCCGGATTGAAACCCCTGGAAGACTCTAACAGTCAATCAATTGACATAGATACCTTAAAGTAGATCATTTGCAGCTATCCAAAAAAGTAACTGACCAAATTATTGTTAAAAAACTTACTTGGGTTAAAGATATTAATGGCACTAAACTCCCTATGAAATTATTCCTTTTGGCAATCTGTCATTTTGAAGAAAACAATAAAAGGAGTTAATTTCCAAAGATGTGTTGAGTGACACATGTTTGGAAATTTCTGTTAGCAGTTGGTTTGTAATTGGACGAACCAGTGAACGGGTGCGCGCAAGCTTTTTTGAGAGCAAGATGTTGATTTTGGGTGCAATTGAAAATATGACTCGGCAACTTTTGAATTGAAATCGAGATTTTAGAATATTGTTTACTCGGAATACACAGCATTCACAGAGCTCAACTTTATCAGGTTAATTGTTAAGCACCCATCTTTAGATATTGAAAATTTTGGTTGCTTCAAGCGAAAAAAATGCATAAATGACAAATATGTACTCTACCTTTAACCCAAATTTGTGGAATGATTTGGTTTGATATGACTCTTAGATGCTAGTCTGAATCAAGATTTCTACTCACTGATCTGGTTATGTGTTTTCTTATGGGCAGGGTTTGACAGGGCAACAAGACTTCATTCGTCCCTATGTGGTTACAGGAATGGAAGGAGTGTACAATGACTATCCCATGGTGAGTTTGTACAGCAACAAATTGGATGAAATATTTTTCAACTTTTTCCAAATCTAGCATTGATGAAGAGACTTTTCCATTGAAAATTTCTTAACAGTCATCATCAGCTAGTGCTAACTCTCTGTCTTTGTAGCATTAATTGTTGTATATTTATACTCTTTTTCTCCATTTTTGTTTGAATAAGCAAACCAGTATTAAGTTAAATTCTTGCAACAATTAGACACACTTTTGGCGTAAAATAGTAATTTAACCCTAACAATCCCCATCAATTCAAACTCCAACACCAGTTTTTTTGGGGGGAATCTGTTGGAGTGAGTACTGCACTAGTAAACTGATTATGCTTTACATGGGGTCAGGCATACCACCATAATCAGAGTCCATCAGTTTGGGTGTTGAGTTTTCTTAATGGTGTTGGAATTTGCAGGTGTGAGGAAAGTTGCCAGTAAATCACTCAAGAGGTTACGGTTAATATAGAAAGATTATTCATTTGACCTACTGTATTTTTTTATTCTAAAAAGAAAATTTACATTGTCTGGATTGTTAGTTTTGTCGTCATTGATTCACTCAGCTATTGTGTGACGTTTCTTTGATAGAAATGTTTTTATTTTAATTTTTTTTTCCTATGCAGTATGATGGCAGTTCTGCAGGTCGTGTAGTCTACAATCCCGGCGTGTTCTAGTTAACTTTAGAAACCCAATGCAGACTATTGTGGTTTATGTTAGTTGATGTTGCCAGTATACACCCTTTGCATTCAGACGCCATGTTTTCTTATTTAAATTTATTAACAGTGAAAAGACTTATAGGGCTTCATGAGGTGAATTTTTCTTAGAAACACTTATTGAAAAGTGCACTTCTTTAAATATTTAAAATATTTCCCTGCTTTCCAGGCAACTGAGGGCGCTATTGCTGTGATTTCATTTCAGGAAGACTTTGTTCAGTTTAGGGGATTTCTGTTCAAATTGTTAACCCAAAAATGTGCTCATTGAAAATATTGCTGGGAAAGGTTTGCTCATTTGCTTACTGCCATGTCCTGATACAACAAATCACTAAAGAAAGGAAAATTTACGACAGCAAAATATCCAAAATAGTGGTAACTTATGGTGCTGAAATATCTGTAACATGGAGGTTTCTGCCTGAAATGACATCACACTTTCGCTCATAAATATGGACATTTTCATTGGCATAAAGTAAAAACCAAAGACACACCAAAATACCCTTGAAAATGGCAAAATGAAAATTGTAAATGAGGTTAAATGGGGCACAAAGGTGCATTTTCAAGGTCTGCATTAAAAAACTGACATTGCATGGGCCATTTGATATAAGAGGCCTTTGTGTTTTGCTATTTAACAAAAGCACACACCTCAATAATGGTTGAAATTGAAATATCTATTTTTATCCTTCATTCTACCATGAGTATCTTGGGAACCTGTGAGGGCAAATATGTATTAGTGCCTTGGTGGTAATGCTAATATGGCCCCCTGGAGGAAATAATCATTCCAGAGAAGTGAAGTTTGGATACATTAAATATGTTTTGCAGAGTATGCGTGACGTGTTTTCAACAAATTAAAGTGAGAGGAATTCCTTTAAAGTCGATGTATACTTGCCTGTTGGGTGTGGCACCTTGAAAAATAGATTTTCAAATTGAATTGATAATTTTCTAGCATTACATTAGTTATGAGCTTTCCCATGAGACAACAAATGAAAACAAAAATCGTTCTGAATACAGTGTGCGCAATTTCTGAACTGGAGCGTGCCACTTTTTAAAGCTGTAGAAAGGCCTGCAAAAACAGACAAGCAAATTCATTTGTTTCAGGGCATTATATTCCTTTAAATTTTGTTCTGTAAAGAAAATTTAAATTTTGAGAAAGCATGTATATACCAACTTTATAGAAATGACACTAAAATATTTGTAACAGTAATGTTGTATATATTCAGTTACAATTTTTACTTTTTAAAAATCATTTCACACCTTTCTTTCTTGATACATGTATTCTTCATTTACTTGAAAGTTAGGTGGAGTTAAAATACGGAGGGTAGGTTACTTTTCAGTTGTTGTTTGTACTTACATAGTATATTTTGATTAAGTAATTAAATGTAATGCTTGTTTACTGTGAGGAAGGTTGGTCAAACCATTACTAACCATTTAGACCATGGTGTATGAAAATGTATTACGGAAAAAAGCGTACAGAAGTGTTTGGAAGTCGGTATATGTATATAAAACTTTATATCAACAATATATGGGCCTGGTTTAAGTTGATATATCTTGTTCAAAATAGTTATTCTGTCAAAAGGTTTCAGGACTTTGGTTTTGATTGAAAACAATGCTCAGAGAAAACATTGCAGTCAGAAAGAAAATAGTTCTGTGATGTAGAATTGGTCTGGAAGATCTTTCATTGTTTTCATTGTTGAAAAGAAATCTGTAAATATTCTTATTATTAAAGTTGGTGCTGTTTATTATTGGTGTGTTGATATATCTGATCTGGAATCATTCATGCCTGCGATGCATAAGTGGTTCATATGATTGTTCATTGTTGATATGATAATCTTGCATAAATTATGTGTTAATAAATCTTGAATTGACACATTGAATTTGTACAATCTTTTGTTGGTTGGATAGTGGGTGGTTGAGCTATGGGTTGTCATTTATGGTTATGTCCCAAACTTCGCTGCCAGTCCATCCTGATGTAGGTACATGCGTCTCAATCTTGCAATTAATCTTTGATTGGTCCTAGGTTCCACAATATATTTTACGGCATGAACCAGTAAAGATGTATAATTTCTGCTATTTAAAAGTTCCGCCCCGATTTTTTTATTGTTCTTGCAAAAGGAAAGTTATTCGCTTTTGAATGAGACATCGACCGAAAAAAATCGGCCCAACAATAATTTCTTTCTCGCCAGGTAGGCTTAATTGCTCCCGCCCCGGCAACCACTCGATTGACCTAGATAGTCGGCCCTATCTTTTATCATTGACAACCCAATGATAGGGCTTAGGTAACTCCAGCTACGATGGACCGGGAACCGTCTGCTCTCAAAGCGGGTCTGTTTCTGTCCAAAACAAAATCCTTTTTGTTTCCAGAGGGTTGCAGACGGCCAAAAAACAAAAATGGGAAAAACGGAGGGTTTTGGGTTGGAATAAAACATACAAGTTGAACGTTAATTTTACAATACTCGGAAAAAAATATATAGCCTAATTTGTTTATAAATAAGGGCACGGGGAACGCAACAAAACAAAAACTTTTAACAGAGAGTTGCAAAAAAGGAGGACAAGAGGTTTTTTATGGTTACAATAAAACAAAAAACAAATAATGGAATATTTTTGGAGGGAAAACATCAAAGTTGTTGAACAGCCCATGGAGGAAGGAAACTCCTGTTAATTCCTTCCTCCATGAACAGCCTGAGACAGTGAATTCGAGATTCGAGTGAATTAATTTTTTTTCGCTCGGCGGCGCGGACAAGCGAATTCATTTATTTAAGCGCCCTCCATTGCCGCAAGTTCATTTAGTCGTGTACCCTGACTCACCTAGTATTATTTAAACGATACAATTTTCTACGCGTTTACACCATAATTATACGTCGTGCCGCCGTGAAAATTACGCGGAAGATTCAAGTATTTATATCCTCGATGTGCGTGTTTTCGAGGGTGTAAGGGTGTATTTCAAGCAAGAGAAAAACACCGACATAGCATTCGGTTTCCAAATTGTTTGGGCTGGCGGTGGAACACATACCGCACACACAACAAGAGGAGTGTCATGGCCTAGCGGAACAGGTTAAGAACACCGGACTCATGCTCGACGCTCAGAGCTACTCAGCTAGGCAACAGGCGCGTTCGAGCCCGCCGGGTGGACACTTGTGCCCTTGAGCAAGCAAGGCACTTATCCATTATATTGCTTCGTCCTTCGGAACCCAGTGAAACTTATTGCTAAGAGAAGAGGTTTATTGCCCCGGTGTTTCTGGTCTCCTGTGTAAACTCCCACCATGCCCACGCGGAGTATTTAGGAGATGAACCAACCAGGAAGAACCGAGAACAAACCATCCATCATGACCGTCACCATGGAGAAACAAACCAACTGGTTGTGTGGTACGAATCTGCGCTAGTGCGTCGCAATGCAATGGTCACAACAACTTAACATTAAGGTCAAACCTCGAAAACAAGTTGATGCCTCGACAACAGGTACACGGACGATACATGTATTCGTCGTGGAAACGTGTCTACAACTTTGAAGTTATAAATGGTCCTAGAACTTAGAAGTATAACCTGAATATTTTCAAGAAGAGCCAGAGGACTTTGTAAATTGGTGAATTAATTTACGCGGTTTTCACTGGTTGTTGAATGACACACTACTGGAGCGGGGAGGTATGTTTTATCATTTTTTTGTGTTCTAATCTTGTTCAGTGTGTATTAAATTACTAATTGATTGCTGCTAGTGCTACACACCAGACATGGCAGACGTACGTAGACGTTCAATTCTCTTTCAGTGCGTGCAGTGATTGCAGTCTTTAGTCTTAGGCTGGTGCCTGGTGGTACGTTTTGTTAAAGTACGTAGTATAATGAGTTCATTTCACCATACATGTATATACGAAATCATGACAGACCTAAATTGATATCGCATATACTAATGATATACCGCATTTTTCATTTCGAATTCGCACCACAGCACAGGCAGCAAGTTTCCAACAACAAAGCACTGTCGCTTTTAAGGGTTTGGGACAGATACGTCCAAGGAAAGATTCCCATTTCTAGCCATACTAATTTTTCCCTTCAGTGACCTATAAGACATCAGAAGGAGATAATATGGCCTAAATAGTTAAATTTAACAGGGGAAATATTGAAGTATATATACTAAGAAAAAACTTAGAAATGTTCAGACCACTGTCTGCACAGGGTGACAAGTGATGGTCAGATATGGGAATCTTTCCCTTGTGTTGTTGTAAACGCTTACATTTTCGCGGGGAGAAAGCAACACTGAGCCAGTCTAAGGTTTAGCTGTTAAGAGGCAAGACGTAATTAGTCATTGAACATTTCATTTTTTTATTTGATTATAGTCAAGAGAAAACATTGCAAAATATGATGCCCCGCCGGAAAAGCCAATAAAAGAGGCACTCTGTTTCTGCTTATGTTTTTTCAAGGAATTGCACAATATTTGGCACTTGTCCGGAAATTTCACAAGATACAAAATATGCCACTGAGAGAACTCTCATCAAAGCTCATGACACTTCGGCAACAGTATCAATGTTGCAACATAACCAAATTTCATGGCTGTGCTTGCTACCATTAGCGAGGAATTCTCGCTTACTGTAGCAGAAAATTCCGTACTTACGGTTGGCATATTTCACGGGTTTAATAGTGAGGATATTTAGCTTTTGTGCATGTGGACATCCCGTATTGTGCTGTGATTCATCACATGCAGAGTTAGCATAGATTTGTGTTTGTTAGCGCTGTGAGTACATGGAGCGTAAGCGCAGAATTCTGTGGAAAGCAGAGCCATGAAATTGGGCCCTTGACTCAAAAAGATAACACACACACACAAGCGATACAACAATGAAGCAAGCAGAGGGTATTAAACCAGGCCATGGGCGTCGCGAGGGGGGGGGGGCAAGGGGGGCACTTGCCCCCCCCCCCCCCCCCGAAAAGAAAAAGGAAGAAAAAATAAAGAAAAAAAGAAAAAGAGGCGCGAAGACAAAGTGGTGTAAATTTAATGAGTTGGGGGGGGGCAAAATGTCCCTGCCCCCTCTAAAACTGATAAATCGAGAATGTGTTGAGAAATACAAGCATTTTTTTGCAAATTTTTTGTTTGCCCCCCTCTACAAAAAATCCTGGCGACGCCCATGAACCAGGCTGCGTGACATAGTCAGTACTCTGCCTGTGCAACACCTGAAAAATAATTGTCCCAGATGGATAGATGGATGTCAAGACCAAGAAAATGAAGTTCAATTGGTTCTTGTGAGGTCACGGAGCCGGAGTAGAGCTAATAATTGCACGTAGGACAATTTCTAGCTAGAACGAGACGGCGTGCAGAACCTGGGCCCTGGACAAATTTCCAATTGTACATTTGTATAAACCAACTGAAATATTTCGTTTCCAGGGCAGTCTTATGGCATTCATACTTTGTTGTGTCAATCTGAATATAATCACGTATCCAAGTTTTAGAAACCGGTCACGGTGTAGTGACAGACTATTAATATTTGGGCGTTTCTGGGTTACACCGTGAGCTGTATTAGCTGCTATTGGATTTCCAACAATATTCCATTGAATGTTGTTGTTGGAGATTAAAAAGGGGACATTTGTTATTGCTGACTATGATCTGACTCTCTGCATGACTGTATGTTGAGGTTGTCTGTCTCTGTTTTTCGTTTGTTTGTTTGTTTGCTTGTTGGGGTGTTTTTTTTTGTTGTTTGTTTGGGTTGGTTTTTTTTTGGTGGGTTGTTGGGTTTTTTTTGGGGGGGGGGGGTTAAAAGTTGTCAAACTTTGGTCTTCATTCTTTTTGTGTATCTGTCTAACAAGTGAAGAGTTTGTTTCCAAAACGCGATAAACGTGATATTTTGTTTACTTTCATAATCCCGCTCTCTTCAGCAAGTTGTCGAGAAAGTCAGTTTCGACGCTGTTATCGTTGAATACAATTTAAGAATACAATAAAGCGAAACATGAAGTTTAGAATCAGCCGGTGTGCTGTTTTTTTATTCTTTGAAATGTCATAACCGTGGAAATGTTTCACTTTTTCTAAAATGCATCTATCGCGTTTTCGAAATAAACTCTTCAAATTCAAACATATACATTTAATTTCAACCAAAAAAATCAGTTTTTCAAGAGATCTTTCAGCTCTGCAATACAAGACTTCAATACATAACTTGAATTCAGAGGTGCGACGATACAAGGAAAAAATGAACGCGTCAGTGCGTGGTCACAACGGCAGTGTTTAACAAAGTACGTGATTTGGCAAAGGACCAATCAACGCGTCCATGAATGTCGAGAACTCTCGCCCTAATAAGAACACAGATCCGGGAGTGCGAGGCATTGGGAAGCCGTCGATTCCGAAGGCCACAACTAAAATTTGAAGTTCTTGATCAAAATTTCAACTCGTGAGAAGTGGTTTTTTTGAAACTCACCGTGAAGACCAGCACTTGCTGATCAAGCGAGCTGGTACAATGTATCTGAGCCGGAACACGCTGCAGGTGGTCTGTGCGGCCGTCGTGGTTCTGTGTGCTGTTCAATACGTCTTCGCACAAGCAACTGTGACAGGTATATAGCTTTAAAGTTACACCCCATGCTCTTAAAAATGGATTTGTTTTCCTCCAAACGAATTTTCAATTTGTATGTTTGGTTTTAACGACAGAAAGACATTATTCCAATTTTAGGCGTCTGCTACCCTCTGAAAAGGGCTTTCATTTTGGGCATAATATAGCGATAGCCGAATTATTGTAAAGAAATTTTACTAAAACATCGGTGGATTTTTTCCGTTCGATGTCTATTTCAAACGTGAATTACTTTTATAATTCTAATAAATTAGCCATTGAAAAAAATCTATTTGTCGAGGTGAAACTCGAAAAATCGCGTCTTTATCATTTTTCGTCTTACCGATTGTTCAAGATGCAAAGCAAATTGCTAACATTTAAGAAAAATTTCAAATGAATGAAACACTTCGTTCAAAACTTGCGAATAGTGGTCATATCAACATGCGTTTGGTTTCGCACAAAAAAGTTCCACTGCTCACGATCACAAAAATCCATCTTGCCATAATTTATGTAACTTGATAATCCCTGTGTTAAGGATTACACTGTAAGTTTACTACCTTTATATCAATTGGCTTTTTTAGTTTAAACTTTATATGAAGTTGTGCATTTGTTGTGATATTCAAAACCATTTTCGACTTTTATTGGTTACAAAGTATCGTTTTAAATTCGCTGAACTTAACCGCTCCGTTGAGTACCAAACGGGTCCAAGTGAATGGATTTCAAACGCAATTAAAGTATCTTGTCGGAGGAAAATTAAGTTTTGACAATTCTGCACAACTGGGTGGATTTATTATCCGAATACGAAATACATGTAGTATATATAAGAGCGGCAGCTTAATGAGTGCCGTACTAATCCATTTCCAAACTGATTCCGTTTATAAAATAATCATACAGTATGTGTTTTTGCTATGAATAGATCTTCCTCATGTAAAGACGCGCTCTCATAACCCGGCCGCATTTAGACTTAATCATAGGGTACCACACTGGCTCCGTCCTAATCCAAATGCAGCATTTGGCTGGTAAAATAAGAGCGTGTCGAGAAAAAACTTGTATGATACAGTTTTTGATAAAACACTTTTCACTTCAGCGTGCACCATGGTAGAATGCACTGATTTAACCAAGACGTTTCCCCGAGACCTTTCGGGACCTCTTTTAGATTAGATCAGTTATGTTTCAGAGACAAAATAAGTCAACAAGCAGCTTTTACTTGAAGTGTCACCCCCAAGAAAAATACTAATCGTGGGAACATGTGCAAGTTAGGGTGCGTCCAACCTTCGGGGGAGTTGCCGGCCCGATCACTCGACCAGTGCAGCACATGATCTCGCTCAATCTCGCTCGCTCGGACGTACTCTCCCGCTCGAACACATCCACCAGAAATAGTCAAAGACTGAAAATAAATTCCAAACTGTTTTGATTGTTTTGCGATTGGTTTACTTGTCACACTATATTCGCAATGTTTGTAACTATTCTCCCTGTTAACTCTTCCCATTTTTTAATGAAGAATATCAACAGCTAAAATGCGATTGTTCGGAGCCAAATCTCACCACTTTCTGTGAAGAGTTCCATTTTCCCAATCAAATGATAATTTTGAATATACTTCTTCAACGTTAAACAGCTCAACTATTTTGAATGTCGAAATCAAAGCGGGTCTTTGCTCATAAGTGTTGGACTTAAATCAAAACTGATGTTCCATTGAAGTCCAATGGAAGGGGCTCAACTAAAAATATAATGCAGTAAGCTGGTAAGACTTTTCCCAGAAACCTTTCGGGACCTCTTTTAGATTAGATTAGTTATGTTTCAGATACAAAATAGGTCAACAAGCAGTTTTAAATTGAAGTATCACCCGACCCCCTCAGAAAAATACTAATCGTAGGAACATGTGCGAGTTAGGGTGCGTCCTACAGGGCGAGTTGCTGGCCCGATCACTCTAGTCTACCAGTG